CACATTTGGGCTTGAATCAGCATAACAAAAAGTTACTTTGAAGACTGAAACCACGTTTTAAAACACTTATTTGACATTTATTCTGATTCTTAAGTTTAACTCATGTAACTTAGGCGAGCTTTATGGTCTTTACTGCAGCCAGTCACCAGAGGAAGCTCCAAATGTTATCACCTCAGTTGTCAGGATTCGTCTCATCATCCCTCCTCATCATACGGTCTGTGATTTTATACCATGGTTCCCAGACGGTGGGTTGTGGACTTGTAACTTGTGAAATATTGAGGCAAAAATTTTTGATTGTGCCTTTATTTGAGGGGCTGTATTTCTGTATTTCCTGTGCAGTGCACTTGTATCAGGATAGTTTAATCTCTCTCTAAAACAGTCAGTGGTGGTAAAGACACCTACAATCAGATGGCAGATTTTAGAAATTAAGGTTGAAATTAAATGCTCCTGAGGCTGGACTAGATGAGAGGAGAGCCATTGGTTTTGAACATTAAGTCTTAATCAAAGGTTGCATTAATGGTACCAAGGGAGCTTTAATATTTCATCAAGGGTGCTATATGCCCCTGTCAGCATTTTTGAACCAGTGCCAAGAGTTTATACAGTCTGAATTTTGAGTAAAACGGAGCCGTATAAAATAAAATAGAAAAGAGATAACTCCAAACCCATTACTGATACCCTGACAGTGAACAGACCCGCCTCAGGCCTTGTAAAATCATCTATTTTTGGCACTGATGTAATTTGTTTTATGTCGTTTTATTTATTTTTTTCTTTTCAGTCCACAGAAGATGTAATGATTATGCTGCTTTTCTTACATCTTATTTTGGAGCCATTGATCTGCAAGCTTAAATCAGAGCCTTTTGTGTATTTTAACTCCTTCTGGAGCGCCAAGAAAACAAATTTAAGTATTACGATAGTTTTTTTTTTTCCTGTTTAATGTTCTTTTTTGGGGGGAGGAGGACATTATGTTTTTATTGAGAGGATAAGATAGTGGATGGAGTAGGAATTTGGGAGAGAGAGTGGGTGGTGATGTGTAGCAAAAGGCTGCAGGTCAGAAATGAGACACGGCAAAGGCTACAGAGAAGCGGATTAAGCTCTGACCTGATGACAGTATTGATCTGTAAGAAAAACCTGATCTCCTAGTTGTTCCTGTGTCACATTACTGCAGATGACCTCTGACCTCTTAGCTATATTAGGATAGTCAGAATAGACTGCTAATAGTGTTTGTGTTCTTTGAATCATGTAAACAATCACTGGTTTGCATTTTCAGAGTGGGGCTGCTGGTTTACCTCCATTGCACAGACGCCTCAGTACACTGGTCGTCGAATGCCCTGACAGGATTTGGGAGATGTCCCCGCTCTGTCCTGTCTCTCTTTCTCAAGCTGTCCTTTTAAATTAAGGTTACAGGCCCGACAGATAATCTTAACTGAAGCAGAGACAAAGGTGGCTTTAAATTTGTATTACTTTACCTGTAGCAGCCTTTAGAATATCAATATAAGGAATGTGTGAGTGTGTTGCATGTGTGTCTGACGTTTTTCTCTAACTTTATGACTGCTTCTGTCTTGATTTTGACCTGACACACTGCAATTGTGAAACACCAGATTATGAAAACATGAGAAATAATGTCCAAGTCTCTCTCTCTCTCTCTCTCTCCCTTTCTCTCATTTTGATTTCGAAATAACCCTGAGGCAAGGATCTGGATGCAGCTTTTTATTGGCAAGACGTGCCGTTACCATGGCGAACAACACTGCATCTGTCCGTCAGAGCAAACACCACCCTGTGTATTCGTTCGTAGGTGTGTGTGTATGGCCAAGTGTGGGTGTATGCGTCAGAACATTACCTTATCAAAAGCTTATTATAAAGTGCACCTATAAGAACTTCTATCAGCCTCCTTTTGTCTTCTTTACTCACTGATAATACAGGTGTCGGATTCTCACTTAATGACTCTCAAGTGGGACTAATATAATTAAGTGAGGCCTCTTTGTCTCTGATTGTCTCTCTGTATCAGGCAGCAGTGAGCAGCAGTGAGTAATGCACGTCTGTCCAGGCGCTGTAATTAGGTTTAAGCACGTCAGACTCCAGCCCCAGGACCTCATGAAGACAAATGACATTAAGAGTTAGGTCATGAGTGCAAATACTCACTCTCTTCTTTTCTTTCTTCTCGTCTAATGAGGAGAGGCAGCAATGAGAAAGGTGGAAATAGGTAACCCCAGGTCAAGGGTCATTACAGCACTGACATGTGACAGGTTTTTTAATCATGTATCATATGTTGTTTTATTATGTTTATTAAATGATGTATGATCGACAGAAAGACTCCTAGCTCCTCTCAAATAGCTGGGTTCACATATTATGAGACATATTATGATGATCTCACTCTGTAAATTTGATAAGCTCTTTTAAAATTTCATAGACTTCATCATCAGCTCGGAAAAGCAGACTAGTTCAAGTGTATGAACTGGTTGTATCCTTTATCTGTCAGCTATAACATTTCAAATGATCATATCCTTAAATTAAAGCTACAGTGTGGAGGAATGGGAGTATTAAGTGATATCTTGCAATCACTTTCACCCCTGCAATTAGCAAGAGGATGGTGGCCCTCAAGGACAAGAAACTCCTATAATGCATGAGTACGATCCTTCATTTGTGATGTGTTTAATGTCAGTAACAGTTCTTTTGTGCACAACAACTACCACTCTTTTTTTCTTTTTCCTCCAACATTTTCACCAAATCTGCTCTGGTAACTATGACTTAATACAACACACTGTAGGGCTACTTTTTAGGAGTTTGTGTGACTCACATTCAGGCCTACATTATACTCTTTTGTCTGTCATTCAATTGTCTTGTAATTTTAACAGACTCAACAAGACTAATACAAGAAAAGGATAACTAGAGGAGGGATTTTTTTATAGGAATACAGGGCTCTCAAGCCTCACGCATTTGGCGCATTCCCACCCATTCACACTCCAAATATCGTCCACCAAGTTGCACCTCTTCAACAATGGAACAGGTAAGAATCAAGTGAGTTCTCCCGGGAGTTAAGAAGCTGCGTGCCACGTGAAAGCAAATCAAATAAAGCATATCTACCGAACAGCCAATCAAAAAGTAGCTTTTAAATTTTAAATGCAATAAAAAAGTAGATTTTAAAGACGGACACTCGCCGAAATGAAGCAGGTTTCATAAGGACGAAAAAGACCCGATGATTACAGTAAGTCAGTAATCTACATTTGCAGAGGCCTCAACACCTCATGGCATGTAGACTCACGATAAACTAAAGCCCTATGCTATTGCTCTTCACAGCTGCATTGATGGATTTAGCCTCTGTACAGCCATTTCCAGCTATTTTCCCTCCAAAAAAAGCAGCGATTCCCTCAAAGTCCACCTGTTTCTTTCTGTGGAAAAGATGCATTTCTCATATATTCTTTTAAAAGTTCTGATACTCATGACAGTGTAATGCTGATGTACAAAAGATGAAGTAGCTCCATGTTTGTGAAACCTATACTAAAGTACAATTCATCTCAATGCTCCACAGCCCTGATTTTAAAAACTCTCCACCACATCAGGTAACTTAACTACTTTACTCTCATAAATAATGACTTTATTCTCGTAAATCATGATTTAATTCTCGTAAGTAATCACTTTAATTTCAAAGTCTTAAAAATGTTTTTTTTTCTTAATGTGGCCCCTATACTAAGTTATATTTATAAGTTTATAATACTAATACATTATCTTCAATCACTCTTCATCCTTATTCTCGAAAGTAATGATTTAATTTCTTTATCACAACTTTATTCTTGTAAATAATGTTTTTATTACGACTTTATTCTTGTAATTAATTTATTAAGACTTTATTCATGTGTGTTGTGATTTTATCACGACTTTAATTTCGTAATTTCTTTATTACGACTTTTTTCTCATAAGAAATGATTTTATTCCGACTTTATTCTGGTAAGTAATGATTTTATTGCAACTTTATTCTTGTAAAAAAATGATTTTATTCCGACTTTATTCTCATAAGTAATTACTTTACCACGACTTTATTCTCATAGGTAATGATTTTATTCCGACTTTATTCTCATAAGTAATTACTTTACCACAACTTTATTCTCATAGGTAATGATTTTATTCCGACTTTATTCTCGTAAGAAATTATTTTACTACAACTTTATTCTTAAGTAATTAAAGGTCTAAAATAAATCTATAAATAAATTAAAACTTTATTATTGAAAGTAATGATTTTATCATGACTTTAATCTCGTAATTTCTTTATTACAACTTTATTCTCATAAGAAATGATTTTATTATGACTTTATTCTAGTAAGTAATCATTTTATTACCACTTTATTCTCATAAGTAATTCCGAGGTCTTAAGTTTTTTCTTTTCTTAATGTGGCCAAATACTCCATCGTACTTCAGGCTTAGTTCAAAACTTGAGAGCCCTGGGAATATGAATAAATAACAAATGTAATGATTTTATTACGACTTTATTATTGTAAATAATGATTTTATTACAACTTTATTCTCGTAAGTAATTCTTTTACTACGACTTTATTCTTGTAAGTAATTCTGAGGTCTAAAGTTTTTTTCTTTTCTTAATGTGGCCCTAAGGCTCCTTTGTACTTCAGGCTTAGTTCAAAACTTGAGAGCCCTGGTAATATGATTAGTAAATTTAAACAGACAACAGACAATCATAATCGAAGGTCTTTCTCTAATTAGTCTATTGTTGTTTTTTTAATCTGAATGAACACCCTTAAATAAAAACAGTCGCCTATATTTCTAACACAGTCTTATTGAAATTATAATTGAACTGATAAAGAAGGCGGGAGTCTCCCTGATTCCGTGCGCGTGCCCGTCAGTCTTATGTTGGCGGGGTCTCGCGGTCCCTCCCTTCCTATGCTCGTCCCCTCAACACCCCCCTCCCCCCCGGAGGCGCGTGTCCGCCGCGTCTCAGTGTGTCCGCCAGGGGGCAGCTGTGTCTCGGTCTGAGGCTGCGCCGCTCCCGCTGCATCACAGAGAGGAAAATACCACCAGATGGCGGTTTAGGATTGCTGCTCTTCTCTCAAGGCGCGGTTCCGCTCGCACGGCCAATTTTCAATAATATAATACGCACAATATTAAAACGAAAATCGATTTATCGTTTCGGAAGGTGATAATCGATTCGGCGATGGTCGTTAAAGGTAAGTGTGTGGTGTTTTTGTCGTGTTTTGTGTGGTGGGAACGGAGACGGAGCACAGATTAAAGATGGTGGACACAGACAGGGAAGACTGGTTGGTTGGGGGATGGGCGTTAGCGGCTAACGGAGGTGAATGTGCTTTCTCTCTCTTATCCTCAGTTACATTATAGCCTAGCAGAGCCGTTAGCTCCTGAGCTAGCCCTCCCAAATTTTTTAAGGCAGGACAACTTGCAAGAGGGGCAAGTGGTCGCCGCTGCGCTGCCCCGTTTTTGACATCTTTTCCCACTCGGCGCCGGAGTTTGGCTTGTCAACAAATAAAGAGCCATGCGGTGTGACGTGTTTTCTTGCTGTTTGCATGGCAGGATTGAGAGCATCACCTTCTCTCTCATTTGCACAGCCGTATTGTGATTGTAGCTACAGTATGCTCTCCTCCTGCCGCGCGTTGGCTTCCTCGGTTTGTCATTAAAGCAGATGCCATATTTTTTATTTCTCATGACTTTCTAGTTTTTTTTTCCCACTCTCACATGTGTTAAATGTTAGACATAAACGTGTCCCCTCTTGTCACTTTCCCCCCTTGTGTCAACATCAGCATCCTTAGCCCTTCCTCTTGCCTTCAAGTTTTCAGAGTAGTGGTTGACTTTTCGACCCAGCTAATAATAAACGTGTTGCTCTCTAACGAATGACAGCACATGCATGCTTGTTAAGACAGCAGCAGTTTGCAGTGTGGATTCAATGTGCAGTCTTTCACAACATTATTATGGCGCTTTCTCTCCCCCTTTCCCGCCCCCTTCTGTGCGGGAAACAGGCAACACTGAGCGGGGAACCATGAGTCACATTAGGGGGGATGGGCTCCACCAGCCATCCCGACAGGTCTGAACAAGCCCCAGCTCTGGTTGTCCCTCCCCGTCAACACTGACCCATGCTCAGCACATCCTGTGCAGTGTTGTTTGGGCTGGTTGATAGGAGGTCACACTCCCTCCCGGCTCTTCTCATCAATCTCAGCTTGTTGCATAACTGCTTTGTTTACAGTTAGCCATGTGATTTTCTTTTTCATGCAGGATGTCTTGGATTACTATCTGCTGCATGTTTTACTCACTGCCAAGTTGACCTCTTTTATCCTTCATTTTTTCCACCCTTTACTCCACAAGTAATATTTCATTAGAGGTCCTTACACACTGGGACCATTTTTGTCGTGCGATTATTTCGGACGTCAATGTTTTTTTTGTACCTGTATCCTATACAAGCGTTCACACCAGCGACGTTTCCCGATGTTGCGGCATTTATTTTTTCAGATCATGGTCAATTTTTCTAAAGTTTCGCATTCTGTGTCCACTTCTGACCAATCAGATTGCGTGTTGTTGCGACATCTGATTGTTTACGTGTCGGAAACGGAGTGCATTTTGATAAAAGACACAAATATTACAAAGATAACGACCTGAAGGACAACTTGTGGAGAGTCATAGCGTCGGATCTCACATATGACGATGGTTTGTGTGCTTTAACAGTTTGCTAAACGTCTTTGTTTTAACTTTCATCTGTGCTAACGTAAGCTAACGGTTGTTACCGTAGTTTCATGTGCTTATCTGGTACTGGCCCCGACTCAGTATTTGCTGTCATGACAGAAAGCCATCACAACACTAGTGTCTAATCAGAACTGAAAACAATCAGCGACCGTGGTACAGTTTCAGTTCCTGAACCAAGCAGTGAAACTCACTAAGTTCTCTTCTTTTTTGTAATATTGGATGCACCCATGTGCTACGTTTCTTTTTCTTTTGAGAAAGCAAAAGGAGTACCAATTCGCCATCACTTGAAGTTGAAGTAGACTCCATTTTTGTCCTCTTGTGTCCACCCGGGAAGCTGTAGGTTGTGAAGGGAAGGTCCCGCCCTCCTTCGCCTCTGATTGGCTATAAGTGCCGAAGTCTTCCCCGGGATGCGTCTTTTCCCCCCAGAAAGTCGCAAAATCTGCATTTAAGAGATGACATTCAAAATTTAACACATGTTCATACAATATTGAATTTTCATAACCTTGTCATTGCGAAGGAGAGGTATGGTTAACATAATACGAATCATGTTTTATATATTCCTTTAAAACATATGCTTTGCTAACAAAGCAAGTATAAGCTTTATTTAATAATATATTAGGGTGCTTAGGGGGCTTGAACAGTATTAGAAGTCCTAAAGATTATAAAGGTTCTTAAGAATTAAAGAAAAGTCTTTAGAGCCAATTTATTAGTCATTTTGTTTTTTGCCTCATATCTAGTGGAAGTTTAAGAGTTTGCGCACAAAAAGTTTTAGATAGTTTGATGCTTTGAAATCACTGGTTCGCCTGGTTCGCATATGTGTTATTGATGGTGGTTTACTGGAGTTATGGCAAATTGAAGACTGTCAACTCTTGAAATCTATGAATAATCTGTATCATGAAACTAGTAAAATCTATCACACCAGCTCGCTATGGTCTGGCTTAAGAGGAAGAAAGCTCAAGATTGACTGTTGAAATTTCTTGTAGTTTAATCTAAAATCGGGAAATCATGATAAATCAAGGCGGTGAAGTCTCACTCAACCATCTGTTTTGACACTGGCCTACATCATCCCTCTTATCCAAGGCTTCCAGCTGACTTCCAAGGACTACATTGTTTAGATTGCAGTTAGGAAAGGCTAAAATGGCCCTAGTTACTGAGCTGATCAAAACAACTCAACAAACTGAGGGCCATCTATCCTTGGTAAGGTGGGACAACATCTGTGCTAGGTGTTGAACCAAATGACTAGAGGATGATATTAACACGGCGTTCAGGGGACCACAACTCTTGAGCTTCTGGGGAGTTTGGTGATTGCTGAAAAGTAATGTCAAACTTGAGAAAATTATGCGAGTTGACCTGGTCAATTAGTTATAAAAAATCAAAGTGATTGACTTCGGATCAGCCTGCAATGTCGTAAAAGGAGAGCAGGATTCACAAATTTGTCCCAGTTTCTACAAGCCATTCTAAGACTGCTTGTAACAAGGCGAGACCTATGTGGTCCCATTTCTGCTGAACTTTTCCTTAGCTGTGTTCTTCATCCTGGGTGCTTTGCCTATGAGATGCTTTGGTTTATTATAACCCCAACCCAGGGCCAACCGCCAGGGTACTTCCCAGATGCTGAACCCAAAACCAGGCTCTTTTACAGACAGGCTTGGCTAAACATTTGGAAATACATGACACCATTTAAGTTTGGAGCCATACCATGGTTCGACTGCATGTCCAGCACCCTGGATGACCTCCAGTAAATCCAATCGATGCCAGACAAGTCATCTGTCAATTGCAGTTTGTTGGCAGAAAAGGCTGACCTGGAAAAAAATGTGGAGCTGGTTGAGCAAATATTGGATCTATGACAGAGTGAAACACCTGGCAAGGTGTTACAGAATTCCTTCAGTCATGAGTCATTTAGTGGACATGTGTTGTCTGCAGAGTCTGATCAGATCAGGGTTAGACTAACCCCCGATTCAAACCAAAGTAGGACCAAGAATTAACAGAGACCACAACATTATTCCCCCTAAAGAAAAAGACGAAGACATGCAGGAAGATTCCTAGTTTGGTAAAGAACTTTTCCACAAAATTTCCTGAGGTGCCAAAAGGATCCCAAAGAACTGTCCTCCAGAAAGACAGAGGAAAAGACAACCCTTCTATGAAGATTCAGGTCTGGACGAAGGATTCTTCCACCATAATCCTGACCACTGAAGAGGGTGTTTCTCGTGTGAGCCAGGCCCCCAAAAGAGATCTTTGCCCCCAAAAAGGATCCTTTAACTTTGAACCAGCATAGATCTAAGAAGAGAAACTGAAGGGTTGCACAATCTCAAAAACTATTCCAGAACTGGTTTAGAGTAAAAGTAGACAGATGGACCTAACCGAGATCTGGGTCACTGGGACTTACTGCTTTGACTGAATGGTTTGACAAAGGTGTCCAGGCTTGTTTTAATCAACTAGGTGGTTGATAACCACCAAGGATAATGACAAAGGTCAGTATACAGGATATCCTTGAATTACAGAGTGATAAGTCAAGGCAATGAAGAACCAAGGGAGATTTTTTACTGAAAGAAGGCTGTCAAGGAATTAATGGGTGTAGTTGAGTTGAGGCAGTAGAGCAAGTCTGTGCACTCATGACACAGCCCCTCAGGTGTGAGGTGAGGAAATAAGACATGCCATGTGCAAATCCATGATCTCAGTTTATGAGTTCATGCCCAGTTACAGTATATGATATTTGCATCGGTCCAGACTTCGATGTGTGCAGACTAAATCTGTGTGCACAGATTCGTTGACCTCTTCTTTGTTGTTTGCTCTGCAGCAGGAAGCAAACAGAAGAAATCTTAGCTGCCGTAGAATCAGTCAAACACACAGTGAAATTGTATTATAGATACTGATGATCCATCATGAAGAGCTGCACACTCGGCCAAAAATTTCTCGATGGGATATCAGTTGAACAGAAATTCTCTGCCGACTGTTGGTCCCATGCCAAAGACAAGATATCCCAGAGTTTCTAGATATCCACACAGTTTTTTATTTTCTGTTTGTGCAACACAGTAATAAATATTCATTTATACATCAGCCTGTCTTTGCCTCAGGCACTGGAACAATTTGAAGCTGACATTCGGCAGCATCTCTTATATAACTTGTAAAAGTGGTTTATGGGAGGAACATGTCATTGTTGGAAACCTTTTAGATGACATTGAAGATCGGTAGAAATGATGAATAATTCCTCCCACCTCCTCTGTCATTTAAAATGCTGTGCTCTCTGCTCTGTTTTGTGCCATAAATACATACACTGGGAATCCTATTATAGTCATTTTTGCTAGTGTACACACAGGCTGTTTTTAAAGGTGATAGTCAGTGCTAGTGAATACGTAATGGGTGTTTGTTTTGAGGAGGAGGGTTGGTTTCAGGCAGCTGTTGTTCAGAGAAGTAAATAGCTTTTCCATATGGCCTAGAGAAAATGTGCAGTATAAAAAGGACACTGAGTGGCTCTATTAATTCAATCAAAAGCTACTAAAGGTTATTGTGTAAGATAATAAATTGAGTTGTAAAGGGCAAAGGAGGATTCCTGATTATAAACTCAGACATATAACAGTCCCAGAGGCTCTGACAGCAGAGCCATATGCCTATAATGGCAGAGCTCAAGAGATTATGTAATGTGTTTGACATTTGTCAGAGCCTATTACACAGTGACCTTGATTCAAGAGGGCAGCTGTAGAAAGAACAATATTTCCTCCTTATATTGTTTTCCAGGCTCTGATGGTTCTCAGTGCATACAAAGGAAAACAAACCAAATACCGTTGCTCATTTATGCTCACTGGACTTTCAGTTGTATCTTGAGTTTTACTGACATTACACAAAAAGGCACATATTTCAGGGTTAAAACTAACAGAGGGATTATTGCAGTCAGTATGATATTAACATTTGTTCTCATACTAAATAAAGAATGAAACACCAGAGCGAGGTGGGTTTAGATAGATTAAATACCACCATTGCTCTTGATAAGGTTTGCTCATTATAAAACCACCTGACTTTTTACATGTTGTAGTTTCACAGTATTGTGTCAGACCTGTGTAACACTTCCTAAAATAGTTTTGCACTCCGACGCGGCTGCTGTGAAGCATTCCTTTTGATGTGGCTTCCTGTTGTGCAATTAGCTGACTTTTACTTCTCAAAACGGTTGGCTTACTGTCACATATTTCGCACAGGTTAACTGAGGTCAAGCCGAAAAAACAAATTTCTGTACAGTGCAGCCCAGCTGAATTTGTTTACTTAAGTGCAGGCTGCTGAAATGTGGCCTGGCAGAAGTTTTTGAGCATTTTTTTCCCCCCTTAACTTGATTCATGTGAGTCAGAGAATCTATTCAGTACAGTCGTATAGAAGCTGCACTGTAGGAAAATTCAGTCACAGAAATTCAAGCAAACATATCCATGACAAAAATAAGTAAGATGTGTAATCTTGAAACTTTTTGCACATTTTAAATGTTGTTGCAAAGGCGCCTAAACAGTTGCAGGTGTCTGTTGAGAGGACAACACTCATTACTTATTCTAGGTCCATTAAACAGATATTAGAATTTGTTGGTGTCTCATTATTCATGGAGTCTGATCTCTTTTAAAGTCAACGCAGTTTAACAGGAAGGGCTTGACACATATGATCCTAAGCTGAAAAAGTAAGAAGCACACAAAGAACATTAGGGGCACAATGAAAACTGATCAAAAAATGTTTGTCTTATTGGTCAACATGAGTACTATTATTTGAAATCAATTTTAGGTCTTTTGGTCATATGTAATGGAAGCTATTGAAGGAAAACAGCCTTTTCTGAGAAAATCAACCAGTAATCTATTGATGGTCCCTTATTCAACACCCGATGTTGACAGCGAGGGTGCCGAGTAGATTTAACCGCGCTGCTCTTGCTATTCCCAGTTATGGAGAGTGAAAAGACACCGGTAGATCCACAGTGAATGTGCTTAGGATATTCACGCCGACAGGAAGAAACTGAAACTTGTTGACTTTCTGTGTATCTCACAAACTGGTTTATTTACCGTTGAGGCGGCCCACTCTCCTCCGTGCGTCCCTGAGCTGCCTGCTTCAGATTATCACTCTGCTGTGCTGTGAAGTAATTAGTGGACGAACATTGTCATGAGGTCGCTGCGCCATCTACAGGATAAGTTGGGGAACTTTCTTAAGTGGCGGAACATTTTCGAAGTGAAACCGGATCTTATTCTCTGCATTGTATTTCTGAAAATATCAGCGAGTTTTCGCCGATGACTGACTATTCTCAAACGGGCTAAAATTGGCCGATTTAATGAGCTTGCCGATAAGTCGGTCAGGCCCAACAAGTAGTGAATGTTGGGGGATTCTCCCTTGTAAATATCTGAAACCATCGATTCACTATCAGTTGCAGCTTTTCAATTAGACCTATATAAAGGATAGTTTCTCATGTATATAAAATGAGCTGGAAACTACAGATGTATTGAAGCCCAGCAAGCACGCCCTCACTGAATCAGAAGCAGCTTGTCTGTTTTCCAAGGGGACATTTATACTGTTATTAAAATCAAATACTTGAGATTCTGAGCTTGCTTTCAAAAGGATAATGCTATGTGAGCTATGCTTCAAGGCTAAAAAATTTTTTAAGTCACACAAGAATGTAACAGCTCAACCTTTTCCTGAGCTGAATAGATTGGCTGACTAGAAATGTGTGTTTTTTTTTTTATCAGATCGTGTTGACTTAATGGTAGGTTAGATAACACGGTGACAAAACTGACTGTTCCCTGAGCCGTCAAGATGTCAGATCTGTCAGGGGATCCTGTTCAGCTGTCAGGTTAAGCAGTAATGAGACAAGGTGCACGGTGTCACGTGTGCGTTTGAGCTCTGTGATCCCCCCCCCTGGTATTCTGACATCGCTCACCGGTTGCTAGGCTGAGCTGATTCTACCTACAGCTGACACTCAAGTGTGTTTACCTTGGCAGCTAAGATACCGGCAGAGAGCGGCTGTTTCTACTTAAATACTCAGAGGGAAAACAAAACCAAGGTTTAACTTTCATCCACCAAGGAGGCTCTTTATTTTTCAGCCCTCTCAATGTGTTTTTCATAGTCAGATGGCCTTATTACTAAGTGGGTGGGTCACAATACTATCACTTTTAGCTTTTTAAAATCACGACTCTTGAGAGGCCCGAAAGAGTCGTGTTTAACTCCTTCAACCCTTAAAGCTTGGAAATCTAGGTTAGCTACTTCTACATTAATCTTTTAAGCCAATCAAAGTTACACTGGTTCCAACTGAAAATAAACCAGTCTATCTGACATACCTATCTGGATGCCCTGTTCTGTGCACCCACAACCGAGGAAATAGATGGAAAACTTGTAGAAATGAAAACCCTTGTTAGTTTCTTTGTGGGGATTCCTAGTTTGGCAAGTTAAGAAACAACTGCTATTGTATCTCTGTTGGCTGGGAACATTGACTGTATATTGTTATGGACAGTGTCTCTCCATTTCCTCCCATTGTGAGATGTGAAGCCAAAATAGTACCCCTGTGGACTCTCGTTTGTTTCATGCTGCATATGGCAGATGCAGACCCTGAATACAACCCAAACCCGAAAATCAGAGCGGCTTATTGACAGAAAAAAAGCAAATAATACCCAAAAAGTTGTTTGTGCTATGTGAATGTGGGCTATTTTGTCGATGCGGTGCAGGCTTTTATTGTTGAAGCTGACTGTAATCACAAGCTCTCTTTACCAGAATCATAAAAGATAAAAAAAATACTGTGTTGTTGCTGCCACCATTTGAAAAATACCAAATTTCAACGCCAAAGAAGGAGGAATTTCTCACTTTACAGTTCAGATAATATGTTAAGCTACTGCCATTGAACGCCCACCTGCTTTAGAAATGCGTGTCTTCGATGACAATGGTTTGTCCTCAGTAAAATGTAGTTAGTAGTTTGCAGCTCCCCTGCAGCATTACTGGCTGTTTGGGTTTTGTCACATCTGCTGCTGCGTGCTGTTAGGACAGTGAGGAGGTGTCGCTCCCGCTTGTGTTCGGATCGCCTGCTGTGCTGATACTGACAGCAGTTCATTTTTACATCAGTGCTGTGAAGTGGAGCTTTGTTGACTGGAACAACTTATTAAAGACTGAGCCTCAGACAGACAGACACTCACTCAGGGAAATGACTGCCAAGACTGTGCTTCACTCTTAACAGAGAGAGCAGGGGGGAGAGTTGAAAAGGTGGAATGAACAGTTAGTCTTTGTACAATCAAGTTTGAGCTGAAAAAAGGCTTGTTTACCTTCATTTATCACCTGACATGGCAGTAGTCCTCGGATGTGATGACATTTTTCGCACTTGTCCTGTGGGACAATTATAAGTGGATCATTTCATAATGAAGAAAAACGGTATGAGGTGTTATAACTGCTGGTGAATCCTCCTCGTGAATCAAGCACGTCTGTTTACTAAGTGCCAAAGGACAAGATAATAGCGCCATCAAATATTTGTGCAATTAAATGTTAATTGTGCTAAATGGTGATGGTGAATAAGCTGAGCTTCTCACCAAAGGGCTTTTACATTCATCCATTCACGCCGCATATTCTGACGCTACTATGAAAAGGGCCCATCAGTATTGACTAGTTCCATTCACACGCTGCCGGCGATGCCACCGGGACGGTCTCAGGGTTAAGTGTCTTGCCCAAGGATGTGGGCCTCATTGAGAGTCAACTTACTGTACCACGGTGCCACAGCTGCTCCCATATTGTGACTGGATCAGGAGAGAGGTTGAATTTTCAATCAGTCAAGCTGTGTTTAAAGAGATTAGTGCGATTTAAGTGCTCAACACGTGATCAGTCGACTTGTAGCTTTAGCAGAGCTCATATTTGACCTGTGCCTTCTGAATTGAAAAGGAAGCTGTCTGAAAAGAGTCGGAAATTTCTGTCAAATGAGCCAGTCATGTAGTGGTAAAAACTCTAAACTTGGAAACCAAAATTATAAAAAAACTATTTCCCTTTTTTAAGAAGAATTTTTGAGACGCTGCTGTCAAGAACTTAAGCATGTTTTGTGATTGGGTTCATTTTGGTACTTCCTGTGGACAAAGCAGAACCTCATATCTCATGCATATGTTGTGTTAAGAGAAAATCCACCCTGCATTATTATCTCCCTGAAACATCAAAAATGTAAACATTGGCTGTTTTAGCGCCATGAGACTGACACTTACACACCTGCTAGGCAATCAAATAACTATAGTTAAACAGTCAAACTTGTTGTTGATGGTTGTTTTAGGTCCTACAGAGGCATCTGTTGTAGGGCCCAACGGATTTATCGGCGAGCCGATTAAATCGGCCAATTTTAGCCCATTTGAGACTAATCGGTAATCGGCCAAAACTTGCCGATTTTCACCGATATTTTCAGAAATAAAATGCGGAGAATTTTTTCGAATTTAAAAAAGTTCCCCAACTTATCCTGTAGATGGCGCAGCGACCTCATGACAATCTTCATCCACCATTAGCCTTGCTACACTGTTAGCCATGCCAGTAATGGTAGATGAACAACAGACACATTACGTGATTGAGCTACTTCTGGAAATGTGTAACGTGAGTTAAGACGCGGGGGCACCAATGGTCAGCGTCGAGAGGGGGGGGAGTTGAAACCGCTTTTCTGGTCAGAGTTTGATCAGCTGGTCTTCCTGTCGTTGTGAAGAGTAGTATCCTACAGTAAATTTACAGTACATAAGTATTTTGTAGAACTTAATAAAAATTTTAAAAAATCGGCTGATTAATCGGTCATCAGATTTTTTTCCCCCAAAATAATCTGCATCAGCCCCAAAAAATCCATATTGGTCGGGCCCTAATCTCTTGTTTCTTTTGCCATAGAAAAAACTCCTTATTTGAGCTTGAAGTGAAAGTATAAATCATAAAAGTAAAACCATCAGAGCCTGATACATACAAGTTCCTGACAAGGTCTTCAGAATCATAAAAAAAAGAGCTTTTTTTTATCTCATACATTTTGTATGTCTTGGATTTGTGGGCGGAAGGAATGTCCTCTCTGGCCAACCGTATGGAAATGAAGTGGAAGTCCCAGATTTGCATGAACTTTGATATGGGAGTTGTACCTGTGTCTCATGAGATCTTAAATAAGACTAAAAGACAAGTTGTGGTTTATTATTGATCTCCTTGTGGGGCTGGAGAGAGTACCTCCAGCTTCAAAGTCAGAGATTGATATCTTGCTTATACAGTCTCTGAGGGCTGACGCATATGAAAAGGAGGCGAGTAAATTCTCGCCTTTGCTGGATTTACATGTCTCAGGGCGGCTAGATCTACAACTGGCAGCAGACCAGACCCGCAAATCCTCCAGGTGTCATTCGAACAGGCGAGGTTAACAACCAGACTCCAGCAAACACCAGCTCCTTAGCATCAGCTGTGGCAGTGTGTGTGTGTGTGTATCAGAGGTCAGTGTTATTTGTACACCCTCTTACTTAATATTGATTCACCGGCCTGTGCTGGGTCAATTCTTTGGCTGCACAAGCGAAAATAAAGTGGTCTTAAAAAGAGTAAGGAATATCAGCAAAGTGAGCTTTTACCCAGGTTTTGTGCAGATCTGGAGGCTGTAGCATACTCAAAGGCATAAAAACTGACACCTGGAGCATTAATGCTTATCACAGATACACAAGAGATATGTTTTTTTGGATTTTAATGCTCAAAATACTTAAATTGTGTAAGTGACACCCAGTGAAAAGGAGTGATTGAAGGCTGTATCAAGCGTGATAGCTTTGAAAGTAAAGAAAGTCGAGCTGACCGTTTAGATCTCATCAAAGCGCCGCGTCTGACAGATTGATTAGTAATGCCTGCTGAGAAGCACATGCTCCTCTTGTCAGACATAATCACCGCGTCATCACTTTTCAATCAGGGGTCATTGTAAATTAAACGTTTTGTATAAGAGTAGAAAAACAAGCTTTTACTGCAGCACTTGATCTAGTTTCTTTTTTTGCCGCCCTCCAGAACAAGTCACTCAGATTTGTGAGTTGTCACATTCAGTTTTGAGTTCACTCCTCAAGGAGAAAGAAGTAAGTCTCCTCCACGGATCCAGCTAGCAAGGATCCACAGAGATAACCGATGTCTCCTCCCAATCCCAGTTCATGTTTTCACAGATGAATCAACTGTAGGTAGAGATTCACTGGACTGTATCAGAGCACAACCATTCCCTCAGACATCATTAGTTTGTATCGCTCAGACCCCATCTGCTCCTCCAGCCTGAGTACAGCAAGGGATTAAGGGGTTTCCCTCACCGGCTGACTCCAGCAGATTATTTACCCATAAACCTCCTTCCTTATCCCCCACTGACTCAGTATTATTCTGCCAGTATTATCCACCTGTGAACCAAACAGAGCAGCTCAATGCTCAACAAACAAACCGAAGCAGCTTCTCTCTCTGCTGTTTACAAATCAAAGTTAGTTCACTGTCGGGTTAATGAAGTCCAGTAATGCAGGGATTGACACTAACAAGTTGAAAAAGTAAGGAGTACACAAAGAACTATAGGGGCACAATGAAAATTGATCAAATAATGTGCGTCTTATTGGTCGACATAAGTACTATTATTTGAAATCAATTTTAGGTCAATTGGTCACATGTATTGGAAGCTATAGACGCTTTCATGTGTACAAACAACGCTAGGTATGGGGCAAAAGCCTGCTTTGGAGTGAACTGATAAGTTCTTCCTGACGCAATTGCAATAAAATGTCATTTCACTGAAAAATTGCTTTGTCTTTCGTTGCATCAAAATTGGAAAAACATTTGCTAAAATATCCACGAATTTCACTCAATTAACCAGGTTGTGACGTTGCATTAGATGTTTCTACTATCAGGAGCAGGGTTGTAATGTTTGCCGATTGTTTGTTTTGCCGCGATTGAGTTTGAGACAGTGAAAATACATATGGTATGTTGTATCTGAACAGGTTAGCTTACGAGCTAAAGTTACTTAGCACAAATGAAAGTTAAAACAAAGACGTTTAGCAAACTGTTAAAGCACACAAACCATCGTCATTTGAGAAATCCGACGCTATGACTCTCCACAAGTTGTCCTTCAGGTCGTTATCTTTGTAATGTTTGTGTTTTTTATCATAAACCACTCTGTTCTCCGACACGTAAACAATCAGCCGGTCGGCCATGTTGGATATACCAGTGAATCAGATGTCGCAACAACACGAAATCTGATTGGTAAGAAGTGGACATACAGAATGCGAAACTTTAGAAAATTCGGCTGTGATACGAAAAAATAAATGCCGCAATATCGCAGGATGGGAAAACGTTGCTGATGTGTGAACTAACTTCTTTGTGGTATTTACATGAAAAAAACATTTGTTGCCCAGGCTTTTTATGCGCATATTTGCCCCTAAATACATTTTACAATTCGCACACATCTATTTTTAGTCGCAGATGCAAAACGGTCACACTGTCGAGCCCTGTAATGTCAAATTGGATGATGACTTTTGGCTGAGTTAGGTCCAGTAACTTCAACACACTGCCAAAGTTTTATTGGGGAAAGCTTTTCAAAACGAAACAAGCCAGCTTCATTTATTGAGCACATTTCATACAGCGAGGAAAGGCAAAATTATTTCCCAACATTACCAGGGGTGAAAGATCTAAACTCATTAAAAAATTAATGGAAAGTCGTGGCAAGAGCTGTACACAGTCAAAATAATTGAAACAAGTTTGAAAACACAGGCTTACAGGAGCCGTGCTGCCCCAACTCTTTTGACCTCTCGCTCACAATATTGAAACCCGCTCTGAAATATTTGTCTCTTTAATGCATGCTGTATACAAATGTTGAAAGAGCCTCCAGCTGACTTGATAGCTGTGCGTCCTTCAGCTGGAGAGGTTTCGTCAAACATCACTCACTGTGAATCCAACATCCAACCTTTTCAAACGCTCCTCTTTCCTCTCTTTGTCTTTATCTTCACACCTAGCTGAGGTGTAAATACGCTCCATCCACCTTGAAGCGCAGACTTAAATCACACATCTGCTCTTGTCAAACACTCAGCCCCCCCCTCCTCCTGACTTCACCCTCGGTCGTTACCTGAGCTGCCATTATTCTCCGCAGCCGTCTGTAAATTGTCCCCTTCATAACAGCTTTTCTTTTTCTGCTTTGACATCTGCCGACTCAGATTAGCAGGCTTCTCCGGCTCCTGTGAAATCTTCTACGTGCCTCAGGATCATTAGCGAGTAATAATGATGGCTGTGAAGACTAATGGCATCTGCAAGGGGTGTGCGTATGCGTGTTTTGTGTTGATGTGTGTGTCCTGCCTCGTCCTTCCCCTCCTATTAAGTAGTGAATACGAAGCAGGGCCAAGGTGAGAGAGCAGGAAGAGGAGAGAGACAAGAGAAGAACAAATTAGTGTTTCTTTTCTACTCCTGCTGCTCTCTCTCCCCCTCCCTGCTGCTGTCACACTTTCTCCTTCTCTTTTCCCCCACCTTGCCCCTCCTCCCCCCTTTTTGCCCCCTCTCTCTCTCTCTCACCCCTTCTCGCCTTGCATTTGCGGCTCCATTTTGCGTCAGCTGCAGCCGAGCAGGCAGCCATTGCACAGGGAGGGGAGTAAAAAAAAAAAAATCAGTTGCCTCTTTATCTGCCTCTCTTAAGCCGTTCCATAGCCTTGCCCTTTTTTTCTATGATCTATTTATCCTTTATTCACGGAGGTATTTCTCCAGAGATTGGAAAAAAAATCTATTTTTCAGCAGAGATCTTATCAGTTTGTGCAGTTCACACAGCATCCTTCCCCTCCCCTCTTCTTTCGGCTAAGATCAGGCTTTGTGTGCAGCAGAGAGCAAGCGTACAGTAGTGTGTGGCAATAACAGATGGCTGTGCATGTGTGTGTGTGTTTGAGTGTGCACGCGTGTGTATGTGTGCAGTAACACCACTATGTGTCTGACTCTCTGACTCTGTGTCGGATGGGTAATCTCCCGTGTGACATAATCATAATCTGGTTAAACCAGACGGCTACAGTTGGCCTCAAGGCTGTCCCACATTACAAGGCCAGGGCTCTTTGGTCTCAGTATGTATGGAGGCCGGTCCTGGCAGCGTGAAAAAGTACAATTATTGTCTCTGGTGGTTTAGCTTGTAGCTTTGGCCCAGAGAGGCCGATTGTGGTTCAAGCTCTAAAGTCAGCCTCTGGTTGGCCTTTATGTGGAGAGGTTTTTAAAGGCACAAGAGCATGCTGGATCTTTTCAGTCCTTCTTTATAGACTTGGACAGCAGTAGTGCTGTTGGTTTGAGCTTTGATTCAAAGTTCAGAAATTAGTCGAACTAATGAGGAATGCAGACTTTTTTCACAAGTTGTACCAGGGCTTGACTCTAACTTACTTGAAAAAGTAAGAAGCACACAAAGAACTTTAGGGGTGCGATAAAAATTGATCAAATAATGTGTGTCTTATTGTCCAACCGTAGTACTGTTATTTGAAATCAATTTAAGGTCAATTGGTCAACAGCCCATTCTGAGAACATCAACCGGTCATTTATTGATGGTCCCTTATTCAACACCCGACGTTGACAGTGAGGATACCGAGTAGATTTAACTGCGCTGCTGTTGCTATTCCTGGTTACGGAGAGTGAAAAGACACTGGTAGATCCGCAGTGAATGTCCGTTGAATATCTAACCTAAAACTTGCTTCTCTGCGGTATTTACAGGAAAAAACATCTGTTGACTCGGCTGATTTTTTTATGCGCACATGTGCCCCTAAATACATTTTGCAATTCGCACACATCCATTTTTGAGTTGCAAATGGGAGTGAAACGGTTGCACTGTCGAGCCCTGAGTACCGGGTTGTTATTCAAATGAGGACTGCAGGTTCTGTCCACTACTGGTTTAATTTGTTTGTTGTGTGTTTTTAGGCCTCAGCAAGCCACTGTTTGTGGTTAAAATACCAGTTTCTGCTCGACCGACAGTTAGCTGCCAGCAACTAAGAGCCAGGTATCTCATAAGAGCAGGTGGAGGGCAAAGATGGAGGTGATTATAAAAACAAACAAATAAAAAGCTCAAATTTTATTCCTCAGTGGATGATGCATCGTCATCAATGGGAAAACTGGAGCTCTCAAAGCTCTGCACTTTTGCAGATGACGTTCATTAACTTAGAAGAAACCCTAATAACAGAGAAAGCGAGAAATTGTGAAGTCAAGTGAGCCACTGCTAGAATGGGACGTTTGCCCTCGGTGCGCTTAGTCACAGAAATGCTCCAACTTCTTGTTTGTTGATGGTTATAAGAGCAGCATGTTTGGCGTGTGCAGATCATGCAGGCTGCTGTGTCATACTCTACTTTTGGTTCCTTTTTACAGGCAGATCAGTTCTGCCTGATCCCCCACCATATCTCTCCATGTTGGGTTTGCATCTGTCTTTGTATTCTGTAGACATTTCTCTTAAGTAACTTCTCATCCAAAACTTTGACATCAGGAAAGTTGATATAGTCATATCTGCTCAGGAAACTAGTTTGCCTTTAATCTTAAAGTCGCAACGGCAAACCCAACTCGACCCAATCATGCAAAATTCCTGTTTCACTTTCAACACAAGTCTGAACTTTATGCTTTCATGTTAGAGAGGCATAGCATACACACTGACATTTTTGCAACCTCCTCTAAATCACAGAAATAAAAGGTTAAATTCGTTTGTTATCACAGAATAAAGCAGCACATGCTTTCAAAGTAAACACTCATATCAGATCTGTCCATACATTTTTTACCCCCCAGCCTGCTGAGACTGGAGCAAAGAGGTGTTAAACCCTCTTCCAATAAAATGTTCCAGCAGTCCCTCTGTGCATTCTCAATGTTCAGTCATGCCAACTGCATGGATAATTAAATGAACATCCGCTTTGCATACAGCATCTGACTAGATAGGAACACAACAACTGGAGCCCACTCGCTCGCTGTTATTCAGCGCATGTGTACCGTCTGCTGCTCTTAAACTAGCGGCTAAGATTATTACATTAAATGATGAAAACAAGAGGGAAAGTGTCAGAAGTTATGCACTCAGACATTTCAGAACTTTATAAGGATGTGAGGCAGAACAAAAATCCAGTATTCACTTTAAATTGGCCTCGAAGATCCATATAAGAGCTGTTCTGCTGTTCCTCATTGAATAGAGTCCTGGGTTTATTACTTAAGGTAATATGAACAGAAATATACAAGGACGGAAATTGACACAGAAGCGGCCTTGAAGGAAAGCAAAACATCCTGAGCTGTAGTCCTCTGATTTGGTGACATGGTTTAAAAATTATTTTATGGGATATAACTCTGTGTTTGTATCCCTCAGATTAATGATTGTTCCCCCCCATAACATAGAGATGCCCCCTTGAAAAGGCAAAAATATAAGGGCAAAGTCTCTTTGTGAAGCTTCTCAGCAGGCACAGCACATCCAGTGAGGGGGGCTGTGAGCTGAGCTCCCCTTAACGTCCAAATAACTGATTTAATTTCACGTGAACATAGAAATGCCCCCTTGAAAAGGCAGAAATATAAGGGCAAGGTCTATTTGTAAAGCTTCCCAGCAGGCACAGCACATCCAGTGAGGGGGGCTGTGAGCTGAGCTGCCACTGACATCCAAATAACTGATTTAATTTCACGTGTTTCCTTTTGGAGAAAGAGAAACCAAAGTAGGGGTGTCCCAGTACAACTTTTTTACTTCTGATATGATAGCCATATTGTAGCCTTCAGTATTGGCCGATATCAATATTGGTACAAAATTGAGCATGACAAGTTTTGCACTCAGCTGCAATGTCTTTTTCTGACTTAAACGTATAATACTGCCACAAGACCAACATCACTCCTACTCCTTGCTACTTAGTTAGTACTTTTGTACGCACAGTTGTTGTGATCACGTGGGCTCTGCATGCCGGATCTGGGTGCTGCTGGATAGAGGTGCCGGAATGGAGTCTGGAATGGACTGATTGTATTGGAGATTTTAGATGCAGGTCAATATAATCCGTTATTTATCTTTTTTTGCTGATATCAGACATATATCAATATCGTATTGGGACACCCCTAAACCAAAGTTCACTTTGTTTCAATGTTCAGTGCAAACATAGCATCCCAAACCCTGACTATTATACACAATAGCTTGGTGCATGTTAAAATACTGGCTGTCTTTTGATCAAAACAGTGTCTAACTGACCTTTTAAGGCGGTTCAAGTTAGATGCAATATGTTTATCAAAATTTCCTCCCCTGAGAGCATCTGTTTCTTTCCACACGTCCCATACTTTGACAGGATTAAGTGGTATTCATCCTTCTGTATTTTTCTTTGATATATTTCGTAGGTCTGCCGGTCTTTTTCAATCAGATACCAGCATGTAAAATAAGCACCAGCTTATCTGATACAGCAGGACTCCTGGCTTGAAGCATCTTTGGCAAAAGCATAGCCTGTGCTCGGTTTAACAAGCAGGGAGGTCTGGGGTGTCTGAAATATTTAAAGATGGCATGTTTTACTAATCATTCTGTTGCACCTCGTTGGCCCTGCAGCCTCAGAGTGTGAACGCCGAGCAGCTAATTCAGAGCTGAACTGCTGACTGGATGCTGGCCAAAGGCTGGAGTGTTTTACACAACTTAAACATCCTCAGATTTACCCATTTTCCTGCGCTGATTTATGATGACAGGCACCATAATAGTAGATTCAATTATGGAAGTGCATCATATGTCAGTTAGAAACACTTCAGACTGTTCACAGTGCTGCTAAGTCATTCTATTGAGTGAGTAGCCTCTCTTAATTATATTTATGTCCTAGCTTACAGCTTCTCACTGAGTCTTACAAGCGTAATGCACACGACCTTGGCGAGTTTATTTAATACAGTCCATGATTTAAAACCTGAGTGTAGCTGTGAAAGCGATGTTTTGAGGTCATGAGTTTAGGACTTCTTTACAAAGAGATTTGACTCTTTAAGTCATAAGAATCTGATCAAAATTCTGTATGTGCTGTGAAAGAAAAGGTTTTTACCCAAGTCAGCATTGATCACTCTTCCTGAATCAGTCCTCCGCTCAGACTGCACGTGCAGCTGGCTGATTTGATTGCAGGCTGTTTGTCATATTTAAAGTGCTGTGATTTACTTTGCAACACGTACTGAGGGTGTCTCCGGGCTGTTTGACAGCCAATCCAGATGGATTAGACACTTACACACTTTCATCTTGTCTGCTAAGGTTTCACCTTATTAGTGTTTGCTGAAAACACCAATTCATTCAGACATCAGCCTTTTGAAGGAATTTAAACACATTTTATCATTCCTGTTTCCTGCATGCAAATCAAGGCAGCACAGTAAGAGTAGGTCAATAATGTCAATATTAAAAGTTATTAATTTAAAGGACATTTTTATTAAATCCTTTAACAAATAAAAACACGAACATGATGAGAAGATAAAACCTCGGCAGTGAAAATTACTCTGTGCTCACACTGTCCCTCTGCTTTACTAACACACATCGCCTCATCCTTCTCTTCTCAGCCCTTTTTCAACCCTGCAGAACTTGTTTAAATAGGGTAATGCAAGCAAAGCATGCATTTTAAAGTAGGGGTGGGAGAAAAAATTGATACAGCATAGAATTGCGATATTTTGTCTGATGATAATGTATCGTCTTATTTACCAAATCAATTTTTCAAATTAATTGCTAATATGAAGTCAAATGTATGATAATGGAAAAATAAAATCAACTGTTTGTCCAGTAAGGTTGGCAGAGGTGACACCATAAAGCAGGAGAAAGTTAGTACAACAAATACATATAAGGTTTGCAAGATGTGCGCCATGAAACCAAAATAGTGTGTAAATAAGACAAACGTAAAGGATAAATGCTAAATTGAATCAAAAGTTGTAAAAATTGTATAAATCACAATACATTTTATCCCAATACTCACTTTATCGCCAAATGTTAAAAATCGCAATAATATCGTATTGTGGCCCAAGTATCGCGATAATATCGTATCGTGGGGCCACTAGTTTAAATGGTAATCACAGTCACATGAGTTAGTATATTAATATTATTTATTTAAACGACATTTTTATTCAATTCATTTAACAAATAAAAACAAACATGATTATGAGACAAAAGCTCTGCAGCGAAAATCACTCTGCTCACTCTGTCCCTCTGCTTTACTAACACACATCGCCTCAAATAGGGTATTACAAGCAAAACATGCATTTGAAAGTGTCAATAACTTCTATTAATCATGTTTCTGTGATCAAAGGAAAGTCAAAATGTATTAATCATGCAGCTCTAGTTGAGAGAGAGTTCATGTTTTCAGTCTAGTCCGTGACTTCGCCTGCAGACTGGAGGATAAACCGTCTTGTTTTCCTGTCACAGGATGATCCCTGAGGCCAGCAGGTCTACATAGCCTCAAGTCCAATCCATTTAAATCCATCGGGGTTAAACCAGTCGACTGCCCTCAGGCATTCAGGGTTCAAACCGTGACACTGCCGCAGTTCTCCGCAGGGACAAACCAGGAATGATTGAAGAGTAGAGACACCTCTCTCACTGCCATAAAGTGCGGTGGTAAAAGTACACAGAGGAGGCCTCAGTGTGCCAGCCAGGAGAGGAGATAAAAGCATGGTTTATAGTTACAGATAACAGCTCAGGATGATTCGGGTCAATCCTTTGCAGGCAGAGACTGTCAAAATAAATCCTTTTACGAGAGTAATGAAATATTGAATGAATAATCTTGTAAATGGCCGTTGAGCGGAAAATTACATCACTTGAGGTCTGTATTGGCCATGTTGCTACGGAAACCAACCTGAAAAAGTCAAGTGCTTAACATCTATATTTTACAGAAATTGGCTTCTTTTTTCAGATTGTAAGAGTTGAACTTGTGAAAATAGTTATTGAAACCGCTTTGAATGCAATCACACAGAGAGGAGAGGAGAAGGTGAGAAAGTTTGATCTACTTCAGCCAAAGCTCAACGTGAAATCAGCTCAGAGAGTTGGCAGCTCGAGTGTGTGAGGACGAAGTTAAGCAGCTTTAGCTGGTGTCAGTCTGTCAGGACTCTGCAGGGCAGTACGAGTGCTGTGGCTGTGGAATAAAGAGAAAATAATAGTGCCCTGGTTTCCTCCTCTCTTATCTCTTTGAGCACTGTCTTGTTTTTGGACTTGAAACAGTTCATTAAGTGATGAAGTGGGTAACGGCTGAGTTTATTTTTAACTCTTTTACATCCGTAGCAGGACAGGGACAGGAGTTGTAGTGTCTTGCCCCTGAGCGTGTGTTCTGGGTCATGACTTAGAGTCTCTGTATGGCTCTGTATGTCACATCAAATGTACGACTTTGTGCATTTGAAGAACTGAAGCACACTAGAAAAGACAAGGAGGGAGCGTAGTCCCTGCAGTTCGCAGTCATGTCGTTATCTCGAGTGTGACTGCTCTCTTTAATTCAAGTTTATTTATTTACTTTTGAAGATTTTAAAGAACACTTTTTTACTCTTTTCCACATAAAGTTGCTGCAAAGAACTTCCAAGTTGTGTTGACTCTCGAGACCCCCTTTGGATGTAATTGGTAATGTCTTTTATGGAATAAGGACTGCATTTCCCATGAGCACCATCAACCACTGTCATGAAGATGTTGCTGTTGTTGTGAAAGCAAAAGAGCTGAGTACAGATCATCTTTAAACTACTTTGAGTGATCAGGTTAGTGGTAGGAATGGAAAACCAGTTCCAACCAGTTATTACCGTTCTTTTCTCCGCATCTTCCATTGAGTTTTACAAGCCTCTCAAAACAACCTGACACAATAGTGAAAGATTGCTAAGAGGTTATATTGCTAGTCCCGCTCAAGTGTTAGCCTTTATTACGGAAACTTTGTCCCAAAGACAGACACAAAAATCCAGCAAAAAAGAAACAACCAATCCTGTCCCCGATAATCTTATTCAACCATGAAGGTCAAGCCAGTATAGGAAGCGTTCACTCTGCAGATCTCACATTATCAACGTACTCAGGACAACCAGCACAAACCAGGCAGCTGTAAAATCAGGATCCTACAGTGAGCTGCACATACAGTTGTATCTTATTCAAAATGAAATTAGACAGTGATAAAGGGCGATAAAGCAGCAAAGAAGCATAAGATCATGAAGGGTTCAACTTGACATTTCAAAAAATCAGTTTTTGGGTTGACAGAATATTAAATGTCAAGTATCTTACATGTAAGTGATAATTTACCAGGTGATAGTGAATGAAAGGTCTTTGGGTTTAAACCGTTGCAAAGACAGAGTCTGTTGACAGACTACAAATCAAAATAGATCAGTCCCAATTGGCAGTGGGATATGAAGTTGAAATATGTACCAAAACACGGTGAGTAGTAGCCAGTCGAGCTGCTCTACAGAGTGAAAATGATGCACGAGATTGAGAGAAATGCAGTAGGGCTATAGTTTTGAAATGGGTCATGCTTGTACCACAGATAGTCATTCTCACATTAATAAAAGCTATTTTTATGTTTCCGCAAGCGTTCAATCTGCTGCTGGGAAACTATGAAATTTGAGAAGACTCGGGGATAAAATTAGAGGGTTTCCTCTATTATTTTGGATTAAAAAACCGCAAGTCTAAGAAAAGATTCGCTTGCAGATTAAGTGAGCTGGACAGAAGCTAAATGGAAAATGAAATGACTTCCTTTCCTATCATGGTCGTCGAAGTGTGCACTTTTTCCGTTTCAAGTCTCCTGGCAGAATTTAGCTCTGAGTATATTCCTGAATCTGAACTCTTCTGTATCTGCTTTTGCTGGTTTAGAGCAGTTAGAGGATCCTTTATGCTTCATAGCATGTAAAACTGACCTGTACCAGACTGCTCGATAGATGGAAACACAGCTTTCTTTGTGTTTCTGCACTTTGATGAGATTTGTGCAAGCCGCCTACCACCTACTACTTCAAGTCACAAACACTGTGAAAACAGGCGAACTGATTAACATAACTGTAAAATGGATTGACTTGTTCACAGCTGGCTTTGTCAATCCAGGCACAGCACAGGGGATCAGATTAATGAGCCCAGAGACATCTGTTATTGTCCCCTTAAGCTGGTGTAATTTCCAATCTTACAAGTCTCATGTTTACCTCTGTTTGGTGTCATTCCCTAACCCTGCGTAAGGCATGTACATACTGGCCTCACAGGTGGCCCACTGGGAAGCATTAATCCTCAGATTTACAGGATCACTGTCTCATATCCACGAATATTGACTGCAGAGACAGAAATAGCTCACCAATCTCAATTGGATTTATGAAGGGCAGTGTATACTTACATACAAGAACATGTTTTGTATCTGGGAAACTGTAGGCTTTTGTATTTTACAGTCCTTTACTGTAGTAGTGTTTTTAGGTTGATTGAAGTCTTGTGGTTTTTCAGACTCAGTGGTGCGTGGATGCGTCAGGCTTGTACTTCACTGGGTCTCTAGAGATGATGGCTAATTAGAGCAGGTTACAGTTGTCAGAAGAACTGACCAACAGGGACCGCAGCTGTGAGAAGGTGTTTGTGAGCCGGGGTTTACAGGAGAATGAATGTGACTATTGGTTTAGAAGTCCTCTGAACAAAGTGTGTAAAGGCTGTATATGTACCATGCCATATATGTGCATGTAGGTAGTCAATATGTTGAGCCATTTAGCTGCAGTGTCACCATTAAAAATGACCCCACACTCTCTGATCTCCCTGTTGAAGCGGGCAGAGAGGATTCCTCCGAGGAAACAACACAAACTAATGAGCTTTTCTGCATTTTCCTTCATGCCAAGGAAGAGGATATCTGTGTTTATGATGTAAGGGTTTAATGGTTAGTTGTCAGACAATAAAATAAATAAATGATGAATGATTTTTGTCACTTTTGGAGCACAAGTTATCAAATGTTTGCTCGTTTCAGAGTCCTAACCTCATGGATTTGTTTCATGTCTTTTTCGAAGTGATAATGAGGTCTGAGCTCTGGGCTGTTGATGAACAAATAAGCAGGTTAAAGCTCTGGTATGACAGTTCTTTGCTATTTAGATTTGCATTTTACAGTTTAGATGATAAATCAATCATCAGGGGCTAGGGTTGCAAAGGGGCAGAACATTTCTGGTAAATTTCCAGAAACTTTCCATGAAAAGTTGGGGAATTTTGGAAATATTCCAAATTGGAAACTTTCCATGGGAATTATGGGAATTTATGGGAATTATTGGGATTTATGGGAATTAACTGGGAATTAGGGGTAATATAAACTAACTGTATCATATCTTAAAATAAATGTAAATATTTTGGTTTTGTCATGAGCAGACATCCAAGCAAACATGACATTTCAACAGATTTATTTGAGTGGTGATGGCGATTTAGCCAAGATTATGCTACAGTATATTTTCCCCAACTATATTGAAGTTCCCTGTTGAGGGCCAACCTTCAATTTTGAAAATTTCCGGTTTATTCCTGTTAATTCCCATGGAAAGTTTCCAACTTTGAAAATTTCTGGAATTTTGCAACCCTATCAGGGGCGTATCCAGAGAGGGGGCACTGCTCTCTTAAAAATCTGATGGCCAACCCTAATCCTCATGATTGGCTTTTAGTTCTGTCAAAAGTTGGATTTGTGTTAAAATCACTCATTGGAGCCGTGTTGTAACAGTCTGTCACCTTCTTTGTACTTCAACTATGCCTGCGTTATTTCTTGTTTTGCTGTTTTATCTTTCTCTGGCTAGTCTCAGTTTCGCTGTAAATATTGTTGGACAAATAGGCTTCATTTTAGCTAACTTTAAGAATATCACCACGATAAAGCTAACTGTTTTCTTTCCAGCACTGATTAAACCATAGCATGATAATTTTTACATAAAATCTGCAATTAGACATAAAACTAATGACCACTTATTGTAAATAGCCCTTTAAATTTAACATTTTTGAAAGTGTTTATTAGTTTTCATGAGAGTTTCCTCTAAATATCACTCTCTTGTTCCTCTTCTGTTGGCAGGGAGTGACATTTGAAGAGTAACATTTGAAACACACGAAAAACGCCAGACTATTTTCCCTTTATCCTTTTTGGTTAAATAGAAATAAAGCATTTTCTGCACAGTATAAAAGCCTGGACTGACACTGAAAAGCATCAGCTCTAAGAGGCTTTTTGCACAGCCAGATTTTTGTCCTTCTGTGAGGTCTTTTTAATTTTTTTGTTCTTTTCTTGCCATGGAAGACCCTGGCACTGAAACTGATTTATCACTCTGAATTACACCCATTGATTTTCATCGCATCGTTTCATCACCTGCTGCACGCGTCATACACATCAGGCTGTGTCATGCATTTACTGCGCTGTAGCATAACTCTGTAACAGTCTGACATTGACTTTGTGTTAAAGCCCGGTGACAGAAGTTTGGCTCTGGAGATTGTTTTTGCTCTGAGTAAACACCGACTTTAAAGCTGCTAGCACAAAAAACTCCACTATAATTCTGAGGAAATCCTTTTCTTCAGTATCTGTCTCCTATTTGGGATACTTGTTGAGATTTAAAGCTTATTCATGCCACCTCTAAAACCCCAGTACAGTGTTGGAAATACACATTAGGGACTGTATAATAGCTGTTGCTTCAGGTGTCAGTAATCAGATGACTTTTACTTGCTTGATATTGCACACATGGGAAGGTGTACAGCAGAAATCCTCAAATAACAAACAGTATTTATCTTTTTAACTCGATGACGTGTTGTTGAAAAGTTCAACTTTTTCAGCTGTGCAGCTTTGTGCTCCGTCTTACTTGCCAGATAAGTCTGTGTCGAGGTGTTGTTGAAACCAATGAGGGGGCTGCGTGTTATTTTTCCGTGTTGTTTGTCGCCTCAGGGGAAGTAACAGGTCTGTGTTTAAAATATGCAAGGAGCGGCATTGTCGGGGGCGTATTGTTCAGGTACCATTTAGACAATGAAACAATGAAGGAGAGCTGTGTGGTGATATTAGTTCTTGAAACCCCGCACAGATTTACAAAGCAGCGTCCTGGGATTGTGCACATGCATATCTTAGACAGGCTGTTGCAGGGTCTTCTTGGCTTTGATGGCCTTGTGAAAATTTTGCCGAGGTTAGACAGTCAGCTGCAAGGTGAGAAACCCCGTGTTTGCAACTAGAGCTGCTCATTTCACCATTATTGCTCTGAGCATACTCAAAAAATACTTTTTAAGTTACTGCAATGAATGAAAACACTGCATCATGTAAACTACGAATGCTCTCTCACTCATCATGCAAACACTTGACGTGATTTTCTTAATATGGAGTAGAGTTGGGCGGTATGACGGTATAAACCGTGCGATGGTATAAAAATGTCTACTGCTAGAAATTTTACTATTCCGTCATACCGGGGGAGAGAGCAGATGTCTGCTTCATCTCTCTGAGTCAGTGTGTAGTTGTCTGCACTCGCTAACAGGAAAGCTAAGGAGTGTCTGTTTGGGTGCATTTCCTTATATTCACCAGCGTGTCCAGCAGACTGCTTGGCGTAGTTTTGACGAAGAAGAAACAGCTTCACTGATGGTGGTCATGGTGGACGAGGAGATTAGCGGCAGTACCGAGCAAACGAAGGCTGCCCGACCCACCCAACATGAGGAAGAGGAGGAGGGACTCGCTCTGAGAAAGGGGGCGAATAGTGACATCGGTTGTCTGGAGATTCTTCAGATTTAGAAAAGAGTGTTGTGTTGCTGTCGTTGCTGGTGGTGGAAACAGTATCAACTTCTTCTACCACCTAAAGATGAAACACGCCAAGCTCTATCATGAGAGCCGAAAGATGCGTAGCACACCTGCTGCACCAAAAACTAAAGCTGAAGCAGCTCCTCTCATACAAAAGAGTTTGGCAGAGTCTTTCACTAAAGCTACGCCATATGATAAAAAAATCACCAGACTGGTCTGACATTATGTTTGCATTTGTTTACAAATCTGAGTTTAAAAATAAAAGGAAAAATGAACAAATTTGACAGTATGGTTATTTTTAAGCCATTAATTGACTCACAGGGAAAAAACATACCGTGATATATACCGTTTCCGTGATATGAAATTACTCATATGGCGATATAAGATGTTGTTCATACCGCCCAACACTAATATGGAGATGTCTAAAAGCATTTCAACTTTGATCAGCTGACATGTTCACAGGTCAGAAAACCCCTCAGAGAAAAATCCAACTTGAGGACAAACTTGTTGATGAGTGTGCCTAACATTAGCAGAGCTAGCACCTCTAGCCGTCCACTTCACTGTAGTTAAAAAGTTCGGTTTGAACGGTTTAAGCAGAGTCTGAATTGAAGTGTTAGTCCGAGTGGACTCCATAAATATCAAACTGCTCTTTCACACCACAGGAGTCCTGTAAGAGGTTTAAAGAGGTCTTGATTGGATCTGTTACTGGTCCTGTTCTGTTTTTCCCCCCTCCCCTTCTTCTCGCCGTGGTCCCTCCTGTCTCCACTCAGCCAATCAAATCTGCCGTCACCGCCGGGCTTATGACCCACGCCAGTTGCTATAGCAACGCCGGCCTGCCTCCTGGAGAACATGTCATGCATGTTAAGTGGTTCTCAGATGCTCTCTCTGCCTTACGTTCTCTCTTAAGTCATCACACACACACACACATGCACACGCACGCGCAGCAGAGATAGTTAACACATGAGGGTTTGTTTTAGAGCTTCTGAAGCGGCACTTCTAACTGATCCGACTTCCCCCAGAGTGTCTGCTTAAGATTAGCGACAGCAGTTTTCATGCAGGATATCTCATCGCTTTATGAATTTCCCAGCCTTTTATTAAAAGAGGAAAAAGTGCCGCACAAAGGTTTTGAGTTTTCGGTGTCTTGAGTGAGTGTGTGTGTTTGGAGGTGGAAAAGAAAACACTCTGAAAAGTTTCCCTGAATGCAAGCGAATACCTTTCATTTTCAACTGTTGCTATTTTTCTTTAATGTCATTCAAACCTGAAACCTGTCGTTCTGGCTCATACTTGAGTACCTTTCAAAACTCAATCCCAGCCCGTCAGAGCACATAGTTTCCTCCAGACAGGTTTGATTTTATTTGGCTGTAAGCGCTCAGTGTTCCCCTAATAAAGCCCGCAGACTTTCTGCTGGCTCTGTGTTTTTGACAGAAGCAGCGACATAAAGTTTTATTATTCAAACTAAATATTTATATAAGGATTATTACGTTTTATTAGAGCTCCTCCCCTCTTTATATGAGAGCCAGGATGAAGTGCACAGACACAAACACAGTGTGTCCCGCCACCCGGACTGTCAGTGTGAATGTTTTGAAATCCTTCAAGCAGAGAGGCTGACCTCCAAAGAGACAACAGCCGAACCCTAGTCTGCACTCTTTTCTCTTTTACTCCCATCAGTCTGACTGCTTTGGCTCTGCAAATTAGTAGAATAGACTAGAATAGACATGTCTCATACTAGAATAGACATGTCCCAAACTAGAATAGACCTGTCTCATACTAGAATAGACATGTCTTTCACTAGAATAGACATGTCTTTTACTAGGATAGACCTATCTCATACTAGAATAGACATGTCTTTCACTAGAATAGACATGTATCTTACAAGAGTAGAAATGTCTCTTACTAGAATAGACATGTCTCATACTAGAATAGACATGTCACTTACTAGAATAGACATGTCTTTTACTAGAATAGTTATGTCTTTACTCGAATAGACATGCATCTTACAAGAATAGACATGTCTCATTCTAGAATAGACATGTCTTACACTAGAACAGACATGTCTTACACTAGAACAGACATGTCTTATACTAGAATGGACATTTCCTTTACTAGAATAGACATGTCTTTTACTGTAATAGACATGTCTTTTACTAGAAGGGACATGACTTTACAAGAAAAGAAACGCGTCTTACAAGAATGGACATGTCTCATTCTAGCATAGACATGTCTTATACTAGAATAAAAATGTCTTTTACTAGAATAGACATGTCTTATACTAGAATAAAAATGTCTTTTACTAGAATAGACATGTCTCATACTAGAATAGACATGTCTTATACTAGAATAGACATGTCTCGTACTAGAATAGACATGTCTCGTACTAGAATAGACATGTCTCATACTAGAATAGACATGTCTTATACTAGAATAGACAAGTCTCCTACTAGAATAGACATGTCTTTTACTGGAATAGACAAGTCTCTTACTAGAATAGACATGTCTTATACTAGAATAGACAAGTCTCCTACTAGAATAGACATGTCTCATACTAGAATAGACATGTCTTATACTAGAATAGACAAGTCTCCTACTGGAATAGACATGTCTTATACTAGAATAGACATGTCTCATACTAGAATAGACATGTCTTTTACTGGAATAGACAAGTCTCTTACTAGAATAGACATGTCTTATACTAGAATAGACATGTCTTTTACTGTTAGATGTGGAGTTTTCTGATTTGTCATGACTGTCCTGTCTCTGCATAAGTTTTGCAGCATCTTCATTTTTGAGGATTTTGTGTTTAATCATCCATCTCTCTATAATACCTGATTATTGTGTATCATATTGTACAGCTTCTACCTCGACCCAGTCTTCCTTTTCTATCTCAATGAGCACCCCTGGTAAAATAATCGACTCAAAGTTTTTCATGCGACAGTTCGCCTCTTTAAAATGTGTGCCAATACTAATGAGGTTTCCCAGGTTTGCACTTTTTACCTGCAGCTCTTTCATTTAATGAGCTGAGTGGAGTCGCTCTACTTTGTCTTTTTTCTCCCTTGCACTGGTGACAAGTACTTCACTTACAAAAGCAGATATCTAAAGTCCTTTCAGTTCATAATGGCTCTGAAGTGAGCAGACTGCAGCTGAAACAAACACATTCTAGGATCCTCCTGTCTGTGCAGATTTTGCATATGTGGCTTTCTGCCATGTGTGGCTTTCTCCCACAGTTCAAAGACACACAGGTCAGGTTAATTGGTCACTCTGAATTGACATGTATGTGTGAATGGGAGTGGGTCTGATTGTTTATTGACCATGTGATAGACTAAAACATGTCCAGGGTGTGCCGCTCCTCTGGCCCCCCTTTCACCTGAACCTTGGATGGAATAAGCAGTATGATAACGACAGGATGAAGAGAAAGAGAGAAAATGCCCACAGTGCAAAGTCAACTTGTAGTTAGGAGTTGAACCAGCAACTGTTGCAACAAGGACAGTAGCCTCCTTTTGTTTAGCCTAACCGCAGGGAAAAACCTGCACCCAGGTGTCCCTAAGTTCCATCTACGTTTTCTGTCCCCGCATTTTTAAAAGTTAGGATACATTAATTATAGTTAGGGGGATTTTGAGTACATTTGGGTCTTGATATTTTCAGGAAGTTGCTGTCCCATGGTGCACTTCACACCATGTGACGTGCTCTCAAGACCCAGTATACCATGTTTTATTCCACTGGGAGTCGTCTCCTGTTTTTGTTTGAATGTGGTGCACTTATGCTGCGTTGGAGTTACCTTGGAAGTCAGAAGTCCGAGCTAAAAAAGGCGTCACAACTGAGTTCCCAGCGTTTCAGTTACAGAGTCAGAATAAAGCAAAACCAGAGGCCTGAAACAAGGTGGCTACATCTACGAAAGTAATAATAACTTCCATAGATGTAGCCACCTTGTTTCTGGCCTCCAATTTTGCTTTTTTCCGACTTGGACACTGAAACGCAGGAAACTCGCATGTGACGTCATTTTCAGCTCCGACATCTGACTTCCGAGGTAACTCGAACGCAGCATTAGCCGCTAGGGGTGGGAGAAAAAATGGATTGACATAAGTATCGTGGCTTTTTGTTTTACAATTTTTTTATTGATTTTTATGTAAAGAAATCTTTTCTCTTGTTTTTTTCAAACCTAAAAATAAATCTTAAAAACTGACTTAAGGTCCTTTCACACCGGGACCATTTTTTACGTGCGATTATTTCGGAGGTCAATATTTTTTTCAAATCCGTATCCTGTCAATACAAGTGTTCACATCAGCAACGTTTTCCCATCCTGCGATATTGCGGCTTTTTTTTTCTTTCGGATCACAGTCAATTTTTCTAAAGTTTTGCATACTGTGTGTCCACTTCTGACCAATCAGATTGCGTTAAAAATGAAGACTGAAAGTCGACAATATCGTTGAAATGCAATTAAAATCGAATCGGCATCCAAAAAATCATAGATTTGAATCGTCTCAGCCCTATGAGTCACTGGTTCATCCAGATTCTTTCGAAAGACACCAACTGTGCTGGTCCTGGCTTCTAGCTGGTTTTCTTGTACTTGTGTGATGGTGTATCGTAGACCTTTTTGGACTTTGAACGGCCTGACAGGACGCTTGAACCGAGATAACAAAAGACACACACTCACACAGAGCAGTGAAAAGCTCCTGAAGTGTCTCCACATTCATAACTCCTTACTCTCTTCAGGCAGCAGCATGATATCCTTTTAAAATCAGGATTTATTCATCGGCAGACTTTGCCGTTGGAGTAAATTTCAAAATAAAAGCGAGAAACCGAAAAAAAAAAAAAAAAAACAAGTGTGAAGTGATACAGTTGGCAGCTTTTATTCTGGCCACAAAAACTGGAGAACAGTTCAGGAGACTCTCTGCAAATTATTCATAGACCCCTGAAGAGACTGCTACAATCTGTGTATAAATGTGTGTGTATAAATGTGTGTGTGTGAGAAAGAAAGAGAAAGTGCCAGTGAGTTGAGAGAACAAGGAAAGCCAAAGTGCGCTGAGGATTATTTAGTTGTTGGTCGATAATAATGGGTCAGGCTTGCTCCCAGTTTCCACACACACACACACACATACACACACGCACACGCATTGTCACACACATTTCCTCTTCCTCTCTTTCTGTGCAGCAGCTCAGGAGGACTTAGAAAAAAAAAGAAAAAGAAGCCAGACAAGGATGATTCAGATGAAGTTGGCTTCTGTCCCTCCGGAGAAAGATAATCTGATGATGAAACGGGGACGCAGCAGAGGCATGATGGGTAAAAATGAGAGCAAACAGCTGAGATATAACAGTTTGTGAAGTACAGCGGGATGGTACAGGGAGGGGGAGGGGCTTCCCCCAGCGGTGAAGAGGGTAGAGTTAGCAGGCAGGACAGTGATAAAATTACATAACAGTCCGACATGTGGAGCTGCAGGGCTGTCACTTTAAATCACTTTGGTGTCTACAGTTTGTGATGTATTCATTATTTTTAGAGCTGCTCTGCTGATGAGTTTCCTCAAGTGTCAGAAAATGTAAAAGCTCTCCGAACTACTCTGTGGATTTAGTGTCTGGAGTCAGTCTCCCTAATGGTGTGAAATGTAGTCAAAGGGAAATGAAGATCATTTAGGGTGTAAATGGAAAACTAAATGAGGAGTAAATTATTCAACTTGAGTATATTTGGTGATTTTTTTTCTTCTCTCTGCTCTTTTAGAGGGATCACTGAGACTTTTCCTCTCATGATAGTTTGTCTCTGACAGGAATGTGTGTTCAGGCCCTCAGGCGTTTGTCTCCACATTGTTTACCTCGACTGGATTTGTGTTTGTTTAGTAAATCATTCCTGTATTCCAGTGTATTTTTGTAAGTTTCTCAGTGCAGTTTTTTTTTTAATTTGCTCTTGGTTGTGAAGGGCAGAACAAGGGAAATCAGTGTCTTCTTTACACCTGTTTGCACTTTACCGTAAATACTGTGAAACTGGCCTCTACTTTTCAGTTGTTACATGACTTTTTGTCAGGGATGTGAATTAGTGTTCAGAGAGATTATTATCTCATGTAGGGTGACCATATGTCCTCTTTTACCTGGACATGTCCTCTTTTTGGGCAGGCTGTCTGGCTTGTCCAGGGGGTGAAAACATTTTTTGTAGGATGGTAGGGAAAGGTCCCGCCCTTGTTCGCCTCTGATTGGCTGGAAGTGCTGCACTCCAATTGGTTATTCCTAATGGCTGTGAAACGTCATCGTCTGTTGGGTTAGGGTTAGTGTCTACCGTCACCTACTGTGTTTCCAGTGGCAACGTCACAACTAGGCCCGACCGATTTATCGGCGAGCTGATTATATCGGCCAATTTTAGCCTGTTTGAGACTGGTCGGTAATTGGCCAAAATTCGCCGATTTTTGCAGATATTTTCAGAAATAAAATGTGGAGAGTTGAAAACGTTTTTATGGTCGAAGTTTGGTTCATGATAAATACAAGGAATATTACTGAGATGATCAGTCGGTCTTCCTGTTGGTGTCAAGAGCAGTAGCCTACAGTATATCGGGTGTTCCTCATTTTTTACGATGTAAGTGAGTTAGCTTTTTTTTTCTTTATTTACATAGGCTATTTATTTAAGAGGATGAAAAGTGTGTGAGTTAGACAAGACGGAGTTTGACAAAATAATCAGACTCACACCCGCTACAGTCCGAATAATTAGCTGAAAAGAATTAGTTTATCATCTGAATTACAGTTAAAATAAATAGGCAGGGGTTATTTTAGCAATAAAGAGGATTTGAAGGAAGTTTTCTGCCTTTAATTCTTTGAAGAGGTGTTTGAAAGGCTCAAAAGCAGCCATTTGTTAGAAAGATAACCAAATTTGTAGATATATTACTTAAATTAACATGATTTTAAAACTTCATAAAAATTTTAAAAAATCAGCCGATTATTCGATAAGGTTATAGGTCATGTCAGCAGAAAGCCATAGTTGTACAGGGCATAAGTATTATGTCAAAAGTTCAACAAAGTTACAGAAACCTCTTTGATGGCCTGTGATATGAAGCCTTGGTTTTCAGTAGCAAAAAAGGATAAAAGCCCCGACTTTTGTGGATTTAGTTTTAGATTAATTTAAATAGGATTAGGCAAATAATCTCCTGTGGGAAGTTTGTTTCAAAAGGATTAAAGACTTAAATCTGAAAAAAAGAGAGTGGAAGTGTTATCTATAGTGTAAACGTTTCTGCAGCATTTCCCAGTTCAGTCTTCTTTACCTGTTGAAATGAGTCAGTGTCTTTTTACAATCTTCTGGAAGTTTAAATCCTCGAAAACTTAAGATTTACTGTCAAGCTTTCAAGCCAAGTTTCATATGTTGCAATGAACATCTTCAGGTTGCACAGAAAGATTTGAAAGCAGATCGATTTCAAGTGTAGCCTCATGCAATTTAATATTTCCAAGTTTTTAAAACACGGTGCTGCAGTCGTCCCGGTTGATTTTCCTTCAACAATTATATGAGCAGCCATGTCAGCAAATCTCTTTCCTTTTGCAGGTTTAACGTCTGCGCTGCATGAATATCAAGTACCGAAATCGATCAGGAGCTCATGCATGAAAGCAGGTCAAATCCCAGCTATTAACACCCTCTGTGCCTCTGCGGGGCCCCGGCCTTTTTGAAGTTTGAGCTCAGAAGTGTGAAAAAGTCCAACTCGTAGTTTTATCCCGGCATCCTCTGAGGAGGCGCGCAGGTCTACCGACTCTGTGTTTGTAAAGACCCCGACCCTGTTCTCTCACAGCCTTACACTGTTTGCTCACCTGACTGACTGTGTGAAAACAGCGAGAGCCAGCTGTGTGTGTGTACGCGAGCGAGAGTGTGTGCAGCCTAATGTGGTGAAACAGTGAGCTCTCCTGCCCGTGCTATTCCTCAGTACAAACACTGTGTGGAAGACTGTATTTAAATACACACTCTCTTAGCCTGCCCCCTACTGTTGCCCAGACCTACTTTCAAACACACACGTATACACTCACACACACTCTGGGGAAAATAGGCCCTCAAAAACACATCACACACACGCAGACCTGGACCAGAACTGAGCTGCGGGTTCAATGAAGGCTAAATGATTTTTCCCAGCTCACCTCCCTCCTGTTAAAACTCAATTAAGCAGTTTGGAGAAAGACTTTGGGCAGAGGACTTTGTGGATCATACTGCCCCCGGTGGCAGAGAGCGGCACTGCTCCATGCTCTGCCCTTTGCTCTCATTAGCATATGAACAGGTTAGTAACTAATGTTTTAATTAGCATGGCTGTCAGTCAACTTAATGAGAAATTACCCTCACTCTCAGCTCTGGCTGCAGGGCATTGTGGGATTGTTTCACTGAGTTTGCATCATTCGAGGAACTTCAGATTTTTTTTATATTTGAGGAAAAAGTCCCATCTGTCTTTTTTAATGCCAGTTTTTTCCTCATACCAACAGTATGATTGACTCTTCACACCAGTGTCTAATTTTGAAGTTAACACATCTTTATAATTTTGTAGTTTTGATTTCACAAACTTTAAAACGTCACATTTTCAGCTTTTGTTTCTCTTATTTATTCGCAGAAGTTTACTTTATTCGCACATCTTTGTCAACTCAAAACTTTTCACAGTTTTTTTCTCATAAATTGCTGGAAAATACACCCCTGTGCACAAGTTCTCCCTCAATTTTTTGCCGTTGTAGTTCTCAAAGTGGCCAGTTGGTGTCCTCCTCTCCCCATTTTCACCTCCAGGGTCTGATCAACCGGAGTGAACGATTGCACTGTCTCTCTTTGCTTTCAGTGACATTTAACAAATGTGTCACTTTGGACAGAGAGCACCGACGCATCCCAGACGCTGAAGTTATTTGTCCAGCTTCTTTTTAACCTCGGTCAGGTTCAGGTTACTTTATTAATACCCGGAGGTAGATTTGGTAGAAGGTAGAAGTTACAGTACAAATATAAAACAACCACAAAACAGAACACATGATAAAAGCACCCCAAGGCTCCCCAGTCAGGACACAAGAGAGGGAGAAAAACGTCAATACATAAAGAAATGCAAATAAATAACCCAAATAAACAACTTCTGGTAAAAACAAGTTTAAAACCAACATAAATAAGTAAATAATACCTCCCCAGTATGTGCCAATTGTGCAAAACTATGTGCAAAATCTCTACTACTTGTTCACGTCAATAATAGCAGCAGGAACGAAGCTGTCTCTGTGACGTTTAGTTCTGCATTTGGGGACTAGAACCCTCCGTCCAGAGGGAAGAAACTGGAACTCGCCGAGCAAAGGGCGGGAGTCGTCATGTAGAATAGAGAAAGCTACCTAAATTTGTTTTTCACACGTCTAAATATCTGCTTCCTCTCTTTTTCCTTCCAGGTGGTGGAGAAAGTTAAGTGCCAGCAAGTCGAGTGCAACCCGCCCGCCCCGTCCATCCTGGAGCCTCTCCTCCCTGCCCTTTCCTGAACTCCCCATCCCCAGCCGAGCCGATCTCGTACCTCCATCTTTGAACCTGAAGTCAACGCACACGCAGACCGAGTTAAACACTTTTAAACTGCCACCCACGCTGACAGGATGATCACCTCAGAGCTCCCCGTCCTGCAGTGAGTGAAACCCACTGTTGACAGAAACAAGAGAATTGCAGGGAAAGCTCAAACAGCACACCTATCATTGCTCTAAAAATATGTTCCTCCTCTGAATCCAAGTGCATGTTTAGGAGTTGGTGCTTAAATTAAACTTTTATAAACCTGCTTATGACTGACTCACTTTTGTGTGCGCTCAAATCCTTCAAACACGACTCCAGCTGCACCAAAAATAACAATTTCTTTCTGCTTTTTACATTCCTGAAGATCTTTATTTGTCATTTTATCGAGTTTGATTTCTTTTGTGTTTTTTGCTCACAAAAGGGACTCATCCAACGAGTCTGGGGCGACAGATGCAGTGGGCCTGAGCATGAGCATGAGTGAGATTGAAGATCCAGAGGTGAAAGGCAAGAAGAAGAGAGGGAGGCCTGGAAAGCAAACGCAGGTGAGAGTCGGCGGAGTGAAAGACAGAAATGAAAAGTGGTGATTTTTGTTTTCTCCGATCACTCTTGAACTCCTGAGAATTAAGCTTTGAATGATTCGAGTTCTTGGTTCCTGCAGACATCCAATAAGAAGCCTCGGAAGTCCCCGACAGAGAAGTCCGTGGGTGTAGCAAGAGGGCGAGGGAAAGCCAACGGTGTGGCTCAACATAATGGAGACGGAGGAGATCCCGTCACTCTGTTTGAAGTGGTCAAACTGGGCAAGAGCGCCATGCAGGTGCGTAAAAGATGTTTGAAGAGTCTCGACCTGAAATTTGAACATGTCAGATGTTTGAAGTGTTCAATCAAACACCTGATTTTCTCTGTGTGTCTGTAGTCTGTGGTGGATGAGTGGATCGAGTCCTACAAACAGGACAGAGACTTGGCCTTGTTGGACCTCATCAACTTTTTCATCCAGTGCTCAGGCTGCAAAGGTGAGACGTGTGAAATTCCTGGAAGATCTTGAGACAGCCGTGATGAATCCTAATGTTATAATTTTTTTTAACCAGGCACTGTGAGGATTGAGATGTTCAGGAACATGCAGAACGCCGAAATCATCCGCAAGATGACCGAGGAGTTCGATGAGGTAACTGCCGTCACAGAGTCCTGACTTATAGGATTTGCTTTATTCTTGAGCGGTGCGAACATAACCAAGTGTGGGGGTTGAGGTCGGAGCAGAATTCAAGCGGTTTGGGCGCTGTAATGTTTTATTCAAAAGCTCAAAATACAAAGTCTGAAGAGGAAGTCTGAATGAATCCCTTTCTCTGAACACTTTTTGTTTTCTTTGAATAGGACAGCGGCGATTATCCTCTCACCATGCCGGGGCCCATGTGGAAGAAGTTCCGCTACAACTTCTGCGAGTTCATCAGCGTGCTCATCCGCCAGTGTCAGTACAGCATCATCTACGACGAGTACATGATGGACACGGTGATCTCCCTCCTCACCGGGCTGTCCGACTCTCAAGTCCGAGCCTTTCGACACACCTCCACGTTAGCGGGTAAACGCCAGCTTTGTAAACTGCAACAGAAAACTTCAACATGAACCACATAAAAAGTCTGACCTTATATATATGTTGTTTTCTTTTATTTGTGTGTGTCGCAGCGATGAAGCTAATGACAGCTCTGGTGAACGTGGCTCTGAACCTGAGCATCCACCAGGACAACACTCAGAGACAGTACGAGGCCGAGAGGAACAAGATCGCTGGGAAACGAGCCAATGAGAAGCTGGAACTGCTGCTACAGAAAAGGAAGGAGGTTTGTGGACTGAAAGCCTTTTTTTTTTAAGGACAGAGCCTTTAAACTAGCACAGAGTGAGCATTTATATCTTTTGTGGAGTCAAAAGTAAAACTATAAATGTTTTTATTGTCTTCTGCAGCTCCAAGAAAACCAGGATGAAATCGAGAACATGATGAACTCCATCTTCAAGGGAATCTTTGTGCACCGATACAGGTTTGCTGCTTCTTTTCATCGTCACTGCTGACTTAGATTTCATCGCCTTTTTCCCTTTGTAATCATAACTTTCATGGTCGTTCTGTTTCACATTTTCCAGGGATGCTATCGCTGAAATCCGAGCCATCTGCATTGAGGAGATCGGCGTGTGGATGAAGATGTACAGCGACGCTTTCCTCAACGACAGCTACCTGAAGTATGTCGGCTGGACGCTACACGACAGGGTGAGCTAAGATCTAAATGTTTCATTGCAGCACTTAGACTTAGCCCTAGATCTCTACTCCTTTCATTTGTTCTTACCTGTGTCCTTTTTTTTAGCAAGGTGAGGTGCGTCTGAAGTGCCTGAAGGCTCTGCAGAACCTGTACACAAACCGAGAACTTTTCCCAAAGTTAGAGCTCTTCACCAACCGCTTTAAGGTAAACAAAAACGAACGCAAGTCCCGTGAGTACGAACATGATCTTCAGCAGTGAAACGGAGTAACGCTCAGATGTCACGCTTTTTCGTTTCTGCAGGACCGTATAGTATCAATGACACTGGATAAAGAGTATGATGTGGCTGTTGAGGCCATCAGGCTGGTCACACTCATCTTGCAGTGAGTGACTTCAAGACTTTCTCCTTTTTCCTTTCAGCTCTGCCTTCATCGTCTGTCCAGTTCATTCATTGAAAAAAAAAAAAACGGGCTCCTCTGTTTTTCAACCGGACGCACTTTTTGTGATTTCAACTGAGCGGACTCAAGAAATCCTTGTGTTTAGTGTAACTTATTTTGACGATCCGTTGTAGGGGCAGTGAAGACGCCTTGTCCAATGAGGACTGTGAGAATGTGTACCACCTGGTGTACTCGGCCCACAGACCCGTGGCCGTCGCCGCTGGAGAGTTCCTGCACAGAAAGTACGTCAGTCCTGGAATCTGCTCGTGTCTATTCCCCTTTGAATACACACCTGATCATTTTCCTTCTCCCTCTCTGTCTTCTGCCCGTCAGGTTGTTCAGTCGTCATGACCCGCAGGCGGAAGAAGCTCTAGCGAAGCGCAGAGGGAGGAGCAGTCCTAACGGGAACCTCATCCGCATGCTGGTGCTCTTCTTTCTGGAGAGCGAGGTAACATCGACACTTAATGAGGACAATTATACCTAAACTTGAACTTTAAATTACTGCTCCTTCAAAATTGATGTTGTGTGAAATTCAATTGTTTTGTTTTTGCATGAAGCTCCACGAGCACGCCGCCTACCTGGTGGACTCTCTGTGGGAAAGCTCTCAGGAGCTGCTGAAGGACTGGGAGTGTATGACTGAACTTCTGCTGGAGGAGCCGGTGCAGGGAGAGGAGGGTAAGACCGGGATGTGTTTCCCTTTTTTCAGCGACATAACTCTGCAGCGGAAAACCAGCGAGAGGATGATGCAATAAAATCCTCCTCCTTGAAACTCTCTCTCTCTAGTCTGGTTTCTTTCAATCTTTCTGTCTTGTTTTTGAGACTCGCTAACAGTCGGACTCCCCCTTTTTATCTCCCTAACTTCTCCGGTCTGTCTCTGCAGTGTTGTCAGACAGACAGGAGAGCGCTCTGATAGAACTGACTGTGTGCACCATCCGACAGGCTGCAGAGGCACACCCACCTGTCGGCAGAGGCACCGGCAAACGGGTAAGCCAAGTTTACGCACACACTGAAATTATCCAACAGGATATTTACTACTTTTTAAAACCACAAAAGCTCAAGAAAAAGTCTCGGGTGCTCACTTTTTATTTCTGCACAAGTGTTTTTCTTCAGTCCCTTTTTTTAACGTGTGGTCCTGCAGGTGCTGACAGCGAAGGAGAGGAAGACCCAGATAGACGATAAGAACAAACTGACCGAGCACTTCATCATGGCTCTGCCCATGCTCCTGTCAAAGGTAAGACCTCTATGAGAGCCAGTCTGCAGCAGAGAGGTCAGAGACGCTGATAAACGACGGGATTTGACTCAAGGATATTTGATTAGGTTGTTATTTATGTGGAGTGAAGGCAGGCGAAGCTCGACTTGAACAGAAACAAACAGTTATAGTTTATTGAAGTCATCTGTTTCTCATTCGGTCCTCTCTGCAGTACCAAGCCGACTCGGAGAAGGTAGCCAACCTGCTGCAGATCCCTCAGTTCTTCGACCTGGACGTGTACAGCGCCGGGCGTATGGAGAAGCACCTGGACGCGCTGCTGAAGCAGATCCGGCTGGTGGTGGAGAAGCACATCGAGACGGACGTGCTGGAGGCCTGCAGTAAGACCTACAGCATCCTCTGCTCCGAGGAGTACACCATCATGAACCGCGTGGACATCGCCCGCTCGCAGCTCATCGACGAGATGACGGATCGCTTCGCACACTCGGTGGAAGAGCTGCTACAGGAGGTATGACGGGGTCCAAAAGAGGCACCTCAAGAAAGATTCAAAATTTGTTTGCAGTTTTTGTGTATTAATGTGTGTTTGTTCTTCTACAGGCCGAGGAGGCTGATGATGACGACATCTACAACGTTTTATCTACGCTCAAAAGACTCACTGCTTTCCACAAGTAAGCCTCTGTAAAAGCTCGAAAGAAAACTTCCAGAAAACAAACTCTGTGTCTTCACTCATGCGGTTTCCTCTCATCTCTCGCTTCAGCGCCCATGACCTGACGCGGTGGGATTTATTCGGAAACTGTTACCGGCTGCTGAAGGCGGGCATCGAGCAGGGCTCAATGCCGGAGCAGATCGCCGTTCAAGCCCTGCAGTGCTCCCACTACTCCATCCTGTGGCAGCTGGTCAAGATCACAGAGGGAGCCCCCAGCAAGGTGCGGCACACACCTCACTGACCAGAGCCTGAACTCTCCGATCCCAGGTTCCTCCTCGTCCTTCACAGGCTTAGAGTTAAGACGGCTGTATCTGAGCAGCCATGTTGCCTAGCGGGATGGGCGCTTATCCGTATCTCTGCAGGGAAGGTCAGCTTAGGTGGAAAGATCGATGAAATTACTGGACAGGATACCGAGCTCCCTCTCAGGGGCCTGTCCCCAATCTATACTGCTTAACACTCGAGCGCTGTGCTGAGGCTTTAAAGTGTGAGGTGGACCTAAGCCTAGATCTCTGAGAGAGATGAACCCTGATCCACTGCTGGGACTCATGTGTAGCGATTTGAAATGAGCCTCACAAGGCCGTACCAAAATAGTACTGTAGCGATTGGAATTTATAATAAATGTCTGAAGATTAATAATCTCAAATTATGACATTTATGCACTCGTTGAAAGGGGCACCACCCACCCTTAATGGTGGGAAAATAAAGAAAACAAAAGTTTAATTCAGAAATCAAACATCAAGTCAGTTTTAATTAATCAGTCTTAATTAATCAGTCTTAATTAATCAGTCTCATATCTTAAGTCGAAATTCTAATTTCAGGGACTCCACTTCTGGAAGAACACTAACAGACCAGAACTTAGAAAAATAATTATCTGTTTATTACAGGATAAATGATGGTACAACACACATGCAATAAATGATGATAAGATAATGAAGATAAATAATAATAGGTGAATAAATCAAGATTCTGAGTCAGGCTAGGAGCACTAAAGTTAATGATAGTGAGTGAATATGCGCTAACATATTAACCTACACTAACTTTAGTGTCGAGATAAACTCGGATGTGGATTTGGAGGAATCTAAGATTACCAGAATAAGAGGATATCTGAGTTGAACGCAGGAGACAGCACCAGCCCTCTTTAGAGCTCTGGAGGTTTGCATACTTAAGTGAGACTGGTCCTTGGAGAAGATGGAGCAGGTTCCGAAGGTCCGGGCTACTGGCGGTTTGAGCGGTTCAGCTCAGAAGACGACTGAAGTCAGCCGAAGGATGAGCCAGGAGTTGCAGCACTCAGGCCCGAAGCAAAAACCAGCGCCTGTGGATCCTGTGGATGCTCGTTTGGGTACTTCTTTAGTCTCACTCAAAAACTCTGGCACAGAGGATGACCTGGGCCTGTTGGATTGCGTTCGGAGGTGACTTTGAAATCACGCAGAAAACTCAGAAAAACGAGGCTCGAAGAGCAGAGAAAACTTTCAAAAATGGCTTCGCGAAATTAAAGAAAATCAATCAAAGGCTTAATCTTGAATTGCTATGTGCACAAAAAGTTGAAGTTTCAAAACTTGAACTAAGACGATGTTAAAGAAAAATCAACGTGAATCAACACGTGGCGTAAAACTTAGAAGACTAAGAAAAAGTTCTAAGAGAAAACAAAGAAACGCACCACAGAAGGGTGTGGACAGAAGAGAAGGGGCATAAGAGCCGGGGACAAGAGAGTCAGCAGAAGAGCAGAAGCATAAGAGAGTGAGCAACCCCACTTCACTGGTTTTATCTTCTCACACTGGGAGTGTCTCCGGGGTGTGTGTGAGGAGAAAGGAGGGGTCGTGGAATCTCTGATTATTTGATCTAACTTATTCTTTTGGCTGGTAAAAGAGTCAGATCTGATACTCACTCACTATGATTAATACCATTGAATGCTTGGTTTCGTGATAAATAATTTGACACTAAACACATATGAATGAAGTGTAGGATCACTCTGAAATGAAACAGATAGTAACACCTGGAAACTGTGAACAACAAAAGAGTAAACACATGTGAATGAACTTCATCATGATTAATAATGGATTCTAAATACTCACATTAAGGTTATTCAATGACATTATAACCACCTAATGGTTAAAAATACTAAACAAACAACTACAATATAAACCAAACATTTCTAAACTGTTTCTGTTACCTAGAGTTAAGTTATGATTCATAGTCGATAAATTTAACTCTTAAAAGTTCATGGAACAGTCTGAAAAGCTGTTGGTCTAAAGAAACTAAAGAGCGATAACTCGGCTTCTGGAGCACATAGAAAAACGGGAAACATCTCATTTTAACACAAATTTCATGATTAGACAGATTAGTACATTGCTGAATGCATAAGATGTCATGATCAGTCATTTGTATTCTTTCACCAAAGGAATGTAGTCTTTATCAGTGTATGGTCGAGCAGGGTTTTACGACCGAGGTCTGGAGGTCAGTGTCCCCCCCTTTTCCTGGGGTCCGTATGTTCACACACTTTAAGACGCTAAATCTCAAATGGGAGATCTGGGTTGAGACGTTAATGTTTATTTAGATGGTCAGTGATGGAGTCAGTTTAAAAGGTAATAAAAACTCTGTCTCTGTTCTCCGAATCAACCAATCATGAAGAGCCAGAGGTTTAGTCAACCTCCGGTTGGGTCAGTAATGGTAACCTGAAAGTGCAAACAAGTCTGGAAAGATTTATATCCTGTTTCCTGGGACCAGATAAGGAAACTTTCTGTGAGGAATGTGTGAGATTCACACCCAGGGTTGTCTTGATTGCTACACATGGCAGCTACTGTAGTAATTTAATTAGGAGGGTGGTCTTTTTAGCTTGAGTTTAAGAGCTCCACGCACCTGAGATACATCTGAAACTATCTCATCGGAGAGGTAAGAACGTGAAGTAAACACCGACAGTTAGATCTGTGTGCACCCTTGGAGTCTAACCGTCTGAACAGAAATGCTCATTCATGGTTGTGAAAGAAAATTAACGACCATATTGACTCCAAACCGATCAATCCTGCTTCCTCAGCGCAGTCAGCTGTTGATGAATGAAAGCCATCACACGTTCATTTCTTTAATGGCACCGTTAGTGCGGGGCGACACATTTAACCTGACAAATAACACCGTTCAGTATCCATTTCAGTTAATGTGTTCATTACTCCTAACACTTGAATAATGGTGTGTGTGTGTTTGTGTGTGTGTGTTTGGCTGCAGGACGACTTGGTGGCTCTCAGGAGAGTGGTGAAGTCGTTCCTGGCTGTGTGCCAGCAGTGCCTGTCCAACGTCAACACACCAGTCAAAGAGCAGGTAAATGACACACACACCTGATCGCTCTCTGATTTTCTGTTTATGTGTGAGCGTTACCGTCAGAAATGTCACAATAATGTGCTTATAGATCCAGGAAATTGACCTTTTAGTCGTTTTCTACTCGATCTTAAGTCTTCATTCGTGCCTCTCGTTTAGGCTTTCATGCTTCTCTGCGACCTGCTGATGATCTTCAGTCACCAGCTGACGTCCGGCGGCAGGGAGGGCCTCCAACCACTTGTCTTCAACCCGGACAGCACCCTCCAGAACGAGCTGCTCAACTTCGTCCTGGACCACGTCTTTATCGACCAGGATGATGAGAGCCAGAGCATGGGTGAGGGAAAGAAAGTAGAAGAAAAATGCTCCTGTCTTTGGCCTGAGCAACGAGTTAATTAATCAAATAATTCATGAATTTATCGAAAATGAGACCATTTTTAACCCTCTGGGCTCCTAAAAAAAAGTTAAATTTTCGTCCATCTAAGGACCTAAATTTAATTTCAAAGAAATAACGTAATTAAAAAAAAAACTGACAATACATAAAAAATAATTCATCATAATTAATGTTGTTGTTATTTATTGACATATGGCAGACCTTGATTAAAAATAAAAAAAAATAAAAAAAATCTGCATCTAATATATTCAAAATATAATTCCAAATTCCATCTTTTCCCATTGAAAATATAATCAAACTGGCATTAAAAGGGTTAAAATCCTGAAAATGAATTAACATTTGATAGATATGATCAGGAATGAAGTTGATTAAAAGATTTAAGAAAAAAAAGTGGAAAAACATATTAATGTATGATATTTTTATAGCGCTTTTTTGTCATTTTTGTCCATCTAAGGACCTAAACGTATGGTGTTTTTGTTACACAGTGATTATTGACCAGTTATAATAATGGGTGGTCACGTTTTAAAATTTGGAAAGAAAAAAAAAATGTGAAAAAAATCATCCCATTTGCATTACCGCAGCCAAAATGATCAACAGCTGAAAGGTAAAAAGTCACCAGAAATTGACAAAAATGTCCTAAGAGCCCAAAAAGGTTAAAGAGGTTCTTGTTTATTATTCTGTCTGCAGAGGGGGACGAGGAGGACGAGGCCAACAAGATCGAAGCGCTTCACAAAAGGAGAAACCTGCTCGCGGCTTTCTGCAAACTCATCATCTACGACATCGTGGACATGCCCGCTGCTGCTGACATCTTCAAGCACTACATGAAGGTGGCTGTCGATCTGTACTTCACACACAAATATATCAACATCCCCAACATGAGAAAGTCTGAGGATAAGGAATGTGGTCCAGCTACAATGATGAGAAAACTGGTTTCTTGGTCTGGTTGAATGAAAAGTTTTGTCAAGTTTCTGGTGAAATGGACCAATAAAAATCTGTGTTAAAGAGTTTATATATTAAAGATCATGATTAGAATCAAAGTTATAGGTGGGATTGGCAGGATCTGAGGAAGTGCCAGTTTTGGTGAGAAATCTTGAATTTAAACACTACCCCTCCAAACCAGTTGTCCCCTCAGCTCCTCCTCTCCCCTCCCTCTCTGCTCCAGCAAGCCCCGCCCACAAACAGACGCTCCTGCTCGCTCGTATCGTTCCAATTAAATTCAGATATAATGCAGATAAATACGTCAGATGATTACAAATGGGGCCCAGTCAACGTGAAAGTAAACAGCATTGGTGCTACTGTAGATGCCAACAGACGACCAGCAAACACAATGTTTGCAGAACTTCTACAACTAGGATAAAGTGACATAGTCCAGGACCCGAGGTCAACAGTTTAGCAGCGCTACAACACGCAGCAGGTCCCATTTGACAAGAAAGACTTCTGTTACAGACACTTGGCTTACTTTGTTAAAGCGGTTTACCGGTTTGGGCTCCTAAACGATAGGGGGAGCAGCGTCTGCCTCACAACCAATCAGGTTGGGAGGGAGGGAATGGTTTTGTTTACAGTCAAAAAGAGTGGAGCGATCTGAGATTTCAAAATGTCGACGACACAGACATAACAAAGCACAGCGATATCATTATATTACCAAATGTCATCAATAACTAACAGCTATTGATTGATATTAAAAGCTTTTTTGTATATACACCACAAAAAAAGATGCTTCTTTAATGGATTTCTGCCTACCCCACCTTTAAAGGTGTAGAAGGATTTTTGTCAACGAAAGTGAATGAAAATGTGAACTGTGTCTTTATACGCTGTCTTCTTCCTCTTCCTCAGTATTATAACGACTATGGCGACATCATCAAGGAGACTCTGAGTAAAACCCGACAGACGGACAAGATTCTCTGCGCCAAGACCCTCATCCTCAGTCTGCAGCAGGTGACACACACACACATGAAAACAAAGCTTCAACGTCCATAAACGACACGCTTTTAAGTGCACATCATTAATCACTATTTTTGTGTATGTTGTGTGTTGCAGTTGTTTAATGAGCTGCTGCAGGACCAGGGACCAAACCTGGACCGGACATCGTCCCACGTCAGCGGCATCAAGGAGCTGGCTCGCCGTTTCGCGCTCACCTTCGGGCTGGACCAGATCAAGACCAGAGAGGCCGTCGCCACGCTGCACAAGTGAGTGATGAAGTTTGTATCGTACGAAGAAGAAACTTTTTTTCTTGTCCTTCTTCCAGAAACAGTTTTCCCTGTTTGTGTTACATTTTAAATATTTAATTGTGTTTCCTTGTTTTTCTACTCCGACATGACACATTTCTATATTTTTTTAATTTTCTCTGTCTGTCTCTGTTCTGCTCTCTCTTTTAGGGATGGCATAGAGTTTGCGTTTAAGTACCAGAATCCTCGAGGACCAGAGTTTCCCCCCATCAACCTGGCCTTCCTGGAGGTCCTGAGCGAATTTTCCTCCAAACTCATTCGCCAAGACAAAAAGACGGTGTAAGTTTTCACCATCCTCTGTTTTTTTTAATGTGGTCTAAGGTCGAATCAGATCTGTTTTAAGTTTTTAATAAATGTTCCCCCTTAGCCACTCGTACCTGGAGAAGTTCATGTCAGAGTCCATGTCGGAGCGTCGGGAGGATGTGTGGCTGCCACTCATCTCCTACAGGAACAGCCTGCTGACAGGAGGAGATGAGGACCACATGTCCGTCACATCCGGGTCCAGCAGCAAAACCGGCTCAGTTCGCAGCAAGAAGGGTCGGCCGCCGCTACACAAGAAACGCATCGAGGGTGAGGAGAGGGCGACGCCCAATCAGGCAAGGGTTACTGTGGTTGTATTTCTGTGTCTGATTCTCTCGGTGTTCGTCTGTAGAAGAGAGCAGCGTGGAGGGCTCGTGGTTGATGCGTAACGACACTCTTCAGACACCGGGGGCGCTGCAGACTCCTCAGCTCACGTCGACAGTCCTCAGAGAGAACAGACCAGCGGAACACATGCCAGACCCCGACTCAGAACCAGGATCAGAGAACGACTTCGTACACAAGTAAGTCTTTACACATCATGGATTACACTCAGCGAAGAATACCGCAGTTCCTTAAGTGGCCACTTGAGGCTGTAGTGTCACGATCAAATTGTTTTCCTTCAGTCCTCAGATGCAGATGTCGTGGCTCGGCCAGCAGAAGATGGAGGAGGTGAGCAGGAAGGACCGGACGAACATGAACTACATCAAGTCACGCAGCAATCAGGGCGTCCGGCAGACTGTGTAAGTGTGTGTTTGTGTGTGTGTTTGCCGCAGAAGTTGAGATGTTAAATTCAAAGTCCACTAAGGTTTCTGGTGAGAAATGATCAACTGTGTTCATTCCTATTCTCGACGGCGTGTCTCCTCAGCCGCGGGTTGATGGAGGACGACGCAGAGCCAATCTTCGAGGACGTCATGATGTCATCGCGAGGCCAGCTGGAGGACATGAACGAGGAGTTTGAGGACACGATGGTGATCGATCTGGTCAGTGACACCTCTTTCAGACATTTGAAATTACAGGGAAGATAGAAAAACTCAACAAAGGTCTTGATCTTCATTTATTCATTCTAAATATTTTCAATTTGACTTTCCAGCCGCCATCGAGGAACAGACGTGAAAGAGCGGAGCTAAGACCGGACTTCTTTGACTCTGCAGCCATGATTGAGGACGAGTCGGTCAGTCAAACTTCACACTTTGTTTCGTTTTTGTTCTTATCTCCTTGACTCAAGCTGTCAGCTGGTCCATCCTCTCTTAACCCATTAAGACCTGAAACCTGTCTGAGATATACCTCTGAAATCCTGAGGGCAGTTTTGAGAAGGGCCCCCAGATGGTTGTCCTGAGGTTTTCTGAAGTGTTGAGGTTCACAAAAAAGCTGATATCTCAGCCTCTGTAGCAGATAGAAACAAAATTCAAGAAGTATTTGAGAGCTCACACGTGTGGCTTTCAAGATAAGTATCTTTTATTTTTCCGAACCTTCATCACATTATTGAAAACCTTGAACAAACAAACTCAAATGAAATAAAATCAGAGGCAAAATGACGTATCCGTGCTCCCGACTTGAAGGGTAGAAATGCGCAAGTTGAAATGCGTACACGCTTCTCCCAGGTTGAAGGGTTGAAATACCTACATGCACCCGGCTTTCCGGGTAGAAATGCGCAGCCATGCTCCCGCCTTGGAAGGTTGAAATGCGTACATGCTGTCCCGGTTTACATGATTCTGGTTTTGTCTGTTTCAGGGATTCAGCATGCCCATGTTCTGATCTGGACGACGCAAAGATCCTGAGACCAGGATTCACATCAGAAGAAGGAGGTAGGGCTGTGGGATAACCTGCCAATCAAACTCCTAAAAAACATTAAGTACTTTTCTCTTTCTAAAAGACGTGATGGAAGGATTTTTGTCAAGTGGATCTTCTGATGGATCCTGCATCCCGCTGGATCTCACCTGGACGTGCGCAGCAAGGCTCGGATCTGTTCTCTCAGGCGGATGAGAGGATCTAGAAACTTCTCCTGAATCTAGTGGAATTATTCGAGAGCTTCGTCTTGCTCCTGTTCTTCCTGTTGGTTTAGCTCTTGTTAGCGGTAGCTCTGACGGCGCCCCCGGCCGCCGACCGATGAGCACTCGCAGTTCTTAACGGTTCCGTGTTACACAGAAGTTTTGTTCCGCTCACAATCAGCAGCGCGACGCTCTGTACAGCCCTTTCTTCTTGTGCCCCCCGGTAAAATCAAACGTAAAGAGGGTCTCGAAATACTTCAATGTTCTATATCTTTGCTCTTACTCCCACCCGACGACCCCCTTTCTCCCCCTCACTGTTTGCCATCCGAGTCCCCCCCTGTGTGTGGTGCTGGTGTGTGACGTGGGTGTAAATTGTTGAAGACGGTCGAGGCGGCGCTCGTGCACACTCAGACCTGCTCGGAGGAAAAATGACGTAACCGTTTCGTGTGTGTGTGTGATGTCAAAGCTAAGCGAGTGTTGTCAAAAGAAGCCACACCCCCTTCTGCCACTGGACCGAAATAAGCCCCGCCCTCTCAGATCTGGGACATATTCTGCACTCACACACACACACACACACACACACATCCTCGAATAACTGCTTTTAAAGTAAAAAGTTTTAAAAAAAAGACAATAAACATATTTTGAACTCTGTAGCTTTAGTACTAAAGTTTTAAATCAAGTGTGTTTTTGTTTCTGTCCGATGTTTGTACAGCTTTTTCTTGAATATGTATCTTGTTTGTTGCCAAATTGTGGCCTACATACTTACAGTATATTCCAGCCCCTTCCCCCTTACACCTGTATCTCATATCTAATGGTTACCAAGCTCCGAGTGTTGCTGTGGGATACCGGCTTTTTTCAGCGCTGTATGGTGTGATTGTAATCGTTTCACAGTTTAGTATTACTGCAGATTATCTGTATTGTTCACTTATCTGGTCGAATAAGTTCTCACACCCGCCTACAGTGTTAGCGGATCCATGGAGTTAGAGATTTGTTGTTCTAATCGTTCATATCAAGTGCAGTGATGGATCTCTCGGTCTGACAGATTTGTTCGAATGTGTTTTGAATGTTTCCAGCCATATCGTCGTTCACCCTTTGTTTCTTAATCAATCATATCCCCCTGTCCTTGGCTGGCTTGGCAGTCCTCCTGTAAATATCAGAGACAATTGGATCTTTTCTGCAGTGCAGTTGACATCAGTTGCCCTAAAATGCTCTAAAAGCCTGTTTTGTTTTTTTTGTTTTTTTTCTGTGAACCTAAATTCTTTTTAATAAAATAAAATCTGTAATCAATTTAGGGGCCAGTCTTGAATTGTCTTTTGGCATCCTCTGTGTGGTTTTAAAGAGCTGCAAAATATCAGCCTTCGCGGAAGATTTGAGGCTAACAGCTCAGTGAGGAATCAAAGTAAATCAGTCTTTAATCCGGGAATTGAACTAAGATTACAAAGCCGCTACAGTGCAACAGAGTATTCAGGACACATTAAAGCTCCTGTGAGGAGTTTTGAGTTTATGAAATAGTCTGAAATTCACATTAATGCCTTTTTATAATCACCAAAAGCAAACAAGATAATCAGCAACAGGTGTGAGGAATTAAAATTATAATTTTGAAGGCCTGAAACCACTGTGAGGGGGTCGGTGTCAGCTATAGAAACAGCCTGTTTAAAGTTTTGACAATAAATGATAAATTTGACAGTCGAAAGTCTGCAAGATGAGATCTAAGGTCCTTACACACCAGGACCGACACAAATATAGAACGTGAAATCACAAAATATTCGGAGGCAAATTTTGACGCACCTGACTATACACATCAAGCCTGATGCGATTTTGCGACTTCCCAGGGGGAAAAAGACGCATCCCGGGGAAGAGTTTTCCGGGGGAAAGTCCCGCCTCTGATTGGCTAGAAAAGCTGGAAACCTCATCACATGCTCAAGCCAAACAGTCAGCACTTATAGCCAATCAGCGGCGAAGGAGGGCAGGACCTTCCCTTAACGACCAGCGTCCTGGCTGGAAGCGAGAAGACAAAATTGAGTCTACTACTTCTATTGACGTCCAAAATAATCGTATGACAAAAACGGTTCCGGTACGTAAGGACCTTTAATGTCAGCGGAGGTGACTTCCGACTCTTAATTGGAAGCTGCCTCTAACAATGTATCATAAACACAATTACAAATCCTTTTTAAGACATTGATGATGCTTTATAACTGAAGTTTTACAAGCAGTGAGCATAACGCTTATAAATATATGGTTGCAAATAGATTATTCCTTAATGCATAATGAACCATACCTTGTGTTCGTAACGCATTAAAAGGGGTGGGTTAATGTAAGGTATAACCAAAAAATAAGCAAAGGCTGCTTTTTCCACAGGGGGGCGCTGAAGTTGAGACAATCAAAAGTCACTCACAGGAGCTTTAAAAAAGACAAAACAAAACATGTTTTTATTAAGGCATGTTGTTACAGGAATAAATCAAAGTCATCGTATTCTTGTGAGAATAACATCCGAGTCGAATTTTTTTTATTAAGAGAATAAAGTAAAATAAGATTATAGTCTTGTGAGAATAAACTTGGAGTAAAGTAATATATTATAAGCAGATGTTAAGTTTAGATTATGTTACGTTGTGAGATGTTAGCTTAAAAGATGTTACATTATAAAATGTTATGAGATGTTTCGTTACAAGATTACAAAATTAAAGTTGTTATTTTAGTCAGCAATTAGCTACATAATGCAGTTCTGATGTTGGATACAGCGTCTATGCTTTTTGCACAATCTTTTCAGAGTCCTAAATATGGCTTAAATGTTAAAACATTTTTTACTTTGACATTACTCTTGTAAGAACATGTCCTGATAGTTAGCCCACAGGCTAATTGTTGTACATACGTAATTAATTTACTGTCAAACAAAATAGTTATGAAAATAAATCTTGTGCACAGAAAACAATTAGCTGTTTACTTAAGATAGTTCTTGTGCACAAATTATTATCCTGTGAGTGCAAAATAACCTTTTCACATCACAGTTATCCGGTGTGTGTAAGATAGTTCTTGTTTACACTTGTCTGAACAAACACACACAGGACTCTTTCTTTGAATTAAATGATTTTATTAGTGTAACGTCATACTTTAAAAAACAAGCAAACACTAAATTGATTCATGATAATAAAGTTAAAGTAAAGACGACGCTCTCGTTGAAGTTTGTGATTTATTTTACAAAGGACAGAGCAGAGCCTGCCACAGAGAAAAGGCACAGTTTCTGGTTGTAAGAAGGATTTCTCTTGACCTTAAACACAAACGCAAAGAGTGCGTCTGGAAGTACAAACTACTGTACACAGCAGACAGAAACAAGACCTAGATACAGTACATGAATAACTCTAAAACAGACTACAGACAGTATTGCATTATCTACCAATCATTCTGACACACGCCTTTATTTACCGGTAACATCTGGTCTTTTAGCTACAATCTTGTTCTTGAATGTCAAATCATACTCAACAGTGACCAATATGGCCAGTACTGACAGTATGATTGGCTGAGATATAGTGCGTAAACATCTCTGTATTCTGTTCGTGTGTGAAGCAGCTGCAAAATGTGTGAGGATTTGAAAGTGATCTGGTGCTACTTCTGAGCACTTCAAAATCTGGGGTAGATCTTTATCTTCTTCTTTTAGTGGCGTATCAGGAGAGGTAAATAACTACAGAATACAACAACATGATCTGTTGTTATCATGAGGTACCGCTGCAGTTCATTTGAGTGGAAAAATCCCAAAGTGTGCCATTAATATAGTTTATGGGACCAGTTTCACAGAGGAATGTTGGCGTGTTTCTTCCAAGGGTTGACCTGCTGTTTGCTGGCCAGCACCTCCAGATCTCGGCAGATCTTCTTACGAGTGCTCGATGGCTCGATAATGTCATCCACAAAACCTGGAACAAGAATTTGGCAGTAAAGGCGCTGATGTTCTTAGATTTTCTCTTAAGATACTGCAAGAAAAACAGCGTATTTTTGAAAAGCTGTATAAAAAAAAGATAGTTTATGTTACCTCTGACAGCAGCTGGGAAGGGGTTAGCGAATTTCTCCACATACTCAGCCTCTGCTTCCGCCTGGTTTTCCTTTCCTCTGAAGATAATCTGCACAGCACCCTGAGGAAGAACGGAGGAAGCAGACCACACACGCTGTCAAAACAACAAAAGAAAAAGAAAAAGGAAAAACTGAACCGCAGATAAAGAAAGAATTTTTACCTTGGCACCCATCACAGCAACCTCAGCTGAGGGCCAGGCGTAGTTCACGTCTCCTCGTAAGTGTTTGGAGCTCATCACATCGTAGGCTCCTCCATAAGCCTGGAATATACAGACAAATGCAACGTTGAGTCAATGAAAGCCCTCTCTCCCTCTAACCCCAACCACTTCTCACTTCAGATTTTCCATATCTACCACTTCTCATGTTGACACTCACCTTCCTTGTAATGATGGTTATTTTTGGGACTGTAGCTTCAGCAAAAGCGTACAACAGTTTGGCTCCATGTCTGATGATGCCTCCGTACTCCTGAGCAGTACCTGTTGATAACATCACAGCAAATAAAACAAGTTCAAGTGTGAAAAATTTCAATGCACAAGCAGATAGTCCTATCTGTCATCCAGGTGCACATGTATTATCGACTACAGAGTGAATGCATAGGGAGATTTACCCGGCAGGAAACCTGGAACATCCACAAAAGTGATGATGGGAATATTAAAAGCGTCACAGAAGCGAACGAAGCGAGCGCCCTTCACTGAGGAGTTGATGTCCAAACAACCTGATAATCAAAGAGTGAACACATGAAAACAGATTATAAATTAGCTTGTTCTGAACAGGAGCTTCAAAGAAGACCATTTTTATTTCAAAATAAAAGCCTTAAAATGTCTTACTCACCCGATGCCACCTTGGGCTGGTTACCAACGATGCCTACAGTGCGTCCGTTCATGCGGGCGAATCCCACCACAATGTTTTTGGCGTAGTTGGGCATGATCTCAAAGAAGTCTCTCTCATCCACTATCTAGGCCCGTGAAAAGAAAACTTTAACAGGTTGTTGAAAAAGTTGACAAGTTTGGTTTGGAATGAGGGTTTGTGTTTTTACACGTACTGCTTGAATGATGTCCAACATGTCGTACGCTTTGGTCGACTCGAACGGGACAATGGTGTCCAGCGTGGGTACTGAGCGATCGCTGAAAAGAAGAACGTGATTTCAGTCAATATTTTAAAATGTGGGCGATTTAAATGGATAGACAGATGAGATGATTGGTTACCTGGGGTCATGGCACTCCCTGATGGGGGCGGCGTCTCGATTGCTAAGTGGCAAGAAGTTGAAGAACTCTCGCAGGTTAAGTAAGGCGTCAACGTCATTCTCAAATGCATGGTGAGCCACTCCTAAAAACACAAAACAAGAAACCAAGAAATAAGAGTCCTAATTTCTGAACCTTTGATTAAAAACTGTTAGAGTACTAAACAAAACAACAACAGAAACACCACCAAAGTCATAAAAATCATTACACCTCCACTAACCAGACACAGACGTGTGAGTTTTAGCTCCACCCAGCTGTTCTTGAGTCACGTCTTCATTAGTAACAGACTTCACAACATCAGGTCCTGTGATGAAGAGGTACGATGTGTCCTACACACACACACAGAAACACACAGCTGTCAGGCCAGTGGAGCTCGTGATTAAAATGTGAATCACCTATTTCTGCGGTTTAGTGTTTAAAAATTTTGTCATGTTATTTATTCAGCTCCTTACCTTGACCATGAAAGTGAAATCTGTTAAAGCAGGGGAGTAGACGGCACCGCCTGCACAAGGACCCATGATCATGGAGATCTGAGGGACGACGCCTGAAGCCAACACATTCCTCTGGCAATAAAAATTGTCGTGTTTTTAAAAAAAATCATCATGATGTCAAGAAACAAGAGAAACAATAAAAAGTTTCATGAAGGATTTTTGGTCTTGTGCTCTCACTGCTTCTACACAAGCTTGTTTACTATCAAAACTACAATTCAACTAACACATGCGCTTCTTGAACAGTTTTCTCATATTTGTTCTTTTGTACTAACTGCCCTCAGCAGTACCACACATTTTCTGCAAATTGCAATTTTTCCATTTTCAGTTAAAGGGATATTCCGGCGTAAAATTAAGTTAGGGTCAAACACACCGTAACACTGAGTTTGACACCCCCGTTGAGAGATGAATGTTGCTGACCGCTTGCTTGTCTAGTTATACAACTTTAGTAATGACGGCAGATAGCAATACAGAGAGCAACGCGCTCAACCAAAAAGCCACTCTATAGTCACGAATAATGCTCAGAACTGCAACTAACTTCATCAACAGTACATATAGGGTCCCAGCCATCAAACATCTTTTTAACTTTGCCTAATTTCTCTAGCAAAGAGACTAAACACAACTCATCCTCTCTCTTGTTTGTACGGAGTCCTCTGGGCAAGTCCATCGACTGCAGCGGGGTGACGCAGCTCAAGGAAGAACATTTACGATCATTTCTTCATGGAAATGCAATCAGGCCGAGACGCTAAGGAAGAAGAACTACCGCGTCTACAGTGCAAAATGATTAATATGGTGATTATTACTCCAAGGAAATGATAAAGAAATTATCATAAATGTTCTTCCTTGGGCTGCGTCACCCCGCTGCCATCAATGGACTCGCCCGGGGGTCTCCGGCTGCTGGAAGAGAGTAGGTGAGTTGTGTTTCGTCTCTTTGCTTAAGAAATCAGGCAAAGTTAAAAAGATGTTTGGTGGCTAGTGCTACGGCTGGGACCCTATATGTACTGTTGATGAAGTTAGGTGCTGTTCTGAGCATTATTTGTGGCTATAGAGTAGCGTTTTGGTTGAGCACTTGGCCGGAATATCTCTTTAAATACAGAAATCAGCATTTTCACAGCATTCTAACTTGTCAGACTCAGGCACGCTCTTTTACAAAAGGTACTTTATGAGATATCCATACCAGAAAAATATCTGCATATCCAGCCAGGGACTCCACTCCTTCCTGGATACGAGCTCCTCCAGAGTCGTTCAGCCCAATGACCGGGGCTCCTACTGTCATGGCCTGGTCCATAATCTGAGCATAGAAAATGTTAAGTTGTTAAAAGGTTACACATAAAGACACCTGAGAAATGTTTGCTGTTGAACACTGCTGCTGGGAGAGACGTTTTTCAATTACCTTACAGATCTTTTGTGCATGAGCTCCAGACAGACTGCCACCAAACACTGTGAAGTCCTAAAAATGGGTAAAAGTTCAAAAGAAGTACACTCCTCTGCATTTCAAACCAGGCTACTTGTGTATTGTGTACCCCGAGTGTGACGGTTGAGAAATAATTATATACCGTACCTGACTGAAAACGTAAACCAGTCTGCCGTTGATCCTGCCTCGACCTGTCACTACGCTGTCTCCAGGGAACTACAACAGAGAAGAAAATGAATATTTCAAACTCTTTCAACTGGATTCAAAATTATGTTGTCCAGGTACGGCCAACATGTGTGACTTGTTACCTTGTTCCTGTCCTGCTCCATGCCGAAGTCTGAGCAGCGATGCTCCACAAACATGTCAGTCTCCACAAAGGAATCAGAGTCCAGCAGGAGCTCAATTCGCTCCCTGGCCGTCAGCTTACCCTGGAACACATCACATTAAATTATGATACCAGAAAATTTGCAAAGCGGAAGAGACTCTCATGCATTAAGAGTTAAACACTTTGGATCATTTACCAGTGCAATTTTACAGCAATAACTGGTTTTCAAGTGCACTTAGTAACAAAAAACTTATTAACTTATTAAAATTATAATCTTATTTATTCAAAGTAAAAATATGGGTAAACAAAAAATTATCTTTTGTTTACCCATAAACAAATGATAATTCTTTGTTTATCATATTAAACCCAAAATTAAGTTTCTTTGCATCACTTTTCATATATTCACTGGTTAAATAAATGCTTTTTTACAGAGGAAACCATACATCCATATCAACCATAATTTTACAGGAACTACTTGTATTGTGTACATGTCAAAATAAAAGCATGGAGACTGCATCTATCTTTTGTCACAGTACAGGGTGTCCTTTACTCATTCAACCAAACGTGTCTGTTGTCTTAACATTGTTTTTATCGGTAAAGACGACTATGAACTCTCATTTTCAGGTGGCACCATCTTCACTACCGTAATATTACGAGGATTTAATGTAAAGTAGGGATGTACCGATCCGATACTTGGACCGGATATCGGTTCCGATATTGACAAATTAACTGGATTGGATATCTGATGAATGACGCTGATCCAGTGTTTGTTGTTTGTAAATAATATGGAGTAAATTTATATGTGTTAATTTTTAACTTTGTTTTTTTTTTTTTGTTAACAAGGCTAATGTCACGCCTGATGCCGTCACTCACAGGGTAAGGTATACAGTTTATTCATTCAACAGTAGGATCGGATCGGTATCTGATATCGGCCGATACGCTCAGCCCAGGTATCTGTATGGGATTGGATCATAAAATATAATGGATCGGTGCATCTCTAATGTAAAGCGTGCAAACAGGATACGGCTATAACGTGAATTTGACTGAGGCTTTGGACCTTGCCCAGGAGCATAACAAATCGGCAAGGTGGGTTTTAAACAAAAGAGAGCATTGTATCCAAACAAGTTACAGTTCAGCACAGAGTTTTAAAGGTCGCTTTACAGTGTGTAGGAAAACATCAGCACTTCAGCAGCCACCTCTCATTGACCCTGAACCCTGAGCAAGGTGGACCCTTCTATACCTGAATCACTCCAGCTGTCTGTAAATCACGGAAACATGCATTCGTATGTGTGTAGCTGCAGGTTTGTATAAAATAAACTCCATTAATGCTGATTTTACCTTTTTGTGTTGCGCATCTATTCTCTTCTGACCTCCCCCGGCTAGCGCCGCCTTTCGTTTCTTGTCAATCCTCTCCTTAACGGTCAGGTGGCTGATACAATACCACCGGGAGCCTCGAAGCAGGTTCGTCTGCGGCACTGCAGAGGCAACTGCGCCACATTTCACCGGTGAAAAACTCCTAAAAGACGTCCTCAACCCCTGTACCAATCCGCAGCTGCTCCGAGCCACACTGAAGGCCGCCATCATGGTCGTGTGGAGTTCTTGGATGACAGCGTCAGGAAATGAGTGACAGAGATTTGAGCCAATAGCGAATGGGGGGCGAGATCTCGCTGCCAATTACGAGTAAGGGTATCAAGACTCTATGAGAGGCGGGATGTTGAGGGTATATCCGGTTTCTATGTCGTTAATTTTCAGTTTTCGCCCTGAGTTTGGCCTGTCAGGCGGAATTTCCCTCACCTGCTGCCTAGTTATAAAAAATATATATTTTATATCACCTTAAAAAATAATAATAATAAAAAAGACAGGCATATGTTTTACTATAGTTGGCACAGCAGATTTTAATAAAGACTTTAGAGACATACTTATACTCAAAGTGGTGATAGTAAAGTTAAAACAAAGGAGTTAAGAAAACTGTTAAAGCTCACAAACCGTCGTCATATGAGAGATCCGACGCTATGTTGTCCTTCAGGTCATTATCTTTGTAATGTTTGTGTCTTTTATCATAAAGCACTCTGTTCTCAGACACGTAAACAATCAGCCGGTCAGCCATGTTGGATATACCGGTGAACCAGACGTCGCAACAACACGCAATCTGATTGATCAGAAGTGGACAGACAGTATAGGTAACTTAAGAAAAATCGACCATGATCCGAAAAATAAATGCCGCAATATACCCAAATGGGGAAAGGTCCTGGTGTGAAAGGACCTTTAATGTCAGAGGAGGTGACATACGACTCTTTATATGAAGCCGCCTCTAATAATGCATCATAAGCACAATTACAAATCCTTTTTAATACATCGATGATGCTTTATAACTGAAGTTTTATAAGTAGTGAGCATAACGCTTATAAATATATGGTTGCAAATAGATTATTCATTAATGCATGATGAACCATACCTTGTGTTCATGATGCATTATATGGGGTGGGTTAATGTAAGGTGTAACGAAAAAATTAGGCTGCTTTTTCCACAGGGGGGCGCCAAAGTTGAGGTAACTGACAGTCACTTGCAGGAGCTTTAAAAAAGACAAAACAAAACATGTTTTTATTAAGGCATGTTGTTACAGGAAGTCATCGTATTTTTGTGAGAATAACATCCTAGTCAAATCTTTTTTATTAAAGGAATAAAGTCAAATAAGATTAAAGTCTTGTGAGAATAAACTTGGGGTAAAGTAATATATTATAAGCAGATGTTATGTTTAGATTATGTTATGTTGTGAGATGTTATCTTAAAAGATGTTACAATATATACTAAAATATATTGACGTCCAAAATAATTGCACGACAAAAACGCTCCCTGTGTAAGGACCTTTAGAAGAGAAAAAAAACCAAGATAAATGTATGCTTGCATGTCATGGAATGTTAATCAAAGAGATTTATGAAGGTGTGTGAATGATCAACAATCAATATTACTGGCAGAAATAGAGGGCCCCGAAATCAAATCATGCTAAGGGCCCCATTGAGGCTTGGGCCGGCTCTGGAGCCCGGGGAAGGCGCTGTGCTGTGCAAAATAAAGAGTCGCTCCGCGGTAACCACGGTAACTGCTGATAGTCTCGCGTGATGATCACGCTTGTCGAGAGGGGTCGATGCGAGGAAAAGTGGAAAATCGACTGATTGATGCATTTGTAAAAACGGATAGTTAGCTATGTTTCGATCACTGCTCGCCAATTATCATAGGAAAACCTACCGAAATTGCAGATTTACAGTTTACTGCCTGCACTTCCCTCCTTCGCGTGGGGTATAAGGCGGCCCTGGGGGGTTGAATTCTCGCTAGCTAATTTAGCTAACCCGAGCTGCTGGTTAGCTTTGTTTACATCAAGTGCGCGCCTGGAGTCTGGAGGCTAATCAAACGAATTTAAGACCCGATGAGCGCCCCTTTTAATTAAACACCGACGAAGAGACATTCTTGGATAGTAAATGGGCTCCATGGCGAACCTCGACCATTTCTCGAGTCAAAGGTTTGGATGATACCGTTAGCTAGCGTCTGCTACTAAATGCTAATCTTTTGATCATGGCTCTTTGGATCTGTAGACTCAGTGTGAGCTGATAAGTGGTGCTGGGGATAATGTGAGTTATTACAATTGATCCCGATTAGTATAAACTTGAATCGTGCGCTTTAAAGTCAGTTTTAATAAGGAACGACTCCTCACCGGTAATGCTAACATTAGCCTGTGGAGCTAGTGTGCGCGTTTAGCCATGATCGGAGTGAATTATTGTCTGCACTGAAGAAGAAGAAGGACCGGAGGGGCTGAGTGTTGCTCCACCAGACAGGTTTAATATTTGTGGTTATCTCGATTGGTTGGATCATTTCCCCGGGCCGTGTTCACACCGCTATGAACTCTATTAATGCGACCACCCTGTACGTGTCTGCAAGCCGGGCCGTGCTGCAGTGTGACCCGCGGCAGCCCAACACCTTCACAGACATGTACACGCTGCTACCCTACTTCAGACAGTCCCTCGCATGCCTTGTCTGCGGTAAGCATCCCTTAAAGTGTTAACTAAAGCTTTCACTGTGATGCAAGATGTTATAGTGGGAAATTATCTTTTTATTTCCATAATTCATAGTGACTGAAATGTCCGTGGGCGTGCGCTCGCTTGCAGCAGTTGACACAATTCGTCGTGCTCACTCACTCACTCGCCACCTTGGTCTCCTTAGCAACCGAGGCTGTGCCCCAGTCATCTGTCCTCTTGTCAAGACAGATGACTCCTCTGTGTTGTCTGCTGTTGCAGCGCCATGTGTTTCCTATTCATGCCTTATTTGCTAACACGGCAGAGCTGGTAAAACATCAACAGTGGGTCATTGGCAGTTTTGACTGAACGTGTGACAGTCATTCTAGTTCCTGCTAATTCTGTAATGATGCTTATGGTATAATGTGTGTATTCATGCAGTTTGCACACAGGCAAAGGGTCATAGAGACAAGTCTTGGAGGGTGTTATGTTTGTTCAAACTGGGGCTGTTTGGTTGGAAAGAAAGACAAACACTGACATAAAAGAAAAATCTCATGAATCAGTATTTATTGATGACTCTCTGGTCAACACTTACATTAAATAAAAGAAGGAGTGTAATCCTACAGCTGCTGTAAAAAGCAGCGAATTATACAGAATTTCAACCATTTACCTATGTACATATTTGCTGAGATTTCTGTCTTTTCTCTCGCAATGCAGTTCTAGTTTGATGATCATCAGATTAAGCATTTTCAGTCTGGCTCTTTCGCTGTCTTTCAATGGCTTTGTCCGAAATGAATCACTCAACCCCTAACCCCCATTTGGGATTTCACTATAAAGCTGACTATGTAGTGATCTCAGTCACCAGAGGTTTCAGACACTACATGGCATGACGCAATGTGAGTGACCATCGGATGGTCACTACATTTTGCAATGCTCCGGCACTCCATCCTCCAGCACCATGCTGTTCCACCTGGACTCAGACTTGTGGGTCATGAGTTTGTTTTGCAGCAAGACAATGACCCTAAGCACTCTGCCAAGCTCTGTCAGGGTTACCTAGACAAAAAAAGCAGAGGAAGGTGTTCTTCAAAAGACGGTTTGGCCCCCTCAGTCTCCAGACCTTTCTCCAATAGAGCTTGTGTGGGATGAATTGGATCGATCGGTCAGAAAAATGTGTCCCACAAATCAGCAGTCTCTTTTTAATGAACTTAAAAAAGCTTGAAATGCAATCCCTGGAACATACCTTAAAAACACAAAACTATAGTGTTTTTTTTGTACAAATCTGATCTTGCTTCCAAACTTTTGGCCTGTAGTGTGTGTGTATATATATACACATATTAAACTTGCACCAGCGCCGATTTCCTTAATTTTGGGATATGAGTGATCGGCTTATCCTTACATATGAAACCAATTTTATCCACAGATCATATCTACCTCAGCAAAGGTTCGAAAGTCAGCCATTGTAGCTTTTTGCTTTGCCAAAATGACAGGCCCGCCCCTCACAACATAGTCATCAGGAGCATGTTGAACTCACTAAAAGGAAACCTAAATCTCAGGACAGTTTACTGGTGGTTTAAGTTGTGTTGTTAGCTTGTCCTGTAGATTATTATTTTATGTGCAGTTAGAACAAACACATAAAGTTTGTATTGTTTCACCGGGATTGTTCAATTTTTTTCATTCAGAGTTGTATCTTGTCAGTTATTAAAAAAATTGGTATCGTCCAAAATCAAGCTATGTAAAGATCGGTGACTGGCCAGAAAATTGTGATCGGTGCACCCCTAATATATAAACATATATTTACTGCTCCTTTTATTTACTATCTCTTCATTATTATTCCGTCTCTCAGGTAAACTACTTCAAGATCCCATATCTCCCACACATCCAGAGTGTCAGCATTGTGTCTGTTTGGGCTGTAAAGGCCAGAAGATGCGGATGAGGCTATCGTGCAGCCGCTGTAAAGACTATTCCTGCTTCCAGGAGAACAAACAACTCTCTTTGCTGGTGCAATGCTACAGGAAGCTCTGCCTCTATGTGACTCATTCACCGCTGCTGCAGCTGATCAGCAGCCACGTAGGAGGGTCCCCTGAGATTATGGCCTTGCTAGAGGAGGTGCTAATGTCACATGAGGAGGAGGTAGAGGCAGAGGACCTTTGCCTAGCACAGGAGGATGTGAAGCCCGCTGCTCCTGACTCCCTAACGCCCACGGAGGCACCGCCTGCTCCTGCAGAGCTCTCAGCTGTCCCTCAGAGCTCCTCCTCCGACCCTCCTTGTTCCAATGGACCTCAGGAATGTAATGGAGAAGTTCTGGAGGATCTGGATCCCTCATCCCCTGAGTTGGAAGTGTGTGAGCTGGTAGAAGAGCAGCCACAGGCAGGCCTGTCTGTGTCTGAAACTGGCTGTGGTGGTCTGGAGCTGAGTCTGACCACGGGGCCATTAGCCCCGACTGCAGGCACTGTGTGCTCACTCAGGGATGGGGAATCAAGCAGCAGGGAGCTGGAGGAGGGGGAGGTGTTGCTTCTCAGTGTGGAGGAGGTGTTACAGACATTGGATCCCCTTCAGCCCGGTCGAGATTCTCCTCATTCACAGCCAGAAAGAACGCACACTCACACACACATAACCACGGACAGAGCACACACTCAAATGTACATACAGCTAGATGCAGCTCACAACTACACACAGCTTCGAACAGACAGGACTAACACAGTGGCAAGTCATGGTGCTCACATCCACACATCCTCCTTCGATCCCCCTCCCTCATCCAAGCCCCCGCCAGTCCGCCTTAAACGAAAACGATCACGTTCAGAGAGCGACAGGGAGAAAGTCAAACCCCTCCCTATCTCCTCCATCCTGCAGGGCTCCTCCTCACACTTACACACTCCACATCCCTCCCAGACGCTTCACACGCACCCGCCTACGCCCTCCTTAACTGTACCAGCTCACACGTACTCATCCCTTTCCAACGGGGCGCCTCCAAAACCCAACCGCCCGGCTCCCAACCACAACAAAGGCGCCAGGAAGCACGTCGACCCGGGCCCGAAGAAGCCCCACGCTAAGGCGCGCAGCGGCGGAGGCCCTAAGACGAAGGACGGAAACAAAGATCAGCGGTTGATGTCAGGCTGCCTGGTGCCTCCAGCTCCTGTCAGACCCCCGTATAAGAAGCCTGTGGAGAAGAAAGGCTGCAAGTGTGGCAGGGCCACCCAGAACCCATCTGTGCTGACCTGTAGGGGGCAGCGCTGTCCCTGCTACTCAAACCGCAAGGTGAAACTATAACCAAAGGATATTTTTTTATCAGTTTTGATCAATGAAAGTAACATTTTTGTCTTATATGAGCCCTCAGGATGTCAGTTTGAGTCTAACATGACAAAGTTTTCTCATAAATCTGACAACAGTGTGTTTTTAAATGTTATTTGATGTTTTCATGTTTCTAACCATATTTTTGAAGGAGAAACTATGAAAGGCTTAAGTTATCCACAACTTTCTCATAGTTTCTGGTCTTTGGCTGAATGTCCTTGTCTATATTCTGTCTCAGGCGTGCTTGGACTGCATCTGCCGAGGCTGCCAGAACTCCTACATGGCAAACGGCGAGAAGAAGCTCGAGGCCTTCGCCGTGCCGGAGAAAGCCTTGGAGCAGACGCGCCTCACCCTCGGCATTAACCTCACCAGCATCACTGCCGCCGCCGCGCTCCGCAACCCGGCGACCACCAGCATCCGCGCTAACACCCTCCTCAACGTCGCCACCGCAACAGGGACCCCTGTTACCACGGCCTTCCTGTCCCCCAGCCCCCCTCAAGAACCCAACTATGAAGACAGTCTGGAGCTGCTGATTGGATGAGAGCCTGGGACTCGTTAGAGACAGCTCTTTGCTGATTGAATGTGACAGCTGATCAGTGTGTCTGTCAGACAACCTAAAACCCCTCCTCCCCTTTAAAATTGGGAGGCTTTCTACGGCAGCTATGGGTCTGTCCTGTCCTGTAACCTGCTCTTCTTCTTTGTTGGAAAATGCTGAGTAGTAAGACTAGCATGGGTGTGCCAAAGCCTCCTGTATTGTGCCTGTGTGCCGGTGTGTATTGTTGCCTGCCTGTAGTTAAACACTTATACTCGGTTCTGTATTTCAGAGGTGCTTTTGTTCACTAAATCACAGACATGTTTGAAGAGGCAATAGGCACTCATACCCATTTTTGTGTTTGTCAGCGTCTACACACAATTATAGATTTTGCTAGTGTGTGATTTTTCAGTGCGTAACAACGACGAAAACAGCATCATCAGATCTCAGTCACCATGTCACAGCATATTCCATGTTTGAGTGTTGCTTCATATATGTTTAAGAGATGCATAATCTGTATTAGGACGACCCTCACTAACCCTTAACCGTGTATGTGTTCACACCTTAATAGTGAATGAATCTCGTGACTAATCTACGGAGAACTTCTGTTTCACACGACTGTTTGCCTTTTTCTATCTCGTGAACTCACTCAATCCAAGTACTGTCGGATTAACAATGAATTTGTCTTAATGAACATGACTGATGCAGGCATTGTACAGGCAGCGAGGTAATGTCAAAGCACTTGGCTGGCTCCACGGTTTCAGTGTGCGAGAGTGTGTGAGAGAGAGAGTGTGTGTGTGTGTGTGAGTGTGAGTATGCATGCGCCTGCTGAGATTTACTGTAATGTCAGTGAGGGGGTGTGTGAAGGGTTGTAAGCACTTAGTCTGATTGATTGGCCAATTTACAACTTAAAAACCATTCTTGGTTACCATAGCAATAGGAGCACCAACAAGGGGCCTCCCAGCTCTTGTGCACACACACACCGTTGTTTACAGCATTACCATTTATATAATCTATAACTGACTGTCTTCTATTATATTACACTGTTATGTCTTGATTAAGAGATTGCACATGACTGTGTTTAGATAAACTGAAGCCATAGGTTGTCATTAACGAGACAAAATATCCCCCCGTGTGTGCGTCCCCTCCCCTTGTTGTAGTGTCCTGACTGATTAGAGACCAACTCAGAGACTATTTTTGATACCAAGTGTTTGGTACCGCTGTCTTTCTGTGTTTTGGTTCAAGCACCTTGAAGCCCAGCTATATCCCAAGAGGCTTTGTGTTGTCCGTGTTTGTGTTTACCGTCTCAGCTGTAACTACAACATGTTTGTCAATCCAGTCATGGCGACCAAAAAAAAAAAGAGACTGAAGCAGAAAAAAGAGAGAGAAATAGAGAGAGAGGACTCAGGCAGACCAAACAAACACCTTGGTTCTCCACTCATTTGACCAGAAGCAGCAGGTGGATTACAGTCAGATCAGCAGATATGATCTATCTTCCTGCTCCTGTGTGTGTCTGTATGTTTGTTTCAAAATGTATTTCTTTTGGGCATTACTTGAACCCTGGTTAGTTTTTGGTATTTTTTTTTTTAATGTAAAAACTCTTATTTGAGGAGTGACTCTTATTATTGCTGAAACATTCACTGCCATAATATGGAAACATGTAATACAACATGAATTAAATGATAGTTTTTTACTTTTTCAGTGCTGTGTTTTTCTGTGTAGATTTGAATGCACTTTTTCAACTTGGTCACAGGATTGCAGACATATGCTGGAGACATTATTTACTAAAAAACAGCTGTAGATGCAGTAATGTCTGTCAGTCCTAAATTCTCCACAAACATACTGTTTGTGAGCTCAACCTGCATTTAACTCATCATGAAATGAGAAATGAGACAAAGGAGACTCTGGGCGGTGGAGCATGCAGGATGGGGGTTACTTTTACAACTCAAGAGTGGTTTCCAAGAAAGAGTATGCAACCCAAGAGTCACATGTCCTCGTCTCAACTCCTGACATTTGTTACTAACATCAATTTCAAAAGGAAAAATTGGTGTCCATTGACATTTGTTCCTGACATTTGTTACTAACATCAATTTCAAAAGGAAAAATTGGTGTCCATTGACATCTGTTTCTGAAATTAGTTACTAAGATCAATTTCAAAAGGAAAAATTGGTGTCCATTGACATTTGTTCCTGAAATTAGTTACTAACATCAATTTCAAAAGGAAAAATTAGTGTCCATTGACATTTGTTCCTAACATTTGTTACTAACATCAATTTTAAAAGGAAAAATTGGTGTCCATTGACATTTGTTCCTGGCATTTGTTACCAACATCAATTTTAAAAGGAAAAGTTGGTTTTCAATTGACATTTGTTCCTGAAATTTGTTACTAAGATCAATTTCAAAAAAAAAAATTGGTGTCTATTGACATTTGTTCCTGACATTCATTACTAACATCAATTTCAAAAGGAAAAATTGGTGTCCGTTGACATTTGTTCCTGACATTTGTTACTAACACCAATTTTAAAAGGAAAAATTGGTGTCCATTGACATTTGTTCCTGACATTGGCTACCAACATCAATTTCAAAAGGAAAAATTGGTGTCCATTGATATTTACTCCTGAAATTTGTTACTAAGATCAATTTCAAAAGGAAAAATTGGTGTCCATTGACATTTGTTCCCGAAATTAGTTACTAATATCAATTTAAAAGGGAAAAATTGGTGTCCATTGACATTTGTTCCTGACATTTGTTACCAACATCAATTTTAAAAGGAAAAATTGGTGTCCATTGACATTTGTTCCTGAAATTTGTTACTAAGATCAATTTCAAAAGGAAAAATTGGTGTCCATTGACATTTGTTCCTGACATTCATTACTAACATCAATTTCAAAAGGAAAAATTGGTGTCCGTTGACATTTGTTCCTGACATTTGTTACTAACACCAATTTTAAAAGGAAAAATTGGTGTCCATTGACATTTGTTCCTGACATTGGCTACCAACATCAATTTCAAAAGGAAAAATTGGTGTCCATTGATATTTATTCCTGAAATTTGTTACTAAGATCAATTTCAAAAGGAAAAATTGGTGTCCATTGACATTTGTTCCCGAAATTAGTTACTAATATCAATTTAAAAGGGAAAAATTGGTGTCCATTGACATTTGTTCCTGACATTTATAACTAACATCAATTTCAAAAGGAAAAATTGGTGTCCATTGACAGATTTGTGTAAATGTGTCAGAAAACACTTGATCCATTCAAACGACATTAGTGCTTCTTGTTTATTTAGGATGCAGCACATTTGTCTCACGGCACATTCAAGACATAACACAAAGACGCAATCCAGCCACAGGTTATGTGCTCAAAAATAAGCTTCATTCATGGTATTGAATATCTACAATCTTGCCTTGCGGCATTCTTTATATTTAAGTGTCATGTGCCCAACAGAACTAGTTTGACCTGCAGCCAGTTCGTCATCTCTCTGCTCTCAACAGCAGTCATTCACATATCAGAGCACTTCTGCGACCCCTGTACAGCTCTGAACGCCCTGTACCCTCAGTCCATGTTTGCTCTGTCACAGTCCAAGAGCAAAGTTGGTCGCCTGTCTGAGGTTTAATTACAAACACACACAATGGCTCTCCTGCTGTGCCGTTTAGAGCCCCCTGTGAGTCTGTACCCTTCATCGCCACGCTCCAGAAACAGCCCCTTGTGCTGTTCACCCTCCTCAACCAAAACTGAACCCTGAGACAGCTGCTCAGAAACTCGAGCAAACCCTTGACACTTGGGTTAACCTCTGTTGATTTCTGTATCAAGTAATCCCAATCAGATCTTCTTAGATTATCTTCTTTTTAGCCAACAAGAAAAGCCCCGAAGTAGCTCGCCCTCCCGTCCATCTCCATGGCGCTGACATTGCTCACGCTGATGAAGAGGCGATCTGCAGGCTGTAAAAAGGCGGTGCCGGCTTGGTGCAAGGAGAAGAGACCGGGTTCTGGACCTCGAGGCCAGCAGGCACTGCGGGATGACTTCATGAGCAGGATGGGTACCGTGTAAGAACTCATCTGTAGACAAATACGCAACATAGATTAAAACGCTGCACTGTGCATTACAACAGATGATCATTACCTCAGCTGAACTTTGTTTTCTCTAACCTTCTTGTAGATGTACTGAACAAGGTCCGCCCCTTCCTCCTCCCCTGTCTCCCCCTTTGCCTCCCCGTCAGCCTCCTCCGTGGAGGGCAGTCTGAAGTAGGTCTGAGCGTAGATGTAGTAGAGGCCAGCTCGGGGCACCAGCAGCTCTCCTTCTCTCAGCTCCATGTTCTGCAGGAAGGACAGACCTCTCTCGCCCTCCCACGCTCTGACTCGCTCCCCCAAATACCCCTTGCTGCTCCTCAAGCCTGCAACAGATCATAAAGCAAATAAACAAGCTGGAATTAATAAACAAACCCGGTACAATTAAGGCTTTTCTTCATGGGGCAAAACCCTTTAAGATTACAGAGCGATGTGATGAGTGAGTTTAAACAGACCCATTCTTCAAATAAGAAGCAAATGTGAACACAGATGTGGAATAAAATATCCTTAGAAGTGTTTGGGCCAAGAAACTTTCAGGGTTTTACAATCCACATGTTTTATAACTTTAAAAGATCTAAAGGTGAAGAGGTAAAACACCATCAGAGAGCTGTAAAGGTGAGAGTTGAGCTTTGACTGTGTTATCTGTGGGGCTCCTCAAGGCCAGCTCAGACGGGGAGGGGGCAGTTATGTGGTGCAGAAACAGAGACAGATGTCACTCAAGCAGGGAAAGGAAACTACTTCACAACAAAGATCCTAAAATCAAGTGCAGCTGAAAAATTTAATGGTTCATTCTTAACCCGTAACTTAAATCAGCTGAGAATATTCATGGAAGTACAGATTTCCTTTTCCTGCAGCACCTGCCCACAGCGCCAAAATGAGCCACTATAAACTTTAAATTCAAGAACATATGTCTGCAATGTTCTAAAGACAAAGAGTAAGTGAGACGATAAAGTTTAATCAGGAATGTCCAAACTATTCCACAAAGAGCCGTGTGGCTGCAGGTTTTTCTTCCAACCAATCAAGAGCACGCAGTCTGACCAATCAGCTGTCCGGAGACTGAGATCAGCTGATGAAATGAATCAAGTCTGGTGTGCTGCTGCTCGGTTGGAAGAAGCCACACGGCCCTTTGTAGAATAGTTTGGACATGCCTGCGAATAAAGAGATGAAAAGACGGATATAGGACACTGTGATCGAGCAGCTGCACATGTGCAGGTCCTGACAAACATGTCAGGATGAAGATGTTTCTCAGCGCAGCCTGGGAAGCCTTGAAGCACATTCCTCACCTCTGACCCCGGAGAAGTACAACTGAAGCAAGACAGCACTCGCAGGTGTGTGAGAATAGCGAATATGCCACCATGTAGTGTTTCAGAATGGATTCCAACTAACATTTAAAGTGTAAATGACTCTTTATTGTCTTAGTGTGGTGTAGGATACACACCATCTGCTGTTGTGTGTCCTGTGGATGAAGTAACACCAGTCACATGGGCAGCAACTTTAGGAAGTGGGACCCCAGGACTCATGATAGGCATCACTCCTGTTAGTTTTTCTACAAAAATGCACAAGAACCAAGCAGACAGTTTTATCGGGAAAGAGATACACTCAGTCGTAATAATGTGAACATCAAGAAAAGGCATTGTCCTGACCTCTCATCTCCCTCTGGAAACGGTCAGCCATCATCTAAAAAGATAACAGAGTGACAGAGAAGAAAACAGGCAGGTCAGTGAAGTAAAGTAACATGTCATCATCAGTAAAGCCTTTTAGCTATCTTTAGATCCATATTTTTAACGTTTGGTAATTCACCAGGGACCTCATCACCCCCTGAGTCATACAGCCCCTCCTCTGGGTAAACAAATATGTCATCTGCTGACCTGAAAGAGCAGAATTTCCCTTTGGGTGAGTCAAATATGGAGCTGCTTTAACCGTTATCGGGGGATCTTTGGTAAACAATAAAGATATCTGCTGCTGATGATGAGGGCAGTTCTGAATCTGGGATCATGTCAGTATTTATCCGACTGGACATTACAACAGTGTTGGCTACTTGATAATGTAATGCCAAAGATCTGTGTGAAATGGACATTAAAACTTAGCTGAACAGCTTACTCTTTATTACGTCTATCTCGCTCTGATTGGTAGTAGTGTTGCAGTTGATAATGCAAGATGTAAACTGAGGACTGACAGCTAAAGCAGACTGAGGTAGGGGACAATAGGGGAAAAGCGTCTTTTTCTTACACATTTAGAAATTTTAAAGTAGGTTAAGAAAGAAAATCCAAAAACCTTCTCTATGTGGTAGTGGAGCTGTTGTGTGACTTGCCAGCAGGGGTCGCTCTTCTTGTCCTCTGCAGAATTTTCTAACCCAGGTCGCAGATTCGCATTAATCAGACAAGAAACACTGCTTCTGGAAAAACTCTCCTGCATCTGATAAAAAAAGACGGAAAACAAATTTGTCCCGCATAAGTTTTGAAACCAACAATTTTGGATATGGATTAAAATGTTGATGATTTACTGATTTATATTTATGAGGTTATGAAAATACCATTAAAATTCTGGAAACGAGGAAACTGCGTCATAAACCAAGCCATAAAGGAAGATATGAATTTGCAAATCCCTGCAAAAACAGTGGACACTTCGAATTGATTTGCTGACCCAATTTGTAAAGCCCAATTCTGACGATAAAATTCAACCTAAACAGTTGCATACTGATCATGTTAGCTCTTAAAAGTCTAAAAAAACCTGATTATTGATTATTACTTCAACAGTTAGACAAGTGATGGGCACGGCAGTTCTTTTAGATGTACTGAATCACTAAAATCAGTTGACTAAAAAGATTCATTCAAAAGATTCGTTCACCAAATCACTGAATCATTTAGCGCGACAAAAGTGTTTGGCTGTGTTGCTTTGGCAAACAGGTTTGTAAAAATGAACTTTTTAATAAGTCATGATGTTTTGAGTGTACTGTCCTATGGTATGCCATTTATCAGGTCTGCTCGGTAAATTGGGCTCACTGAGTGATTCGTTCACTAAACGTTCAGAAGAATGTACCGCTCCCTCGCAAACCGCTGCAGTGATAGGACTTGTTACTTGTTACATGCTGTGTCCTATTGTGTGCAAGTTGTTCTGGTGGCAATTTAGTAGTAAAAAAGAATGTTTTGTCAGACAAAAATTATTCCAAAGAGTGCAGTTCAATGCGTGATTTGTTCACCAAGTGATTCAGGCATTGGTGCATGAGGTCCTTTGTTCGCCGGCTGCTCAACTGGCAATGCTGTTTCTCACTTCAGCTCAACTGAGGTGAGAAACAAACGAATCACTCGAGGAAGTGATTCGGTTCAGTGCGTTCACTTATAAGATTTGGTTCTTTTGAATTAATCGTTCGTAACCGACACAACACTAAGGCTGTGTCCGAAATGAATCACTCAACCCCTAACCCCTAACCCCCATATGGGATTTCACTATATAGCTGACTATGTAATGAGTTCAATTACCGGAGGTTTCAGACACTACATGGCAAGACGCAATGCATGATGGGATGCCCACCACCAGTGATTGACCATCAGATGGTCACTACATCTTGCAATGCTGTATGGGAAATTTTGAGTCGCCTATATAGGGCACTGGAATTGATTATTCAGGTTTCGGACACCCCTCAAAATGGTGCTAACCCCTTTAGTCACCTATATAGGGGTTAGGGGTAAGTTAGGCCTGTTTCACATGTCTTCTGGTTTGTGGCTCCTGCACCAAAATACATTTAAAATATTAAAGGCTTGATTGATTAATAATAAAACCTATATTTGGTCACTTAAAAACTGTCCTGTGTTGGTGGTGATGACAGCCCATCAGTCAGCCTACATCCAATTAACCCCCAGGTGTGCTTAAGTAAAGTGGGCGTTCTGTGCTGTGGCTCAGCCAATCACAGCTCAGCTCCAGCTATCGGCACGTTTAGATGAAACTTTTGGCCTGTCCAAGTGTCTGCTGAAATCTGCAATATATCGCATTTAGGGTGTCAAAGCCCAGAGTCCCCATCTAGCCTCATTTCCTGCCATTGTTTGGTGTTATCTACTCTGCCAACTTTCTTCTCTTTCATTGTTCAGCGTAAGAATGGCAGAAATTCTTGCATAAGTGGGACACTTACCTCATATAAACTTGTTCAGTTGATTCATAATTTATAACATGTCAAACCTGCTTCCTGAGTACACTTTTCTCCTGCAGTATTCAGTCCAAGGTAAGCAGTTTTTAGTGGTCTATTCCTTTATTCTTAAGTTTTCTGGTAGAGAAGTATGTCAGTGCAAAAGTATTCCTGTAAATTGGACGATAGATAATCATCAAGTTCCCTTAAAATCATTAAAAACAGACCAAAACCTCTCTTACTTCAGTGTCCCTGCAGCCAGTTTCATGTCATCTCCATGTGTTAGATCTAAGAGAAGACAAACGTATATCTTACCGTGTTCAGGACTTTGTTAAAGTACATAAAACTGACGGCGACTGCAATAGTCTGAAGGAGGACTGCAGCGAGTATGATGAGTCCCAGACACTGTAGAGACACAGAAACGGCCATATCACAGCGGGAGGAAAATCGGCCACAGCACCCAAACAAGTCCCGAAGAGAAGCAAAACACTTCCAGCATGGAGGGAGGACAAGTCAGATCAAGCTCTGCTGCATTTCTGCCCTAGAAAGAGAAGGAGAGACAGAGGGAGAGGCAGTTTATGGAGGTGGAGCTGAGAGAGAAACAGAGAGAGAGAGAGAAAGAGAGAGAGAGAGAGAGGAGGTATGGAGTTTTACAACAGCAGCAAGATGTCATTTATTAGATAGAAAAGCGGTGGACTTTAAGCCCCACTTGAAACTTCATGGCGCCTTCAAGTGCTGCTGGAAATGTGACAACTCTACTTTGGAGCACATGTTTTATCTTTCACTGTCTTTGAGGAGACCACAGCCGACTAAATTCATGATTCCTCAAAGTTTTTCTGGACAGAATAAAAAATAATCTATTGTCTTTAAAACAGTCAAATGTATCACACATGGAGAATCTTTGTCATGTAATGCGCAAAAAAGTTGGCATCACTTGGTTGGACGTCATCCTTGTCAGCGGTCTTAGGTGTGACAACTGAAGATCCATTCTGGTTAATGTTATTTTGCTTAAAGGGATATTCCGGTGTAAAATTAATTTAGGGTCAAACACATCGTAACACCAAGTTAGACACCCCCTCAAGAGATGAATGTTGCCGACCACTTGCTTCTCTAGTTATACCAACTTTAGTAATGACCACACGATAGAAATATACAGCAGTCTGAGGAGCCATAAACAAACCTCAAACAAAACGCCACTCTATAGCCACAAATAATGCTCAGAACAGCACCTAACTCCATCAACAGTACATATAGGGTCCCAGCCACAGCACTAGCTACTAAACATCTTTTAAACTTTGCCTAATTTCTTTAGCAAAGAGACTAAACACAACTCACCTACTCTCTTCCAGCAGCCGCTTGTTTGTAGCGAGACCTCGGGCCAGTCCACTACGGACTACAGCGGGGTGACGCAGCTCAAGGAAGAACATTTATGACCAGTTCTTCCTTGAGCTGTGTCACCCCGCAGCAGTCCATAATGGACTGGCCTGAGGTCTCGCTACAAACAAGTGGCTGCTGGAAGAGAGTAGGTGAGTTGTGTTTAGTCTCTTTGCTAAAGAAATTAGGCAAAGTTTAAAAGATGTTTAGTGGCTAGTGCTACAGCTGGGACGTTATATGTACTGTTGATGAAGTTAGGTGCTGTTCTGAGCATTATTTGTGGCTACAGAGTGGCGCTTTGGTTGAGTGCGTGGCTCCTCAGACCGCTGTGTATTGCTATCGTGTGGTTGTTACTAAAGTTGGTATAACTAGAGAAGCAAGCGGCCGACAACATTCATCTCGAGGGGGTATCTAACTCTGTCTTATGGTGTGTTTGACCCAAAATTAATTTACGCCGGAATATCCCTTAAATAGATTCATTAAAGGGACATTGACAATAATTTCAGTCACATTGGGAGCTTTAATTTTTAATTTCGATTTAAACTGCTGATGCAGTGTGTGATTTTTGAAGCAAACTCATTGTAACAGCCCATGACTGATCAAAATTTATGGTGAAGAAAACTTTTTTAATTAAGTACTCATCCGGAATTGAATCATGTGTTTTGTGTAGAAGAGGCTGGAAATACTTCAAACTTTTAAAGTGTTTAACAAAGTTTATCCCTTCCTTTTTAAAAAGTTCAAAGTCACTGCGTTCCTCTTAAAACCCTAATGTCCCCACACAGCCACGTTTAACCGGATTCATCTGCACAATGCCAGAAACATTCAGTTCATCACAAATCCTGTTTTATGACATTCTGTCTTTAGATGCAGAGCTGCTCTGGGCAGATTTCTGAGCCAGCTGAAGAGGCATTTCTGGAAGCCCTGGAAACAATCACTGGTGAGAAGTTGTGTAATCCATTAAGATGTTTGGCCTTATGTCTCAAATCTCCCCTTGTTCACACTGCTTAATGTTTTTATTTCTTCCCTCTGAGGCTCACAAATTCTCCTGAGTTTTTCTGCGTACTACGTCGATGCATCTAAAGCATGTCTCTACTTTTGCTTTGCACGCAAGGTTGAAATTGTTATGTTTATTTGACAGGAGCACTTGTATCTATGAACGCTAGCTTGGGAGGAGCACATGAAGGCAGCATCACTGTGGAGGATAATCAGCATCTTATAAAAAAGATGGAGAGCAGCCTTTTTAGTTTCTCTTTCCTGCAATTGTGAAATGATCTGAGGGAATGTCAGCCGATTAGTGCCAAATGACCCGCCATTGTTTGCGCTTCAGTGTAGTCTAAGTCGAGTTTGTCACAGGGGAGTCATTCAATCTGCAGAACTTAACCTTGAGTAATTCCCACTGGTTCCTTGACTTTCATTTCTTCACCTTTAACCTCCGCTCCATTGTCAGGGTGAGGAAGTGAGATCAGAGCCTACATATGCACTACCCTCCCAGCAGCTGAGACCCGTGTTAAAACATAAGTAAGGTTTACACACATAGACACACTATTTGAGGAAAATGTTACGAGTGTAAGCGAGTCCAACAGCAGCGAAAGGGAAACGGGTGTTTAGTTTGTTTCCTGTCAGGGATAAAAATCTTACAATACAGCAGAGAGAGAGTGATAAGAGATTCCTGTGTTCCCTTAAGTGAGTCAATTCCCAGGCTTGTCAGAGAGACCATGGGAGACAGTCAGTGAGTGATAATGTGAAGACTGCGTGGCCTCGGGGGGGGAAGATGACACCCTGAGAGACCTGCCCGTCTTCAGTCGAACAGCCAAAACAGGAAGAGGGAGACAGTTTGAAGTTGATAATGATACCACTTATAATTTGTATAACTCTTTTTATTCAACATTTGTTTTTACTTTAGTTACACAATACTCCTATTACTGACAATTCCCCCATGATGTTGTTTAACTGCGGAGAGCTGGCTAATGCTGAGCTTTCTCTGCCTGTGTTTGGAGTCACACAACAGTGCGGCCTTTACATCACAGCAGTACAGGACAAATCAGGTTAGATCATAGACTGTATGGACAACCTGATTCCGCCTACCGTCTGTATACATATTTGAAGCCAAAAAGCTCTCGTTATTTCTGGGATTTTTCTTCATTTCCTGAAACCAGCGCTGCGCAGAAGCGATGCACGCGTTCGGCCGCACAGTCGCTGAGAGTCACTGTGATGACGCTCGGCTCAAACAGCGTATCCCCCGGGAGAGCTACGCAATCCCTAAACGCCCATAGGCTGTACCAGGTGTCAATCAAAGAAAACATGAACCCCCTAATAACTTTTAAAAACGGAGCTTCACAGAAAAAAGAGGACTTGAGCACAAACCAGTGTTACAATAACTACATGTCAACATCAAAAGAAGGGGGGAGAAAAATTTATATTCTGTGTAATTAATTTCTTAAGTTTGTCCCCATAAGCTTTGCTGGCGGAAGCGGGAATTATGACCTATACTGCAGCCCATCAACAGAGGGTGCTGTTCTCGGAGTGGCTTCATCCAGAGAGGGGGCAGACGCTGTCCATTCTATATACAGCCTATGGATTAGATACAGGAGATGGTACTTGATCCACAGGGGGGCGCCAAAACTGATGTAAACCAAAGATTACTCACAGGAGCTTTAATGAAAATGGTCAGAAATATGTAGTTGAAACTTGTTGTAGGAGATAAGTCGATACTTAAAGCTACTGAGATGCTTGACCTGGAGTAACCTGGTTGACGTGCCGTGCTACTGAATTTTACCGTGAGTTTTGGTGATCATTGACAATCCGGACAGACCAAATCCATTTGCAATTTATATCCAACTCTGAACAAGACGAGGAAAACGCCGGCAGTTAGTGCCATGACATGACTACCTTTATCACCAAGCCCCCAGATAACAGGACAGCGACATCTAAGGCACACAAAGTGAACTGCAGCTCATAACAATACAGTATGCTCATACAGATTTGGCTCCTACACTTGTAACAACATGAGCTTTGTGAATGTGGTCAGTTATCCATGACCTTTGACCTCTGTTGGTCATATGCACCAGGCTCTGGATAGACTAAATCATAAACCTGCTCTTTTTTTCTCTTCTTATTCTTATTCTAAATATTGAGATTGTAAACACTCCTGTCTGCTTTCAACTATTTCCACATGGATGTCCAGGATTCAACACTTTAATTTGTGATACAACTTCATTTGTCACATTCATCCCTCATCAATAACATTCATGTGGCGGTTTTGAACTCTCACATTTCTCCTGCTTTTCTCTCCTCTGATGTCTCTCTCTGCCTCTGTCTGCAGCAAATTAAGAGTTGAAGGTCAAATCTTGCAGCCTTTCCCTTTGATAATATTCAGCAGCTGCTGGAAGCTGCAGTTTGGAGACTTTCATACACAAGTCTGCGCCCAGCTGGGAGTCGACATGATGAAAGAATTCTAATTTTTTTGGAGGACAATAAGAAAACACATGAAAATGTTCAGTTTAACTGTACGAACTGTGCTAACCAGCTCTGCTACTGATTTCTGATGACTTGCTAATGGAATAAAATGATTTTTTCGGTTAAATAAATCTGCAAACAGTAACGCCAGACCACACATATGCTTTTCTAAGACTCCCTCCTCTGTTTGAAACCAGATTTAACCCCAGCGGTAGAATTGCAAAACTCTCCTTTTAACCGTGAAAGTTTTAATTTATCTTTTTTTTAACTTTTCATTGAAGCATTTCGTTAATTTTGCTTCACAATTCACATTTACACACCCATACAAATGTCGCAAAAACAACATAAACAAAACAAACAAGACAGGAATACACACAACAAACCTACATCAACAAAAAAGTTTTAAAAATATAATTTAATGTGAAAAATAAACAGTACTGTTGTATAATCCCTAAATCTGTAAAGAAAGCAAAGCTTTATGAGAGCAAAAGAGTATCTTTGCCTCAAACTAAAGCACTTGAATCAAAGCCAGAAGACAAATAATGGATTTAAAAGACAGATTTAAACTCTATCCACCCTACTCTATCCTCCACTCCCCTTTTCCCTCCCTCGAGGCCTCTCCTCCCGACATTCGTCTTGCTAAAGTTGTGGAATCTCCCTGAATTCCTGTGTGAGCACTACAGCTGCTCATTGTCTCATCTATAAAACAAAGCCTTGTGCAGAAAAGTGCTACAGCACAGTGCACGTACACACTTGCCAATGACTAAGTGAGCGTGCCAGTGGATTGGCGTTACCCTGATAGACTGTCTGTGTAGGTAGCTGCACAGAAAGGGACCACAGGGGGATTAAAACGTCACTCAGAACTCATTTCAATCAGTTTTTCTTTTTTTCCTCACTGGTGATCATGGAGGTAATTAGTCAAACTCTGTAAGATTAAGGTTAGAAAAGCAGGATTAGAAAAAGCTTCCCAGCAATGTGGACAACCATTATGATTAACAGTGAGTTAGAAAGCCAGGGGTTGATCAACAGTGGATATAAAAAGTCTACACACCCTTGTTCAACTGCCAGGTTTGAGTGATGTAAGAAAATGACGGCATGATAAATATATTCACAACTTTTTCCACCTTTAATGTGACCTATAACCTGTAAAATGCAATTGAAAAACAAACTGAAACCTTTAAGGGTAAAAATAAAAAATAGAAACGTTAAAATAACCTGGTTGCATAAATATACACACCCTTAAACTAATACTTTGTTGCAGCACCTTTGGCTTTTATTACAGCACTCAGTCTTTCTGGATAGGAGTCTATCAGCGTGGCACATCTTGATGTGGAAATATTTGCCCACTCTTCCTTGCAAAACCGCTCTAAATCTGACAGATTGCAAGGGCATCTCCTGTGCACAGCCCTCTTCAGATCACCCCACAAACGTTCGATGGGATTCAGGTCTGGACTCTGGCTGGGCCGTTCCAAAGTCTCAATCTTATTCCAGGGAAGCCATTCTTTTGTTGATTTAGATGTGTGCTTTGGGTCATTGTCTTGCTGAAAGATGAAGTTCCTCTTCATCTTCTGACTAAGGCACCAGTTCCAGCTGAAGAAAAACAGCCCTGAAGCATGATGCTGCCACCACCATGCTTCACTGTAGGTGTGAGGTTCTTTTGGTGATGAGCAGTGTTGATTTTGCGCCAAATATCCCTTTTGCAATGATGCCCAAAAAGTTCAACTTTGGTTTCATCCGACCATAACACATTTTCCCACATGCATTTGGGAGATTTCAGATGTCTTTTTGCAAAATTAAGCCAGGTTTTGATGTTTTTCTTTGTAAGATAAGGCTTCTGTCTTGCTACCCTACCCCATAACCCAGACATATGAAGACAGCAGGAGATTGTTGTCTCATGTACTACACAGCCAGTACTTGCCAGAAATTCCTGCAGCTTACTTCAGTGTTGCTGTCGGCCTCTTGGTAGCCTCCCTGACCAGTTTTCTTCTTGTCTTATCATCAATTTTGGACGGACGTCCTGTTCTTGGTAATGTCACTCAACTGCCATTTTCTCCACTTGATAATGACGGCCTTTACTGTGTTCCATGGTATATTTAATTCCTTGGAAATTCTTTTGTAGCATTCACCTGACTGATATCTTTGAATAATGAGATCCCTCTGATGCTTTGGAAGCTCTCTGGCTTGTGCTGGAAGATGTGGCGACAAAAATGTCAGGAAAAGCTACTAGAACAGCTGAACTTTATTTGGGGTTAATCAGAGGCACTTTAATTGGTGACAGGTGTGTGCTGACTCCAATTAAACCTAAGTTTGAATGTAATTGGTTAAATCTGAACACAGCCACATCATCACTTATTAAAGGGTGTCCACACTTATGCAACCACATGATCTCAGTTGTTTAGTTTTACTTCACCTTCCCTGAAAGATTCCTGTTTGTTTTTCAATCGTGTGTTACAGGATATAGGTCACATTAAAGGTGGAAGAAGTTGTGAAATTATTTATCTTGATTCAATTTTTCTACATGACAAAAACCTGGCAGTTGAACAGAGGTGTGTAGACTTTATATATCCACTGTAAACTGAGGGATAATTTGCAAAATGTATTCAAATGGACTGTAACCATAGTAACCTGTTTTAGGAGTAACTTAAATAATCCATATTAGATTTGGTGGTTTAATCTCCTATGATGGGTCAAATTTTTCACTCTCCCTCTGCCACTGCATGAATATGACAAATGTGGATCAGATTAGAAGTGAGTAAGAGTCATGTCGAGCTTTGACCCCTAGAGGGGGGTGTTGCATTGAAGACAGAACAGAGAGAAACACACTTTTTCTCCTGCAGCTTAAGCAAGTAATGAAATAAAATTATATTTCAGTGCAGTTTTCATATGCAAATATTTATTATTTCCACCATAATGTTTGAGTTTATGCCTCACATTAAAGAGAAATACTCTATTCTGTACATTCATGCTACTTCACTCTCAGTTAAGATTATTTTTTTGTCCAGTTGTCTACTTTTGATGCTTGTTTTCCTGCAACTATGATTCACACCTGTTGACCCTGTCCTCAGCACTGCAGTTACACCAGCCAACTTCCCCACAGAGCACTCCCTCATTCCCCTGCCCTGGACCCCCGCCAGCTATCTATCCCCTTCACACCACCGCAGCACACTTCGTTAAGATTAAACACCTTTCGACACCTCGGGCTCAGCTGTTATGTGCAACACATTTTGCCATGAAATATGACCAGTAAAAAAAAAAAAAATCATACACAGTCGTAAGGTAAAGTTAAGGTGTAACTTTAGCGGTTCTTGTGGTTAAAGGGTTAAAGGAGGCATTCTGGGAATTACGTTTTTTACTTACAAAGCAAAACAAGACAAACTTTGAAGAAGCAGTTGAGAATATGGCAGATAAAACTTTTATTGCATAGCAGTGTAAAGGTAAAAGTTAACAAAACTGTCTTTTAAGAGGGACTTTATGTGTTTTATTGACAAAAGTAGGAAGAACCAAGACACTGTGGGAGTAATTCTGCCACAAAAAGAATATTTAAAATCAAGTAAAATTTTAGATTTGGATGTAAAACTTGCTTTTAAAGCCCTTGTAGATGTTCAGTGAAAACAGACATGTACTCATCTTGAACATATGTGCTGGTACTTTTCAGTCTTTTTAGGAGTTAATCCAGCAGAGTGGATATCATGGCAGATTACACACAGCTACTAAAAGACTACTACCAACTTTAATCTAGGATTTACCAAAATGGAGCCCCTGAAGCCCTGAAAAACTGTTTTTTTTTTTTGCTTTTATGCTTTTATTTTTGAAGAAAGTACAGTGGATAGAGCAGGAAGTTGGAGGAGAGAGTGAGGGGTGACATGTTAATGAGGAGCCGCAGGCTGGAACTGTACCCAGGCAGCCTGCTTGAGGCATAACTAACAAATACAGACCATGTGCTGAGACCACTAGGCCAGAACAGCCCCCCACAAGAAAGCTATTTTTATAATGTGAGAGCAACATATAATCTAACAGGAACAAGCTGGTTTCTTTGTGTGCACATTAGAATGATCTTGTGGGGACAAGCTGTGATAATAACATCATTTGCACATTATTATCTTGTGCTCACAAGTTAGCATCTTGTAAGCACAATGTATTGCAGTCATTTTGTGCGTACAGCATTATAAATTCTGCAGGAACAATATAAGAATTTTTGCGCACATGATAACAGATGCCACTTTAACATGCAGGGGCTCCATTCATGTCATTTCACAGGGTTAAAAAGTCATTATTCTTCACATAACGATTTGTTCACAAACAAACAATGATATTTGAGTAGGAATGAATCTGACAAATGGAATGACACTGAAAGACAATAGTGCATTTGGTCTGAGGTTTTCAAGTCTGTCAGGGAAGATCGGCTTCTTGTGGAAAAAGACGTACAACATGAATGTTAACTAGAGCTGTGTGAAATGTATAACACACAATAAAACTAAGTGCTTCTCTCAAGAAAGGTTACGACCCCCGAACTTTTAAAACTACATCTTATTTAAATAGTTACAACATCATCATGAAGAGCCATCAAAGTATTGCGAAACAACTCCGTTTACATCCTTTCAGCTCTGACTTTGCATCAATCAAATGATCTGATAACACAACCTGCTGAATCATATTATCAAACTGCTACAAACTTGAGTTTTTGATCTGTTTTGTGTCTCGTACATCTAGAACATAAATAACAAAAGACTGTGAAGTAAAATTGAGTCTGTTTGTCATATTTCTATGCATTTAGTTTGTGTGTTTGTTGAAGGTTCACAGTGTTAGTTGAAGTGACGTTAGATTAGTTCACCTTCTCTACTGCAATCCTTTGGTCATCTTGCAATCATCAAGTAAACTTTAGAAGTACTGAGCTGGTGTGTGTGTGTGTGTGTGTGTGTGTGTGTGTGTGTGTGTGTGTGTGTGTGTGTGTGTGTGTGTGTGTGTGTGTGTGTGTGTGTGTGTGTGTGTGTGTGTGTGTGTGTGTGTGTGTGTGTGTGTGTGTGTGTGTATCTGCAGGTACAGGAGGGTCCTGAGCATAGATCTTTTTTTTTTAAATAAACAGTTTATGGACTATTCTGTGATTCACAAAGCAACAACTGGTGCATTTGGTATCACTAAATCACACATGCACACATCCATGCACCCAAAAAGAGGCTTCGACTCATTCGTTCATACACCTTCACATTTTTACAAGTTGTTCTTGAGCCATTCGATGTATCCCCTCACCGCTCTTCTCCCCACATCAAAATCCAACGGCCAGACTATGAAGCTAAAACACCCGTGGAAGCCGTCCTCGTAGTGGAGGCTGGTTACTGTGACTCCTGCGTCCTGTAGGCGCCGCGCATACATCAGGCCGTCATCCCTCAACACGTCGTACTCACAGGTTAGGATGTACGCTCGCGGACATTTAGCCAAAACCTCTGATCCTGCTAACAGCGGTGAAGCTCTCACGTCCAGCAGACCTGGCACCTCCTTCACCGTTCCCTCAGAGCCTTTCTCTACCACCACGGGCTTATAGCTCTTCTTGTATTTTGGTTGCAGGAGGACGGTCCAGTCGAGCCGGGCCCTCAGCTCAGGGGTGATGCTTGAGTGTTTTAAGGAGCTGTGGTTGTTCACCATAAACTGGGGCTGCAGGGAGAGGTCTGCACCCAGGTACTGCAGCCAGAAGCGGACCATAACAGTCCGGTAGAGGATGGGTATGTATTGATTCTGCAGGTAGGAGGGCGTGTTGAAGTCCAGAGCCTGGAGCACGGGGTAGATCAACGCCTGGACGCTGAACTTTGTGCTCACTGTGTCGTCTGAGGAAATCTGGGTAATAATATAACATAAAAGGAACTTACTGAGCATCATATTAGCTTTTTCTATTTGATGAGGTAATGTCCGTGGTCATTCGGCTTTAATCTAAGATTGCAGGGTCTTTCTTAATATCACAAAACACAACATTGATCAATATTTTAACTGAGCGTCTTAAGAACTGAGTAGGCAATAGAGACTTTGCACTTAGCTGGCTTTATCCTTATCTTCTGGAGTGAACCTTTGCAGTAACCACAGATAAACCTATGGACACCACAGGTAATTACTCCTCCTCTATCGCTACCATTACCTGTGGTGTACCACAAGGTTCAGAGGTAGGTCCAATTTTATTTTCTATTTATATGCTACCCCCTTGGCCGAATAATTCAGCGCTACTAAGTCCCTCCTCATCACTATTCAGATGACACACAGATATACCTTCTTCTGAGACCTGAGGACCCTAAAACCTCAAGTTCAGCTCCTGTATGAACAGATCCATTATAGCTTCTGTCTCTTGGGCCTCTCTCAAATTTCTTTTTCATTTGTCTAGCTCTCTGGAAGCCTCTTCCACTGTTGCCACACTGGCATCATTGAGTTAAACCAGTTGGCAAAAAATGGCAAATTATGAAATACGGACCCCAAATCTGAACGTGAAAGTTTGGCCCATGAAAATCTTGTTCAACAGCAGACAGAGCAAAAGATCCGTTTATTTCACCAATCTGTGACATCACAAATTGAGTAACTACCTATTGCATCATCATTGCATGACTTTCAAAACAAGCTGTTAAGAGCAGCCAGTGGTTTTATCCTACAAAAACTCAAATACAATGCCCATGTTTAGTACTGACTTCCAATACTTTAGATCAATATTTGGTTTTTAAAATATGGAAAAAAAAACAAGATCATGGTTCATGAGTAGGGATTTAACTTTTGTTGTGTTTTGACCAGTGTTGTTTTCGTTGACGATGATGTTGATGAAAATACTTCGTAAGCTGCTCCTATAAGTTTAGCGTTTGACTGACGAAATGCTCATTAATTTTGCAACTCTGTTCGTCGTCCACCACTAACATTTTCGTCTCGTCTCGTCAACGCACATTCGTCTCGTCACATTTTGGTAATCTAAAACTTATGTTTAGCTCGTCCATGGCACGTCTTCATCGTGGAAAAAAAGGGGCTTTGATGAAATATTTTCGTCAACGTAATCGTCGATGAAAACAACACTGGTTTTGACTCTGCACACAAATGTTATATTTTTGTAATACATTTTGCACGTATTCCAAGATAACATTGTGTGTGTGTCAGCGTACCTCCTGAGAGACTGCAGCAGCCAGGTTTCCCCCCGCACTATCTCCCGACACAGCCACGCGCTCAGGGTCAATGGCGTACCTAGCCAAAACCTCCATGGACAGAAAGTGCTTGGCAGCATTGAGGCAGTCCAAATACGGCTCTGGGAAGTGCACCTCTGGATATAAACGATACCTACACAGACATCAACCCTTTTAAAATACTGGCGTCGCATCAGTGACTGAAAGGAGACATAAATCAGTTTCTGTTGCTCGGAGCAGAAAGTTTGTCAAAACACTAGATCAGTGTTGCAGAAAGAGACACACTTACTCAACAGAGACCACAACGGCGTTGAGCTCGTCAGACATCATCCTGTTGATTGTATCATATGATCCCTTTTCTGAGAAAGTGCAAGAAAGTGAACAAAAATACTTTCTGTCTGAATTTTCCACTTACTGGAAATATCCTAGAAGATATGCACACAGACACAAACCACAAAAAAAACAAATACACTTTTTGTGGAATCAGGACAAATCCGTCCCTGCAAACACAGACATAAATCAAGAAACTACTGAATATATCTGGATTACTAAGAAAGCAGTTATCATTCCCAAAGACTTAATTCAATGTTTCTGTACTCACTTCCACTGCCGAGAGCCCAGCCCCCTCCATGGAAATACATCACCCCTCTCCTCAGATGGCCCTCCCCTCCAGCCGGAGGTTCATAAACCCGCACCGGGACGCCGGCAAAGGTGATGTCGCTGATTTTCACTCCAGGCATGACGCCTCCATCGCTATCAGAACTATCCATACCTTTTACCATGCCCTCGAAGCCCTCTGTGCTGTGTCTGATTGACCAGATATAGTGGTAAAACCCCAGCCAATGCATCAGAGAGGCCTGAAGAGAAGTGGGGAGACAGGTAAAGATCAACAACATTACCTAAAGTGGAGTTTTTCAGGACATTAAAGCAGAATTCAAGGCTGACAGAAAACACAGGGGGTAGGAGAAGGGAAATCTCTCTTGTTGCGAGGCAGAAGTTTTTTCTGGAGTAAAATTAAGTTAGGGTCAAACACACCGTAATGCCGACTTAGACACCCAATTGAGAGATGAATGTTGCTGACCCCTTGCATCTCTGGTTATACAAACTTTATTTACGACCGCACGATAGCAAAACAGAGAGCCACACGCTCAACCAAAAGCCACTCTATAGCCACAAATAATGCTCAGAACAGCACCTAACTTCATCAACAGTACATACACCAAACATCTTTTTAGCTTAGCCTGATTTCTTGTTTCACACAACTCACCCTCTCTCTATCAGCAGTCACTTGTTTGTACAGAGACCTCCGGGCGAGTCCATCGACTGCTGTGGGGTGACGCAGCTCAAGGAAGAACATTTATGATCATTTCTTTATCGTTTCCTTGAAGTAAAAATCACCATATTAATCATTTTTCACTGCAGACGCGGTAGTTCTTCTGCCTTAGCGTTTCGGTCTGATTGCATTTCCATGAGGAAATGATCATAGATGTTCTTCCTTGAGATGCGTCACCCCGCTGTAGTCCGTAATGGACTGGCCTGAGGTTTCCGTACAAACAAGAGGCTGCTGGAAGAGAGTAGGTGAGTTGTGTGAAACAAGAAATTAGGCAAAGTTAAAAAGATGTTTGGTGGGTAGTACTATGGCTGGAACCCTATATGTACTGTTGATGAAGTTAGGTTCTGTTCGGAGCATTATTTGTGGCGTTTTGGTTGAGATTTGTTTATGGCTCCTCAGACAGCTGTGTATTGCTATTGTGTGGTTGTTACTAAAGTTAGTTTAATTAGAGAAGCAAGCGGTTGGCAACATTCATCTCTCGAGGGGGTGTCTAACTCTGTGTTACATTGTGTTTGACCCTAAATTGATTTTACACCGGATTATCCATTTAAGCTCCATATGGAAGGCCCAGATCAGGGTTTTAACTAAAAACCCTCCAGCAGGTTTGATACCAATTCAATGGATGACAGTTTGTTAGTGATGTGATTGTGGTAAAGTGAGACTGAGATTTAAAAGTTTGTCTTACTGCCTTATCTTTGATGAAGTGGTGGATGTGCTTAACTAGTAAAATAAACTCAATAAACGCTGATTTCTTCTGATAAAAGTCAGCTGTGCTGTAGAACAAGACCTTTTTAAAGCAGGTTTTATCTGCAAAGCCTGAGGGGAAAGGGAGGATACAAAGTTGAAGACTGAGCTGTAAAAAGAACACGCCACTTTGAAACAACTCCTTCATGATAAATAAGTGGACCACTGCAACCCTGTTCCTGGTGTCTGGTAAACTCAAGATGATTGGGCACCGCAAGTGTGTGATGTGTAAATAAAATACAACCAAGCAATCAATCTTTACAGATAAACATCATAAAGAGCAAAGAAATTGAAGCTGACCAGTCTGCAATTGCAGGACTAAATGTGATCTTATCTCAAAGTGCTTATTTCCAATATTTAGAAAAGGCAGATAAGACTATTATTAAATGTTGACAACAAATACTGTTATCAGGGTTGGCGCAAAAAGCCTCTGTAATCAGTTATCAATGTGACACTCTCTCAGCCTGTGTGGCTTGTTACTTTTCACCTACAGCGACTTCTGAAAATGTGGGACACAGTTAAAGGTAAAAAAAGGTCTGTGTCCCCAGGGGAGCCCACAATGAGCTATCTGATGGCTGCTTGGCAACGGATCAACACCATGACGACAGAGACACACAAAGTTAAACTGTAATTGTGGTGAAGAAAACTGTTTCAGGAAGTTTGTACATTTCACACTGCTGTGTCTAACAAGCTCTAATGGATTCAAGCGTGAAAAAAACCCTCTGGGTGAAGAGAAACAATGTGGACTAGTCACAACTTTATCTTTTTGAGAGTGTGTTGATGTTTCTTTTAAAAGCATGATCTGCTTCATAACTCCAATGTTACGCCTCTGCATGTCATAAGATCTTCTCAAAACAACTTAAAATAAACACAAATTAAAGGAGAGTAACGACCACTTTGGAGATCATTGATAAAGGCATAGAAAAGTCTAGGTTCACTTTACAAGGCTTGGTCCAAAGTTCATATCCATGTCTACACAAGCTTGGTTGTAGGTTATCACTGCCACTTTTTAACATGCACTTCACCTGCCAGTCTTTATTCTTTCTCTGTTTGTAAATCCATAATTTGACATTTTTAAACTATAGAAATATAAGGAGATTGGTGCAGATTTGGTAAGTGCAAGTTAAATACTTGCAGCATGTACTCCTCTATCAAACATCACATGTCCAACATTGACTCCCATTATTTCCCTCTCTCTCTCTCTCTCTCTCTCTCACCAAGTGCATCGTTGTGCGGAATCCAGCATCCAGCATCATCAGCTTCCACGGCTCCTGGATGCCATCAGGGAGCGGGAGGTAAACATAGTAGGCAATCAGCACTGTTAGTAACAGGGTAAAAACAACCGTCTTCAGCTTCATCCTGAGTCTGTCAGCTTCAGGGATCAGGCTGCACACAGGCTGATACTCACGCACAGTGACGCTGTAGATCACTGGATGGATGGGTGGGAGGTCCGGGGAGAGTGCGGGGGTGCTACTATGGAGTGTAAGCGTGGTATCGACGACTTCCGTTACAGATTTTCAAAATAAAACACGGGTCTGAAACAAATAAACAAAGCACTTATTTATCATAGAAGAAAATTATAGAATATTTGCCTTAGATTGAGCATGAATAACCTCAAAAGTGAAAAAAAAAAATTCAATGTTAGAGGCCATTCTATATCAATCTGAACACTTCTAGTAAAGAAAATAGGCGTAGGGCTTTCTTGTCTGTAACAAGTTTTAAGGATTTACAAAAAAAGTAGCAGCTCATTCTTCCAGTGAGGAAGGCATGGTCTTGTTTTAAAATATTGACACTTGTGAATGAAGAACTACCCCCAAACAAACAAAGCATTTAGAATAAAATCCAACTTCCAATCCTCATTAAAAAAAACTGCTGATAAAGACTGCCGATGTGATTTAGACGTCCAATTTTGACCGAAATCGTTTAAAGTAAAGATGAATTTATTTTCCTATGGGAGTAGGGACCTCTGGCTCACACTCCTGCATGGTAGGTGGCGGTAATGCACCTCTAACGTTGGTTGCCATCCGTCGTTAAACAACAAGAAGAAAAAGCAGAAGCGGTAATTGCCTGTTTCCGCTTTTACCTGTCTGACAGGTAAAGCCCGCGAAAAGACGCTAATCTCCGTTAGTGCGTTAATTTACAAGCCCATTTGACTGCAGGAATGTGTACTAGAGACTGGTAAGAAACCCCCTTACACCACAAGGTTCATTACAGAAGTGGTGGTACTGCTTTAGTATTCACAGTCTATGATCATACCTTACTGGAGTTTCTAACCCAAATGCTGCTGAATGATACTTCAGGTCTTAAATGACAATAGCTACCGATATTTGTCTTAATCAATCTAAATAAAAATCTAGCTGTAATTTTACAGCAATGTTGGTTTTCTGCCTCTTAAAACTTCACAAGGCCCTTGTTCTACACTAACGTCAAAATACTTTTATTTTGAAGGCCGTTGGACAAAACCGAAAAGGCGTCTGGGAAATGAAGTGCTGTCTCACAGCTATCGCTGGGAAACACATTGTAAGACACGAAGTAACCACACAGAGGCGCCACAGAGCTACAGGTGAGACTGCACACGATTACATGTTGATGTTTCTCTAGTTTTATCACATAATGTGAGGTGAATTTGTAAGGACTGAGTAAAGAACATGCTTTATTTTACAAAAAAAAACAACTTTGAAAATGCAGATTTGATCTTTATTTCTGTGAGACCTGAGGAGGTTGATAAATTCTCATTCTTCACCTCTGATCATTGCAGCTGTTACAACCTTTAAAAAAAATTCAGGGAAAATATTCAAGGGTACTACAATGGTTTATAGAAATAAAAGAAACAACAATAAGGGCTCCCAAAACTCCTGAATTATGAAAATTCACAATCTTTTCCCATTTCCCATTACCATTATAATACTGAAAATGAACTAATAAAGGTAAAAATAACAGTGGAAAGATACAGAAAATTAAGGTAACTAACTGAAAATAAATACTTAATCATTGGTTGTAGGATTACTACAACCAATATAATAAGGATTATGGCTTCTGCACAACCAACTGAGGCATCAATCCATTCCAATCCGCTTTATTGATATAGCACATTTTAAAAAAACATTCAAGACTACAGAAGTGCTGCACAATAAAGTAAATAAGTAAATAAAAGCAGGTAAAAAAACATTTAAAATGAAATAAAATAAATGAAATAAAACCGCAAAAGCATAAAAGAAATAAGTGATAAAAGGACCATAAAGGACATATGAGGACAGAGAGCACACAACTCTCATGCTGAGCTAAAAGCCAAGGAATAAAAATGAGTTTTGAGACGTGATTTAAAAGGAGAAAAAGGGGGGGATGTTTTGATCTCGAGTGGCAATTCGTTCCATAATTTAGGAGCCACAGCTGAGAAAGCTCGGTCGCCACAAGTTGGAGCTGATCAGCGGACCTCAAGGAACATGTGGGGGTGTAAACATTTAAGAGGTCAGTAATTTACTGTGGTGCTGATCCATTTAAAGATTTAAAAACAAACAATACAATTTTAAAATGAATTCTAAAATGGACGGGAAAACAGCAGGGCAAGTGTAGGCAACAGAAGGGTCATGCAAAGGTGGGGATATGAGGGCTCTGATATTTCACTTGAAAACTGTTCAAAATTATGAAATTTAAATGAAAAGGTAATATTTAACTTAAATGTTTAAGACAAGTTAAAGTCATCATCCATGCCGATTCTGCAACGACACCATGCTGCTCCTCTGCTAGAGTCAGAGAAGTTTAACTGGAAGTCTTTTATAAGTGGGGAAAGTGAGATTGGACTCATCATGTCAGTGCACAGGCTATTGATCCATTTGTCTTCTCACTTTTCGGCTCTTCCTGCTGTTTTTAGATAAAAGGCGGGTCTGGCCTTTTTCAGTTTGGTTTAGTGATCAATAACAGCACTCAGCGAGTCAACTCAGAGAGAGTCGGGGCTGATACCGGGACTTATCTGACATTTTCAAAATGGATTCTTGGTCATTATTTTAAGAAGAGCAGAGGAGAATCTGACCGGAAAAGAGAGACAGATCCAATAAATTTCAAACAGCTCTGTCACCCAAGTGTATCATGATCAAGATTGGTCTGACTCTTGGTCAAAGTCACTGAAAGACATTTGGCTGCTCAGCGACATCAATGGTGTCACAGCTGAAAGGGGCAAACAGTGTCAGTGTCACCTTCTCACTCTCTCTGTCTCTCTCTGGGCTATTTATCGCCCTGTTTCTTCCCACGCTTTGACTCCTAAATGGACACTGTCCGTCCCCGGTGGCCCACTGCGAGAATGTAAACAAACATCAGAGCTGATGAGGATCTGACCCCTCTGCTGGGCTGGTTTTCCAAAACAAAGCAGACAGACTACCAGACCGTATCAGATTAGCCTCTTTGGAGGACAAGAGAGGTGGTTGCAGGTCACTGTCTTTTCTGTAAAAATAGATAAAGATAATTGATGGGAGGAAACTAGAGGATAATGTATGTCTAAACACTCATGTTGAGGATAGACCGTGGTGTAAGCTTGAGGCTGGGCAGCTGGGGGTCCAAGTTGAGCAGTGATCCTGCGAGACCAAGAGTCAGTTTGGAGAATCAGGTTTTGTCTGCAGCACAGTGCCACAAGGAGAGCTGAAACTCTTTGGCAAAGACTGGTTGAGGAGCCGTGATATTTACACTGCAGGAGCTTGATTAGTGGATGGGTCTCAGATGTGCAGGCTGATTGGTAGCGAGGATGAGGCCGAGTGCCCAGTCCTGACAGGCACAGACAGAGGAGCAGAGCCTAGTCCATGATAATAATGCTGCTTATTGGTCTGTGGAGAAGAGTTTAGGAGCCCAATGATGGTAGTTGAAATGCTGACTCACCTTGACTTAAAGTTGACTTAGTAAAAGGTAAAGAGGTGCAGTTACAGCGGGCCTTCAGCCTCCTAACTAAGAGCTAATGTGCCCATCTGTCAGTCAAGTCTGTTGCAAAACTTGTAGCCTTACCATCTTTCAAACAGTGAGTCGTATGTAAAATAAAACCCTGGCTGCTTTTGAACCACAACAAAAACATGTTTATACTTTCTAAATTAGTGAGCATTCATATATTTGTGTTAAAAGGGTCTCGATTAAGGGCGCTAATAATTCAATTTATCGTGATCAGAGCGAGGCTAGCTGTTTCACATGAAGGCTAATCGAGCTGACCTTCTCGTGTATCTCTAAAATAGATTTCCTAAAATGTTTGACCCTCTAATACATTCATTTTGTCTGCTTTTGAGTAGACTTTCTGTCCTATAACCACCCTGCTGATGCATTTTGTAATCCTCCCTTTTGCTAGAATTTTTGAAGACAGACACCAATATTTTAGATTTTTTAATCCATGCTGTCCTTTTTTATACCACTCTTTGTAAACAAACAAAGCAGTAAGTGAATCGTGCTGCAGGAGTGGTTGATCAATTTTCCTGTCGTGCTTTCTCCCTCCATTTGCAGCCCACACTTAACAGTCTTGACCGTGCCATTTGCCCCCATGATGACGCACAAAACTACAAACTTTTTGCAGTCGCCTCAAAATCCTTAATCCCGCAGAGGGGTCTGCGTTTCACTCTCGTAATAACACTCGAAGTCGCACATGGATGCCACACTTGCTCCCTTTCCAAAAGAGCTGTTTGAATGAGAGCGTCAGCAGAAAGCTTAAATTGTAAACCTTAATGTGATATATGTGTGTGTGTCTGTGTGTGTGTGTGTGCGTGTGTGTGCGTGTGCGTGTGTGTGTGTGTGGTGTAAGGAGTGTGCATTAAAATTCCCTCTCCCTGCTCCCTCCTCCCTCCCGCCTGTGTGTTGGTCTGGCGTCTCCCTGCAGTCTGTGGTATGGAGGGCAGAGAGAGGGCCTCTCTTGTGTCGCTGACTGGAATTACACTTATGGTTATTTAACATGACTAAAGCCGTGAAGCAGAGGTGGAGGTTTTCCATTTCATGCAGTCCTGTTTTACACACATTTAAACATGAATTACGGGGAGGAATTAAAAGCGAGACTTGACCAATAAAACACCAACTCCAGCTTTTTCATCTGCATCTTGCATCTGCATCCAGTTTTTAGGCCTGTGCTTAAATCTATCAATATTTCACTAAGGTTTGGTGGAAGAGAAACAAAGGTCCTATTCTGTCTCTTGGGCCGTAATAAGAACATTAAGACCAGTTAACTCACACAGGATGTTTTTTATCCGCTTTAACTGAGACTAAAGTATCTCTGCACAGCTCTTTTACATGATCTTGATGATGCTAATGTGCATTTAAAGTCAAGAATGTCCCTGAAAAGGAGAGAGAGAGAAATTCAACAGAAAGCTGACAAGTCAAAATAGCTCTTAAAGAAACTGGGACTTCTTTTGGTTGTTGAACCAAGGCTACTGTCTGTCTAAAGGAGGAAACTACCAGCCACTTTACATGTCTACAGGAAACAAGTCCTTGACACAGACAAGGAAGACTTGGATTTCCTCGTCTCTGATCTCCTGCAGCAGCTCTGCAGGAATCAATGAATCAATAGTGGAAAGTCTACCTCCTCACATGCTGTGGTTTTCGGCCACATAATACCTCTTCTTAAAATATTCAGAGGAAATCACTGCAGTTGTTTTGACTTTTAAGACGGTTTATAGTCACCACACGAACTAACTGTTATCCCCTTGAACACACTACAGTAATTACGTTTGATTGATTGGCACATTTGATCAATATTGTCATATTCTTATACTGTGGTCAGTGAATTTATACTGATAACAGCCATTTAAGGCATACAGACTACTTTTACGACAATGCACTTTTACTTGTTATGAAGTATACAGTGGTCTTTTCATTAAAGCTCCAGTAAGGAGTTTTAGCGGGACGTGAAACTGACTTAAATGAACCTTAGAAGCTGCGTTTACATGGGCACAAATTATCGGAATAAATGCACGATCAGAATAAAAATGCGTCATGTAAACATGTTGATCAGAAGATTCTGATCCAATTCGACTCAATCGGAAAGAAATTGTATTCAGATCGAGAGGGTTGGTTTATGCCGATTGTTATTCCGAAATGCGTCCATGTAAACTCGATTCCGATCATGACTGTCTTACCTGACTCGATCTTCACTCTTTAGGCTTTGGCTTATTTATTGAGGCCAGTACAGGAGGTTTCATTATTAACTCTCTGACATAAAACACAACCGCAGGTGCCGTGTCTGCTCCTCCAGTAACTTAACAATACTGTGTAATCATGTCACATCTGCACGCACAGCGCAACCTCTGAGAGTACAGTAAAATAAGTACGCAAGGGCGCCATCTATTGACAACATTTAACATGGGGAAACTCTTGAATTGGATGGAGTGAGCCACTACAGCGTTTGTTGGTTTGTTGACAGCACAGGCGTAAATAAACTCTTGGGACAAAAGGCTCAGAGAGGGAAACTGACCCCCAAACTCCACGAAATAGGACTTAACCCCAGCCAAAAAGCACATATTAAACTCATTTTAAAGTCTTTGCACTGGCTGCCTGTTAGTTTTCGCATTGATTTTAAAATTCTTTTACTAGTTTACAAAGCTCTACATGGCCTGGCACCAGAATACCTTTCAGAGATGATTTAAATTTATGAACCAGGGCGGCCTCTCAGACCCTCTCAATCTTCTCTTTTAGTCGTTCCAAAGAGCAGAACAAAAAAATTTGGTGATGCTTCTTTTAGCTGCTCGAGCCAAAACTGTGGAACAAACTTCCAGAGGGTCTGAGACAAGCTGCAAATATTTAAATCTTTAAAAGTAATCTAAAAACTCATCTATTTAGCCTTGGCTTTTATGTAAAGCTTAGTATCAATTTTTACCTTCTTTTATTAATAAATTCCAGTTGATATTTTATTGTCTGTTTTAGTCTATTTTAATAACCTTTATTTTTTTTCTTGTCCTGATGTAAAGCACTTTGAGCTGCAATTTCGTTTATATGAACAGTGCTATATAAATAAACTTTGATTGATTGATTGATTGATTGATTGATTGTTCTGCGGTTGTTTTAGCAAAATTATACAACTCTGCACACGTCCAAATGCTTCTAATCTGAATAAAGCTTGGTGCATGTATACACACGTCATGATCATGGATTATTTGAATTTGCGCCCATATAAACAGTAGATTCAGATTATCTAATCCCTCAAATTTTTAATCGGATCAAGAAATTTTGCACATGTAAATGTGGCTAGTGTTTCTTCATGACCTAAGAGACAAATATGATCAAGAATCAAAAGATTGATCATTATTTATAGTTATTTTCTATAAATACTCATTTCACATTATGTCCAACCTTCTTGGATTAACACTCGTGCAAATTTCTCTTTACTTTGGACCTTTTGAAAGTGACCTACATATGCGATGCAGATAGAGAGCGTTGTGCATGCTGACACTCTGGACACACGAGACACTCAGGGTGACAATAATGTATTGTGGTATTTAGGAATGTCATGGACAAAAGGACAGTTGGTATGCTTCAGCTGCAACACAGACTCTATTTCTGAAATGACAAACAACAACCTGTTGTTTTTTCTGCCCTTTACAGAACAAGGTGTCATGTCTGAGAGAACAGGAGCTGGAGCTGGAGGAGTTTTTCACTGAGAGGCGAGTTCCTGTCGGTGCGAGGCCTTCAAGTACAACTCGTTTGGTAATTAGAAGAAGGTAGGTCGCTCTGCTTCTGGATAAACATAGTCAACAACTCAGCAGGATGGGATTTATTCTCATATTCATTGTCCTTTTATGAAGAGCACTTGGCTTTGTTATCGAATTTCTCCCACTTTCCAGCCAAGTACAGCAACAGAATCACTATTTGATGTTGCTAATCTGTTATAAAGAGGCATAAACGCTCCTGAATAGATAGTTTACATAATCTTAATTTGACAGTTGGCTCATTGAGCATCTGTGTATGTGTTAGATGGTAACAGAGAAGAAATGAGGGAAACATCTGCTGGGTGTTATTTTAGTTGAACATGCACACAGTTGTTGCATAAATCAGCTTTCCTCCCACTGTCAGTGTGAAAGTGAAGATTCAAACAGAGGTAGTTGATGATGATGTTAAAATATGTCATCTCAAAGCTTTCTGATAGTTCACCATTAAGTAAAACACAGCCATTTACAATAACAGGGACAGGAAACTGTCCTTTTTCTCTGCAGGCATCAACTGCTTATAAAATTACTTTATCACGAATGTTAAAGCTCCTTCAAGGAACCTTTTTTAAATAAATGATTTATTCATTCTCAAAATATAAAGGTACACAACCCGAACAATTTCCTTTTCTTCCCACGCCCTCCCCAAAAGCAGGTTGAAGGAAAAATAAATATAAACAAATAAAAATTAAATTACAAAAAAAGCTCTATAGCAACAGTTTCTATGGCCATCCGCAACTATAATAAATTTTTACTTTTTATAAAGAAATTGCAAAGAAATACATTTTCAAACACAATCAGGACACAGGAACTTTTGACTGGTGTCTTCTGACAAAATATCTCATCATTGCAGTCAAATGTCATTTATTGTGAATATTTATGCATAAATCGTAAAAACAGAGCTGCTTCTTTCACCACCAATCTTGTCTCATTTGGGTCTCATTTGCTTTTGTGTATCATAAAAAGGCATCAGTCTAATTTTTAAACTTGAAAAACTTCTCAAATGAGCTTTTAATGACATTATTTCACAGCATTTTGGCTCAATACCTCTATGACTTTTGGCAGAGTGGTTGAATTGCTGTTGTGAGCATGTTGACAAGACTGGCTGGAAGATACTAGGATGCGTGATATGACGCCTGACTGTGGGACATATGTGTGTTTTTTAAAGCTCTGACTTTGCAATTTTGTTGTTCCCATCAAAATTCCATGCACCCCTCTAGCCACCGAGACCTCAAACTCATCAGGAAAACATTTACAGAGGTGACAAATCAGCAGAGATGTGAGGTTATAATCTTATCTTGTTATATACAATTGAACACGACCTCTTTTTGCAGCTAGTGCCCCTTTTTCGAACTCTAGGATTCTGCACGTTTTTTGCTTCATTTTTTCAAAGAGTCTTTGTACAGAGCAGTGAGAGAGTTGGCAGCACATCTTACTTGTTTTAACTCCGTCACTGATAGAGAAAATAAACATTAATTTGTTTTTTTCTGAGTCACAGTGCACGGCCCAGCCTGCAGCGATATGTTGGTTTAAAAGAGTCTCAAATACAAACACATAACAGCCTGGAGCAAAGTCGGCCTTTGACAAACAGCATCTTCAGCGATGAATTAAAATATTTGCTTTAATGCTGACAAGAGTAGGAGTTATAAGGTGAAAAGGGCAAAGTCTGATTAAAATACATGTATTGATTGAACTTTAGAGCTTGGGAAAGTATTCGCAAGCGCTTCATCGTCTGTTTGACGATTTCTCTCCACACTTTTGTAACCAAACTTCCATTTGATCATCTCCAACTAAACCTTTTCCACCATCAGCTCAGCGCCAGCTCATCTCTGGTTGCTCCCTGACTCAAGTTTTCCGTTCGTCTCCTGAGGATGCTGGACTTCAAACATAGAGGAAGTCGATGTGCTATCTGCACGGATTAGACCCTCTGTTTGTGCATCCCACAGATTGGAAAAGGCTTCAGGCTGGGAGCCGGACTGGGCAGAGAGGGGTCACAGGTCAAGCGTCGTATGGGGACTGATATGAACAGCCAAATGCCTCAACCCTGACCTTTAACCTGGAGGTGGATGAGAACAGTGCTGTACTGTTCTTCACACAACAACACACATTGCATACACACAACTTCAGGATGACTCTATACTGGAAACAGTAAATACCAACAAACATATAAAAGAGAACGCAGCTGCAGGGGTTTCTGGTTTCCATACTCACATGGTGGCCTGTCCTCAAATGCTGATAATTATTTGATTATTTTAATTTTATTTATCCTATAAAACACAAAAATGTCATTTAAGTTGTGTAACCAATGCTGGTTTGTGTACTGTTGCCTTTTTGTTCTCAAAAATGGTCGATTTTAGAGGCACAAAAGCACAGCACAAGCCTCAGATTCGGTGTGCTTGTATGAAGCTGGCATTTCCTTCAGTAAACAACCAAATAATTACTCCTGAAATACAGCAAGTGCACTCTCAACAGCGGCGGGTTGGTTCTTCAAACACTTTTTATTAACTCTGCCGGGTCGGGGGTTTTGGTTTGTGTTTTGTCCTTCTTCTCTCCTCAGGATGGCTGGTATTAGGCGAGAAAGCACAAAAGAAGCCTGAATAGTGTGTGCATGAATGGAACTGGGATTTAATTTTACTATAAATAACCAAACAGTTACCCATCATACCAGTGCAGTCAGAAGTGTTTTTTTAACATAATCTGTTGTTAAAGGGATATTCCAGCGTAAAATTAATTTAGATTCAAACAGACCTTAACACCGAGTTAGAGATGAATGTTGCCGACCACTTGCTTCTCTAGTTTTATCAACTTTATTAACGATCGCACAATAGCAATACACAGCCATAGTACTAGCAACCACACATCTTTTTAGCTTTTCCTAATTTCTTTAGCAAAGAGACTAAACACAACTCACCTACTCTCTTCCAGCAGCCGCTTGTTTGTATGGAGACCCCAGGCAAGTCCAATACGGACTGCTGCGGGGTGACACAGCCCAAGGAAGAACATTTATGATCATTTCTTCATGGAAATGCAATCAGACCGAGACGCTAAGGCAGAAGAACTACCGCGTCAGCAGTGCAAAATGATTAATATGATGATTATTACTTCAAGGAAATGATAAAGTAATGATCATAAATGTTCTTCCTTGAGCTGCGACACCCCGCTGTAGTCCGTAATGGACTGGCCTGAGGTCTCCATACAAACAAGCGGCAAAGCTTAAAGGATGTTTGGTGGCTAGTACTATGGCTAGGACCCTATATGTACTGTTGATGAGGTTAGGTGCTGTTCTGAGCATTATTTGTGGCTGTAGAGTGGCGTTTTGGTTGAGGTCTGCACTTGGCTCCCGAGACCGCTGTGTATTGCTATCGTGCGGTTGTTACTAAAGTTGGTATAACTAGAGGAGCAAGCGGTTGGCAACAGTCATCTCTCGAGGGGGTGTCTAACTCAGTGTTAAGGTGTGTTTGACCCTAACTTAATTTTACACCAGAATATCCCTTTAAGGATGCTTGATTGTGTACTCTACAGTACTTTCATCCTGGTTAAAAAGGTGGTTTTGAAGGGAAAGGTGCAAGTCTTTTAGGTTTTGTTCACAGGATTCCTCCCCTTGATAAAACAAGTAAAAAATGATTGAAATATTTAGTTTCAAAAAGAACTTAATCCAACACAGCAGAGTGCTTTTCAGTTCAACGCTTGCCTCTCCTCTCTTGTGAAAATATGCTCAATCTAGGTTGAGTCAGCATATCCAATATGGTGCACGCCTTCAGACTCTTCAGAAACCAATGAGTGATATCACTGAGGCTGAATCCATGTTTTATACAGTCTACAATCTAAATAGGATCCTGATGTTTCCCCTGCCCCCTCCAAACCGTCCCTGCAGCCAGAACTGAGGCTGTTAAACGCGATTTCGCACTCCTCCCTGCATGGTCTGCAGCTGCTGCAGAGTGACACTGACAAGAGGCAGCTGTTGTGGTGGCGAGGGGGCGTGATTGATGCAGGAGGCAGCAGCTAGAGGAGCTACATAGATAAATGGGCAGATCATCAGACGTGTGATGGGGGTCACTTTCAGAATGAACATACACATAGCTGGCGTGTGAGTGATTACCATTTTATCAGCACATAAGCCTGCGGTTGTGGCTTGTGGGATTCCTGCAGGCACATTTGTATCTTGAGCGCCCCAGACGTGCAAAGATGAGAACATTTAGACGCAGAAGCTGCAGCGGAGGAACCTGAGATGTTCAGGGGCTGCAGTTTGTCTGAACACATATAAAAACAGCCGAGGAGGAAGCCCCTCGGTCTGGAGAAGGAAGACAGTTTAGACAGCTGGTATCACGTAATGCTCTAATAAAACTCTTCCCCTTTTACTAACATGTCCCTGCAGAGACAGGACCCAAATTTCACGAAGACACGCAAAGATACAACTGTGCATTTAAACAAGCCTGCAGATAATGAAAAACACACACATGCACATATATGTAGACAAGTGTGCTCACCTTGTAAAAATGCATGTGCAGTGAAGGGTTTTATTAACTGGGCCTTTGTAATAAAACTCACCTTTGTGTGCCGGACCAGACCAGGCCTGGACAGTTCAACACTTTTGTGTGTGTTTATGTGTGTCTGTGAAAGTGCGTGACTTCTTTGTCCTTGGCTCTCTGTGTGATGCTGTATTTCTGGCATCTGTTGCTTTCAGCAGAAGCTCAGATCCTGGTCCCTTGTCCTTAAGGCAAGGTCTCATGTAAACCGTGTGTGTGTGTGTGTGTGTGTGTGTGTGTGTGTGTGTGTGTGTGTGTGTGTGTGTGTGTGTGTGTGTGTGTGTGTGTGTGTGTGTGTGTGTGTGTGTGTGAGGTGACGAGTGACACTCCCTGTTCCATTTTGTCAGGATGTGTCAGCACCCTCATCTGTTTTTCCTTTTATCCCTCCAGCCCTCTGTCCTCCATCTCTTTTTCAGCTCGGTGCTGCAGCTCTCAGCAGGTCAGAATGGCTCTTTTTCGAGTTTTGGATGAGATATTTTTTCTTCTTCTCCTTTTTTTTTTTTGTTCCGGGGTAAAGCTGCTACTCTGTTCCTCAGGTTTCCCTCACAAAAGGCCTGTTCACAGGGCCAGCAGTGCTCGTCATGAAGGCTGGCCTCCAGCTGATTGTTGGTTTCAGTTTGCAGTGCAAGTACCATATTTTTTGTGGAAACTAGCACAGTAAAGGGGACATCTTACTTTAAATACTTACTCATAAAACACATCCCTCCTCACTTGGCCTTTGTGGCATATGTTCCCTGATGTTTCCTTGTGGAGCTCCTTGTTAAGCTGACTCCTACAGTCCCACTCCAATCATTTTTTTTGACACTAAAAGTGTTCTCAGCGGTCTTTAAATTGTGATTATAAAGTTTTTACCAAAAATCACGTTACCTGTGTCATTTTCAAAGGCTTTTCTTCAGCAGAGCTCCAGTATTTCATTTGCAATTCGCCTCTGAGTCGTGGGCGGAGACAGTGCTGCTCTGCACACTCGTTTTCACGTTAGCTTGCAGCCTAACATTGCCGGTGTCGTAAAAGTGGCAGGTAACATAGGAGAAATTAAGCTCTCGGACACTAATGTGTTTAGGGACACAGTGAAAGTTAATATCATCATTAGCTTTCTTACGAGCATTGCAATCCGCTAACGCACACGCTTGTTCCGCGATCGTGCTCTGTATTTCTCCTCTATATGCAGAGTGTAGCCTGTGTAGCGGGGCTCCGGGGGCGGAGCTTAGATTGGTTACGTATGAAATCTTACAGTGATTTAAATGAAGAAATACTCAGAGAAGCAATTCCACATTTAGTTTTCTCATGATATGTCCTGTAGCATCAGATAAATGCCATATGAACATATAAAAAAACCATGATTTTCATTGGAGTGGTCTTTAAACATTATCTAAAGCTCATTAATTATACGTTCTAAACATTATATAGAACCTTTGGCTGAGTAAATACATGTATTTTGTATATATACAACTCATGCATGCATATATAATTTGATACATATGTATGTTGACATATGCAAACATACACACACACACACACACACACACACACACACACACACACACACACACACACACACACACACACACACACACACACACACACACATTTAATTGCAATTATTTGATTTCCAAATCATCACACAAGCAAAAATGCATTTGAATTATTAAAATAGACTTTTTAAAATGCAAAATAACTGAATTAAAAACATGATATTTTCAAAAGGGGTCAATCGTGATTAGAAAATGAGCTGCCTCACAGCTCTGGTTTTGCACACCTTCACAAGCACATGGCATTTACAGAATAGAGGCCCCCCCCTGCAGCTCTTAGAGGATCTGTTTTCTCCTCGGATGGGAGCTGTTTATTTTCTCCTGAATCCCGGGTAAACTGATGCCTTAGACTTTCACTTTATCTCACTCCTGCACTGGATGCAATACATGTGGTGATGTGTCTGGAAGTATTCCTGGGCAAGCAAACAGACTTAGACGAAGGGTAAGTCTGTTTTCTGCACTCTGCCGCCATCAGGGACTCGTTATGTAAGCCGTTTAAAATGTTTAGGAAACTTCCTGTTGTCGCCCTATCTGGTCTCCTTCCTGTAAAGCTGTGTTGGTGTTTATTTTTACCCCATGGGCAGAAGAAGATGGTGCATGCACACTAATACACACTTCCTTGAGATCTATACATACACACACAGACAGACAGGGCCGCCTTGTCATGTGATGCAGGCCTTGTGATGGTTGATGTTGTTATAGGAGACACATTCCTGCAGGATTTGGAGAGGGGTCTTAGGTGTGTGTGTGTGTCTGTGTGTGTGAAAAACTAAGGTGCTTTAAATGAAATCCTCCTCACATCATCCATCAGCAGGTCTTACTCTTACTCATCGGCTTGTAACCTCACACCGCCATCGACCCAACTCCAGACTATTTCCCGTTTTAGCTATTTCTCCTCTCTTGAGTCATGGGCTAAAACCGAGGTTTAGAGTGTACGGTTAAGCGATGCTGCTGCCTTCACCACCTCGCATAACAGTGATGGAGGACACAGGAGTCCCATCAACCCCTGTCGACCATATGGATCTAATTTCAGGGGTCATGTATGCGTAACAGGGGAGAGGTTAAAGTTTCCATGGGGGAGATTTCCATCACCTCCTATTAACGCAAAGGAGAAACGAGAACTGAGGTGTACACAGACCTATACACACGAAGCCATTGTGTGATGCTGCCAGCAACCCGGACCAGTCAATAAAAATGTCTTCATGCCCACATTTATAAACTCAAACTGTATCCTGATCTGCAGGCTGCTAGAGTCGACTACCTGGTCTCCATAGAAACACAGATTTTTGCGCTCTGAAGTCTTGCAGTTCACCAAATAAAGTATTATGGCTAAACTATACCTTCTGTGTTAATATTTCAGCTTTACCAGTACAAATGAAGGTTAATTGTGATAAATAAATAAAATAACTTTGTATTATTTAAACAGATTTAAGGAATAAATCTAACAGACTTGGACTGAAGTGGATGTTAAAGTCTTCAGTGGTGTCCTCTTGCACTCTTTTTTTAAATTATTCATGCAGCAGAGCAACCCGGTCTACTCTATGATGATCATTTTAAATGTTGATTTTGTGTAAAATTCAGTAACTGTGTGCTACATTAAAAAAACTGTATGTTTGCCGTACAGTGGAGTGACATGAACATTCGATTAGAGCTGCAGTTTTCATCATCAGCTGTTTTCCTCTGAAGTGAGGTAACCTTAGACGGTGTTGCACTGCTGCTGGTTTGCAAATCATACAGATGGAGGAAGTTCAGCCGGTTACTGCTTTAGGTAACAAATCAACTCACTAAAATAAGTTAGATCACAGCGAGGCTACTGTTCATGACTTAACGTCTTACTGTTGATAGTGTGATTGAAACAATACTGTCCGGATATGAGAAAATGATAGTGGAATTTAAGATACTTCTCTTAATTTGCTTGAAGAGCACAACATTTTGGATGAAGTTAGGTGCTGTTCTGAGCATTATTTGTGGCTATACAGTGACGTTTTGGTTGATGTTTGTGTGTGGCTCCTCAGACCGCTGTGTATTGCTATCTGCGGTCGTTACTAAAGCAGTGTTGTTTTCGTTGACGATGACGTTGATGAAAATATTTTCGTCAACGTCATCGTCAACGAAAACAACACTGCAGAATAAATGTTTAGCGTTTGACTGACGAAATGTTCATAAATTTTGCAACTTTCTTAGTCGTCCACCACCAACGTTTTTGTCTAGTCTAGTCTCGTCTGGTCAACGTAAATGCACATTTGTCTCGTCACATTTTAGTCATCTAAGACTTATCTTTAGCTCGTCAACGTCACATCTTCATTGTGGAAGAAAAAAACAAACGCTAAACATATATTCTGCAGTGTTGTTTTCGTTGATGAAATATTTTCGTCGTCATCGCCAACGAAAACAACATCGTAAAGTTGGTATAACTACAGATGTAAGCTGTTCTGAGAATTGTTTGTGGCTATAGAGTTACGTTTTGGTTGACGTTTGTGTGTGGCTCCTCAGACCGCTCTGTATTGCTATCTGCGGTCGTTACTAAAGCAGTGTTGTTTTCGTTGACAATGACGTTGACGAAAATATTTCGTCAACAAAAACAACACTGCAAAATAAATGTTTAGCGTCTGACTGCAAAATGCTCATGAATTTTGCAACTCTCTTAGTCGTCCACCACTAACGTTTTCCTCTTGTCTCGTCTTGTCAACGTAAACGCACATTCGTCTCTTCACATTTTAGTCATCTAAGACTTATGTTTAGCTCGGCAACATCATGTCTTTGTCATGGGGAAAAAAAGGTGCGTTGATGGAATATTTTTGTCAATGAAAACAACCACTGTTGTTTTCATGAAGATGACGTTGACAAAATATTTTCGTTAACGAAAACAACACTGCAGAATATATGTGTAGTGTCTGACTGACGAAATGTTCATGAATTTTGCAACTCTCTTTGTCGTCCACCACTAACCTTTTTCGTCTAGTCTCGTTTCGTCAATGAAAACGCACATTCGTCTTGTCACATTTTAGTCATTATGTTTAGCTCGTCAACGTCACGTCTTTGTCGTGGAAAAAAAGGGGCGTTGATGAAATATTTTTGTCAACGAAAACAAAACAAACGCTTAAAATATATTCTGCAGTGTTGTTTTCGTTGACGATGACGTTGACGAAATATTTTCGTCAACGTCATTGTCAACAAAAACAACACTGTAAAGTTGGTATAACTAGAGAAGCAAGTAGTCAGCCATATTCATCTCTCGACAGGCTGTCTAACTCGGTGTTACGGTGTGTTTGACCCTAAATTTATTTTACACCAGAATATCCCTTTAAACTACATTATTCATCACTACTTCAGTCAAAATCTTTAAAAAAATACTGGGGGTAAATGGGGAGAAAAGTGTAAAATATTGGATGCATATACCCGGGGCTTGAATACCTATCAGATTAATAGGGTAGGAAATATTAGATGTACACTGTAGGAAGTTAGAAATATAGAAAAAAAAGGTAAGCTTTCTTAGGATTCAGGTGTTTCAACAATACACCAAAAATGTCCAATAACAGGGCGAATATTTGCGTTAGTTTCCCGCCTCTGTTCGTCCAGGAGCTGAACCTTAAATCTGGCCGCCTGTCACTCTCCTGAAGCCCCCGCCCCGCCTGCCTGTTAACGGGAACTCCCCCTAAGTTCCCCGGTTCTCCTCTCTCTGCTCATTCTCTCCGTGAGCTGTCACACACACATTTTCCCACACACACACACACACACGCACACATAGCCTGTGCGTCCTGACACACGGAGTCGCTGCATGTCGGAGCTGAACGTCCGCACTCCGCTCCTCTCTGCTGTTCCCCGGTTACCGTAAAGAAAAGCGGCTGTTTCATTTCGCAGTCTGCGGCGAGCCACGTCGTGACAGAGTTTGGACACGAAGAAGGCGGAGCGGCGACGGGGGGAGAAAAAGGTAAGAGATGGGGGGGACAAAAATGAGTGTTTTCTCCTCTCTCTGTTTGGAAACTTTACCGTGGTGTGTTCGCCGTTTTTCCCCGCCGTCTCGTGTGTGTTTGGAGGGTTACCGCCTCAGTATCGTCAGCTGCAGTGTTTTGGAGAACTGGGGCGTGTTTATTGAAGTATTTCTGCTCGCGTGCGCGTCGTATATGTCTGTGTGCACGCGCGTGCCCCTGCCACAGTAGAGTGGAGGTGGTGGGGGGGATCCTCGTGTTGTGTCACAGGAAGTTTTTGGAGAGTGGACGCCGAGATTGTAGCGGATCAACCACAGGGGCAACCTGCTTACTGCAAAAACACTAGTCTCATCTCATGCGAGTGAAGTCTCAGTTTTCTCATTTGGCAGGACGACTGTTTTGGAAATTCTCTCAGGTAACTTTTTTTTTTTAAAGCAGAGAAATCAAGTTTTATCTCTAGAAGTGGTGTTTCATTTTTTTTCAAGATTGATAGTCTTGAATTAACAGGTTTGAGTGAAGTCCATTTATCTAATGCCAAACAGATGAAAAAGTGTAAAAGTCATCATGCTTAATGATATTTTTCACATTTTTTCTCATTAATTGTTCTTAAATTTAAGTTAGTGCTATCACTACAGTTTTTAGGTCACTATAAAGTCAATTTGTGGTGTAATTGTTGAACCAGATATGCCTCAGAGCCACGAAATTTGACTTGGAAGCATAGTTTTTCTTTTAATTGGATTTTTTAATATCGTACATCGCAGGTACACATGTGGTAAATGTTGTATAGGTTGTAAACATGACTTGTATACAGAAAGTAATCAACTATACTATACAATCCAGGAAATAGAGAAAGAAAAATAACCACATGGTAGCAATGACAACAACAAACTAAAAAGAAAAGGGCAACCAAGAACAATCTAACAAAAGATAAGACAGGACAGCACGACTGAAAAAATGATAATAATAATAGCATGTTCGGTGTCGTGTTCTAATTAGTTATCACATCTTCTATCCAGTTTCTTTCATATGTGACAGATATCGTTCCCATTTCAAATTAAAGCTCTCCGCTCTGTTTATTAGCCTGTATGATAGGCCCTCCAGTGCAGCCAGACTTTGAAGCATAGTTAAGTTAGTGTCTATATTTAGTTTATCTCAAGGCAAATGATGCCCTAATAACTGAAGTGAAGGTGTGTCCAGAGTACATGCGGTCTCAAGAGTTTGTCACTGTTTTGTCTTGAGCATGTTTGTGCCCTTCAACACACCCATCAATTGTTTGTTTCAGTGTTTGTGTGCGTCTGTGTGTGTGTGTGTGCATAAATATACGTGTGTGCCCAGGGTGGTGATATCCTGTCAGATCCTGCGAGGTGGGGGTCAGTCACAGGGTCTCCCCTCTGGAATTCTCCTAGAATAGATGCGACACACGTACACACACACACACACACACACACTTCAGACAGCTTAATGTCTTTTCTGTATCTGTGCTCGGCTGCTGTGTCTTCTTACCTTAAAATCCTCTTTATTTCTAAGCACCATAAATAGTGGAGCTTTTAACAACTGTGACCATTTCTGAAGTCATTTTCTTTCTTTGATGTTAACAGCAAAATAGTCTCTTCGCTGCTTCATCATAGGAGTCCGCTGCACCCTCTTTTATGTTGTTTATTTCTCTGTGCATCACTTTATCACACCTTGAAATGGGAATTTCTTGTTTTGGATAGGATTTATCGTCTCGCAAGCACACATGCAATGATTAGCTGTCTAGAATAAAACATGCGCTCTACTTCTCAGAATCGAGGATGCAGAGTCAGTATGCAGAACGAACGTAGTGGGTGTTATACGAGCGTGCGTCACTCACCTCAAAGTTGTCAAAAACGGCAGCTGAGTCAGTGGTCCAGCACTTGCACATATGGTGCTTTATGTACCTGTTAAGAGCAAGCTCTCGATGCTGTTGGATTGATGAAGTGTTGAAGTCAGTGACGCTGTATTCGAAGACTGTAAAAGTTGCCTGTTCGCAGCAACAAATGGATCAAAACAAACTTAATGTTACCTACTTCTTTATGTTTTAAAACTGAGGCCTTCTGAGTGAGTAGGAGTGAGAAGGTGCTGCAGAAAACAGCTCAATCTGTATGGACATGTGCCGCAGTTACACGAGGCAAAACAGCAGAAGTAATGGCGTTAAGTATGAAATTATATCCTGCTGGAGGTTAAATATGTAGGTGGATTAAACACTCCAAGTCCCACAGTTTCAAAAAAATTACATACACTTAAGGTCAGGTGGGCAGAGTGGGTTTCACGTAACACCACAGACGCTGGTCAAGATGTCTAGTTCAAGGGCACTGGTAGTAAATAAAGAGTTGGACTTGACACGCAGCCTTTCTGTGAGTCTATTCTTCTCCTTCTCCTCCTGCAGACAGCGAGGAGTGACAGGAACGAGTCGCAGAGAATACTTTAGAAGAACAACAAACCATTGCTCTCTCGCTGCTCCCCAGCCTGTGTCTGTAAGATGATGGATGCTTGAAAACGTGTGTGTTTCTGTCTCTGTGTGTGTCTCTGTGTGTGTGTGTGTGTTAGAGGAAAAAGGGAGTTAGAGGATCTTGTCTGTTGTAACTCGAGCCGGGCTGGACACACTGACTCTTGGAAGGCCACAAAGACCGCTCTGCATGAACTGTGGGGAATGTGGACGTTTCTTTGTGTGTCTGCGTGAGTGTGTATGTGTGTGTCAACAAGAGGGAGATAATGCACTAACACCCTATTATGAGCTCAAGAATTTCTTGATACACACTCACCTTGAACTGAAACTAATTGTGAATTTAACCGATTAATTTTGATGAATTAGCCGACAGTTTTTATGAGAAACAGTGACTGTTCTAAATCATTAATCAGGCGAAAAAACACAACGGCCTCCAGCTTTATCTCAAAGAATCTACAAGATTTTCTGCTCACGCATTTTTACATCATTATGGATTCAAGCAACGCATTCATTGTATTTTTCTCCTACACAGTGCGAACTCTAGTTTCAGAATAGGCTGTACCTTTTGCTTGTTTCCATTACTTATTAATCTGAAGATTTTTCTATCTGGACTCATTTGGATTATGAATTCATAAAATGCTTCGACTGAAGGAAAGTCGAACAGAAAATGAATATCCCTCCAAAAGTGGAGAAAGATGCATATACCAATTTCCTGGACGTCAAAACTGAAATTTTATTGCAAGTTAAAGGTGGGGTAGGCAGGATCTGACGAAGTGGCAGTTTTTGGGAGAAATCTTGAATGTAAACTCTACCCCTCGCAACCAGTTTTCCCCTCAGCTCCTCCTCTCCCCTCCCTCTCTGCTCCAGCAAGCCCCGCCCACAAACAGACGCTCCTGCTCGCTCGTATCGTTTCAATTAAATTCAGATATAATGCAGATAAATAAGTCAGAGAATTACAAATGGGGCCCAGTCAAGGTGAAAGTAAAAAGCATTGGTGCTACTGTAGATGCCAACAGACTACCAGCAAACACAATGTTTGCAGGACTTCTACAACTAGGATAAAGTGACATAGTCCAGGACCCGAGGTCAACAGTTTAGTCCCGTTTGACAAGAAACACTTCTGTTACAGACACTTGTCTTACTTTGTTAAAGCGGTTTACCTGTCCAGCAGAAAGGTTACAGGGTCCGTAAGATCCCAAAGCATCCCCCATTGTTTATGCTAGCTTCATTAATGTTGACCCAGCTTTTTACCTCTTGTCCGTCTACCTCCTTTTTAAGCGCCCGGTATTTTACCAGAGTCTCCAGTATTTACTTTGTTTTCTTGTTTGTGTTGGCAGTCATGGCCAGAGGAGGATTCAGACAATTTCCTGTACTTTCTGGTTGGTTTCTACTGTCCGATATCGTAGCACGCTAACTTTGTTTGGGCTTGTAAACGACACAGGGGAGCAGTGTCCGCCCCACAACCAATCAGGTTGGGGGAGGCAGAGAATGGCTTTGTTTACAGTCAGAAAGAGCGGGCCGCTTAATGTCATCAGTAACTAATAGCTGTTGACTGATATTAAAAAGCTTTTTTCTCTATATACACCACAAAAAAGATGCTTCTTTATTGGAATCCTGCGAACTCCACCTTTAACATCTTCATGTCTTTGCTGGTGCCACATTACAACAGTCAACTCTATTTACAACATTTCTAGATGAAAGTGCAGCCAAACTGAGCCTTGCTATGGATGCCATTGGTTATCTGTGCTTGTTTACAGCTCGATAATAGAGTATTATCACTTTGTGGCAGTGGCCTGTCATATGTTGATTAAGCACAACATTTCAGGCTTTGAATAGGAAAAATATTCACAGTAACTCAGACTGAGTAGTAATTCTAGAGCTGATAAGCAAGAGTGAGGATGACGGACCTAATGCACACATCCTGAGTCCATATAATTGATTGATTGAGGGAGTCTTGAGATAGGGTAATGATAGAATATCTATGATAGAGTGACTTCGGCTCGTTTCCATGATTTATTTCCTGACGTTTTATAGAAAACCTGTAGTCTGATGGGCGATGGTTGAGTGAATCATCAGCTGTCCTTTGAGAAAACCCATTTTTTTCTACAAGTCTGTGATGAAAATGAAGTTCTGTGTATATTTGGCAGGTTTTCTCTGAATACGTGTCAGGTAGAAGGAAGGGGATGCTGATTTTATAAACTATGGACAGTGATGGACAGCAGCGTGGGTTGAAAGTAGAACATAAGTCACTCAGATCAGGCTACAGCAGAGAGGGATGACGATTCTCCACCTGAGCACCTATAGTTATATCTGAGGGCCATGTTTGGGGTTTTTACAATGAAGAAATGAACCATGGAAAGTGAAAATTCGACAATTGTTTTAGATTCTTTAAAGAAGTTGCAATACTGAAGTATTTATAAAAGAGAGTACAAGTAACTATTTGATTGGAGTAACCTACATTTTCAGTTTTTGCACGTACAGCTTCAGAAAAAGGTTTTACTGCTGTGAGAGATGATGTTTAAATAGCTCGAAGCCGCATATCTACAGGGTGTGTAAACTCATCTAAGAGCCTCTACCCACAGGGGGAAAATTAGTAAATTCACACTTTAGGAGCGAGAGCGAGGCAGCACAGATTTATCCTCCCCCCCCTGCAGTGATCAGCGGTAGTTGTGGTTTTCCTCTTTTATCAAAACATTTCACTGCTTATCGTCTTCTCTGAGCCACAGCTGTCATTCCTCATAGCAGATTTACGATAGTTAATCAGCAGATGCTGCCTTTTTATGTTATTATATGCCTTTCAAAGCACTGCTAATATCAGTTTAGTGCAGTTAAATGAACTTCCTCATTTTACACCACCACGCTTCTCTTCGCTGATTCAATTTCTTCTTTTCTGTCTCATCGTCTTACATCTTCACAATGCGGGGGAGGTTGTTTTTGTGTTTTTTAACTTCCAGATAAGTTAACTGATCAGCGTCTTGATCTGCCCAGCTTGGATGGATGGTTTGTGGGTGGACTGGTGGGCGACAGAGTCTGTGTCCATCTTGGAGAGTGTTTTATTTTTTTATTGGAGCCATGGTTTTTCTCAGCTCCTCACAGATGTGCGCCTTTTCACAGGTGCTTGTTGTTTCCAAGCTTTTTGTAGATGTGTGTGTGTTGTGTGTGTGAGTGCGTTGTTAATCTGGGTTTTATCCATCTCTCACATAGGTGTAGCAGGACAGTGAGTGCCTGGCTATATTATCCCATTGGATCATACTGGGAGTGTCCTGATGTAATGGAGTAATGACTGTGTGGTTGTGAGGGTTCAGTGCAGACATATGTAGGCTGGATCAGCAGACTGAGTCACAGAGTGTAGACTCACAACACCCTGTTTCGCTTTCAAATCCGGATGTGTCATGTCTGGCTACCTGATCAGCCTTTAAAGGGAAAGAGTTCGAGTATTACACACACTGATCAGTTGGTTTGTATCACCATTTTTGAGGTTTAATAAGATGAATAATCATTTTTTTTTAACTTATATTAATTTCAAAGGACTGTAAAAGAAAATGATTTTCATTTTAATCTCCTCAGGCTACCTCCTTTTTGCCCCTGTCAAAGGTCTTTGGTTTGACATGGCTTAACTAGACCCACCTCGGAGCAGGCTGCAGCAGGCTTTTTGTTCTGTTTTCATCTAGTACATAACAGTACATCCCATCCTTTTTGTTCGGAAGGAGAAAAGGGTGTTATGATTTTCCTGAGTCCATCAAATTAAAAATAGTTCCCCACCCATCTTTAACCAGAACCTTAGCTTAGAGGGTTTTGTCAATTGGACTTCTTTTGTGTGGTGTTGATCTGGACTAAGCTTTAACATGTCTAAAGGAATACACTTAATTTGGGTATAAATTTGTAACAACAAGCCTGTGTTGCCATTGGAAGTTTTTAAGAACAGGGTGTGTACTCCAGATGTGCAGGGTGTGACTATTCTGTTGACTTGCATTGTAGGAAATACAATCAAAATTGCTGTGCAAGGGAAAAAATAGGCCTTTTAAGCAAGGTTTTAGATTCTGTTGCAAAACATCACAAATCCAGTCTCTATGGAGGATCTGCGGCCTCTCAGTTTGTAAACTGGTGATCCAGGAAGTGACCTGAGTGGTAGTGAGAGGGCAGAGACTGGTGCAGATTGTTGCAGAGGTGGAAAAACACAAAAAAAATATGGAAATATGGTGAGTGCCCCAGAAGAACTAGTGCAAGTTCACTATACATGAAATCCAGAATCTTACTTTAAACAACAGCTGCTGAAGAGTTGGAACGTTAAAATTTTGAAGAGTTATTCGTAGTTTTTCCGTCTTATATTTAAAACATGCCATGGTTGGCCCTCAAACCAGTTAGAATCAACTTTCCCGAGCACATTGTTGTTGAAAAGTAGCTGGTGTTTTCTTTGGTCTTTGGTCAGAATTTTGACATTTGTGTTAGCTTTTGCAACCAGCTACAGAGGAGATGGTCTGTCTGGCTCTGACCTCCAACATCTTCACTTATGCAGAATCACAGTGGTATAGGAGGAAGTGGAACCGCTTGCCTGTTGTTACATCACCACAGGAGTCAGTTAAAATTTCACTGAAGAGGCTATGTTTCCAGGATAGCAGCCCAAATAAAGAATACTGAGGCTTTTTCACTTCCATGTAAAGCTTTGAGGATGACTCAAGTTGACGGCTTTAGAATCGCATCAAAAACTTTCCACCTGTTTTCTTCGACCTCAATGCGACATCAATAGCAAGAAACCCTTTTTCGGAGCTTTCTTTTCAAAGGAGTAAAAAAAAAAACAGGACAAAAACTCCCAGTTATGTAAAGAAAAGATCATCTGAATCTATGAATGAAACACCGGCACAGACATGCAAGGTGATGTACGAAAAAAGAGTGCAGTCATTAAAACAGGGTTATATAACAGAAAAGAAACGGAGGTGGAAAGTGTGTCTGAACTGAAATGGACAGAAACACACCTCTTTGGTGAAGCCAGGACAACTCCCTGATACTGTGTTTAACCCTCTGAATACACACACGTGTGGACATGTGTGTGTAAGTCGGAGGTAAACACACAGAAGTGCAAATAAAGGGGATGACAGGATCCGGTAAGGTACTAAATTTGAATCATGTTTCATTTTTGCATGACTTTAGGGTGCAATTATGACTTACATCATACCCACACCCTCATTTTGAGTGTGTTTGTGTGTCTGGCTGGTGTGTAAGAGAGTGTGCGTGTGTGTCTTGTTTGGGTGTGGTGTGTCTGTAATCAAGCCAGCATTAGGCTGTATACCAGACTACCAACTGCTGCAGGACTTCTCACATTTAAGCTTTCTAATTGATTCAGAGTGTGATTTATGAAGCTCTGCACCCGCGTGTGCCTGCCTGCCTGCCTGCTGCCTTTTAGCTGTGCAACACAAGGACACACACACACATACCCATTTGTGCACACTTCCACAGAAGCTCTGAGTCACTCATCTCTGCAGCATAAGGCACTATTGTATTTAGCGTCTTCACTGGACACTTTCTGACACATTCATTCACATTTCCCAGAAGCATATGCATGTGTCAGTGTGTGTGTGTGTGTGTGTGTGTGTGTGTGTGTGTTTGTGTGTGTGGGTGGTCGTCTCGTATTCCATGTAACAGGCCCGGCTGCTAAAAATGAAGACGTGACAAGGAAAGTGTGAGTGTGATAGCGAGAGAGGTGGGTGTGTGAGCGCGTTTTAAAGGGGCAGCTGCGGGTCAATAAGCCGACCAACAACTTTGAACATCAACGGAGGAAAATCGTCAAACTTACAAGAAGTTGATGTGAGTTGTGAGAGTTCAGGGAGAGGTAGAAACACACAGGAGGGCTCCACAGGTAACAAGCGGCTCACCTGTTGCTTTTTTATGTTTGTGGTTTGTGGCGAACTCATTCAGAGTTTTAACCATTACAGGAGGAAAGGTTACTCCAGGTTGAGTAATTGTCAGTCTTTGCCGTCGCCCGAGGCTGTGTCGAAGTTGTTGTTATGGATGATGTAGGCAGAAGAGCTGCTTGTTCGAGTGCTTTTCATTAATATTAATGTAGCATTTACTTTAATACCCGAACAGTTTAAGAGTCCATGATGATAAGTTTTAATGTGCATCGCTGGAGAGAAGCGCTGGAAGAAGATATTAAAAGATCTGTTTTCGTACAGATTGTGTGAACGCTCAAAGTGTTTTCTCGCCACATAAACTAAACCTAAACTTCATTTCAGAGGTTGAAAAGTTGAAATTGAAAGTAAGCGCTGCAGTAATGGAGGATATCAAGTTCCCATTGCTTGTTTTAGCTCGTTTTTGCTCCCATACAACATGTACAGTAGGTCATAGTTACAGCAGGATGTCGTAAACCCAAAATAGAGTGTTCACTTTCACTTTCTTTTGCACTGAGTTTGGCTGACCTGTAGCTTTTGCTTAAAACGGATCATGTTTTTGATTCATCTAAAAGGTGTTGCTATAAAAACCAGAGGTAATATTTAACACGGCCTCGATCACAGCTGTAATCTAGAGCGCTTATCTTGTGATAATAAAGAGGTTATCTGGTTTTATCTGGTGAATTTGCTTCTTGTTGTCTATGAAACCCAAACACAGATGAGTCCTTCAGCACAAGTGTCAGGAATCGAACCCGGCCCACAAAGGGATGATTCATACACGTGTGTGTGTGGGAGGAGGTGGACTGTGCCCCATGGCCTCCTCTCACCACTCTTAACAACCAAAGGACCCATCCTGGGAAAAAGGGGTGGAGGGGGGAGATTAGTGTGACAGGGATGAGGCGCTGGACGCTTTGATTCACAGATCTCCCATCATCCTCTGTTCTTCATTGACTGGCGCCATTGTAGCCGGAGTCGAAGCGCTCTGATTGGTCCGTTGGGTCTGAATGTCACTGGGACATGTCGGTGGGCTCTGGAATTTGTGTGTGTTTGTGTGCGATGAGTTAATAGCTATCCATTGAGTGGCTGATTGTGTTCTGTTGTCCACACTGGTTCTCTTTGTCCCAACTCTTTACACACACACATACACACACACACACACATACACACACCCATGAATCTGAAGCAGGCATTCCTCCAGTGGCAGCGCACTTGCCAAGCGAGGAAAGAAAGAGAGGGAAAGAAAATACTAACTAGCTAACAGTACCATTCATAGTCATGGCACTGTGGTTCTTCCTGGCTCCGGTTCGAGACTTGAATGAGTCTGAGGCTAAGAATATTTTATAGCTGCTTTTTATGCTCCCATTACTCTCCCCGCTCTTTTCATTACATCTCTCTTCTGTTGTTTTTCCCTCACAGCGAAGCTCGTGAAACCTGCGCTGCATTAAGATGTGTTTAATCGCATTTCTTTGGAATTTATAGACTCAGACTGGTTGGATTTTCTTGAGGTGTAAATGTGTGCGAGTAACCTCTGAGGTAAAAAAATAAAAAGAAAAGACTTGAAAACAGAGCGGAAAAATGAGACACAGAATAGAGACGTTTAAGTACAGATACCAGGTTGAGAAATGCTTCTGATTAGGTGTCACGACCCCGATCATTCGCTAGAAAAAGCTGCTCTGATTAATCATGAGATTTTAAAAGAAATGATTTATATTAGTAGAATTTTTATCTGCTAAAAACAACCATAAAAGCCACTATCATTTAAAAGTGGGGTAGGCAGGATCTGAGGAAGTGAAAGTTTTTGAGAGAAATCTTGAATGTAAACACTACCCCTTCCCAACCAGTTTTCCCCTCAGCTCCTCCTCTCCCCTCCCTCTCTGCTCCAGCAAGCCCCGCCCACAAACAGACGCTCCTGCTCGCTCGTATCATTTCAATTAAATTCAGATATAATACAGACAGATACTTCCGATTATTACAAATGGGGCCCAGTCAACATGAAAATAAAAAAGCATTGGTGCAACTGTAGATGCCAACAGACTACCAGCAAACACAATGTTTGCAGGACTTCTACAACTAGGATAAAGTGACATAGTCCAGGACCCGAGGTCAACAGTTTAGTGGCGCCACAACACGCAGCAGGTCCTGTTTGACAAGAAACACTTCTGTTACAGACACTTGTCTTACTTTGTTAAAGCCATCCCGAAGCGTCCTTCATCGTTTAGGCTGATTTTGACTTGGCTTCTTAGCTCTTGTCTGGTCTACCTCCTTATCAATCACCCGTTATTCTGCCAGAGACTCCGGTATTTACGTTGTTTTATTGCTTGTGTTTTCCGTACTTTCTGGTTGGTTTCTACTGTTCGATATTGTAGCACACTAACTTTGTTTGGGCTCGTACACGTTATTCGAGGACGTGGAGTGTACCTCCCAACATGAGGGAGCAGCGTCTGCCTCACAACCAATCAGGTTGGGGGAGGCGGAGAATAGCTTTGTTTACAGTCAGAAAGAGTGGCCTGCTCAAAATATTAAAATGTTGACTACACAGACATAACAAAACACGGAGATATCATTATATTACCAAATGTCATCAATAACTAATATCTACTGACTGATATTTAAAGCTTATTTTGTATATACACCACAAAAAAAGATGCTTTTTTAACCAAATCCTGCCTACCCCACCTTTTAATTATGAAAAATCTAATGTATCAAGTCACTGCAGGTGATGATACGCAGTAGACCATACACATGGAAAAGAAGAAGAAGTGCAACCTCAGCAAGCAATTAGACTGAAAGTGGCCTGAGCGTTCTGCACACGCCGGGCTTGGAGCTTGAAGTAGTCGAGCTGTAAAAGGGAAAAAAGAAAACGCTGAATCCATCCACTCCTGAAAAAGAGACGAGAGTAAGTCAAGAGTCACCATCTCACATAGAACCGTGGAATTATCTCAGTCACTTTCAGTATATTTCAGGATGTCAGTAATCTAGTTTGATAAGCTCCTAGAGATGCTACCACCAGTTGAACTTTAATGGTGGCAAGCAGCATGTCTGAGGTGAGGACACACTGACAAACAGCTCTGAATAGTCAAAAACCCTCTTTATAATTTGGATAGATGCAAAAAAAGAGAGAAACGGGTCTGATAAAAACAACAGAATCTCCAGAACTTGATCCTTTTTCCAAGGTAGACGCTGACGAATGATTGCACCAGCTAATGAATACTAAAGGGAATAAGACTTGCAAGACAGGTCATGACCTGAACCCCAAACCTGTGACATCTTAGTCGAGATTACATGGAGTGTCCTGGTTTACAACACCCTGAGCTGTATACCAGACGGACGGGCTAAATGACAGAGGCAGAGGGCCGCTTTTTACTGGTCAGTGCGGGTAGACCATGCGTCTCGCTGCCTACCACAGATGGAGTGAGACGGAGGGGTTGGAAAGAGGAAAAAATTGGAGAAACTGCGAGGTAGAGCGAGAGGAGAGGTGAGGGAAAGGCGGCAGAAACAGACTGAGACTCGTCCAGCCAACTCGCAGAGAAAAGAGGGAAGTAGAAAGACAGACAAGTGGGCAAATTATACGATACAACACCACAAATTAGCTTTACCGCGGAAATACCTCCAGAGCAGCATGGGAAACACGCAGGGAGAGACTATTTCAGACTTTTGCTCCTGTTTGTTATGCCAGCCAGCATCTCAGGGCAGAGGGAAGGATTCGCAAAGCTCCGAGTACATTACCATGTGAGTAAAAAAGGGGAAGAAGGGGAGGAAAATGAGGGCAGCGGTGTCTCTCAGGGGGGGAAAGTGACCTCATTGCACCATTGTGCCCTCTTCTCTTGTCCTCCCCCTTCTCTCTCTCTCTATTTAATCTAAATCCATTCAAGAGACTTTATTGGCCAGATAAGGTCGTTCTGACACTGCCAAGGCTTAAGTGCATCTCTGCCTCGCTCCAGTTGGACGGAGCAGGAAGTAGGTTGGTGGCGAGAGAGGAATGACAGCCTTTATCTCGGTCAGTAAACACAAACCCAGGGAGTCCCTGCATTGTTTACACTGTGACTTTAACTCTCAGAGGACACTGTCACACAATCACTCACACAGGCCTGCAGCACAGATACTTAACAAGGTCAAACTATTGGACTTGCATACAGAAATGCATGCAACAAACACACACGGGGTTGCACACAACAGTGGTGTGTGTGTGCGGTGTGTGTGTGTGCGGTGGATGTTGGCAGCAAGTGTACGGTGCACTGGTCAGGGCCCAGCACACTCAAACTTCCTCCTGCCTGCCAGTCTGACCACTAGCGGTTATGTGTGCGTGTGCGTGTGTGTGCGCCATAAACCAGAGATAATTCCACCCGAAACCCTGTGTGGATCCACTCTCTGTATTTTACTCTCATAGTCGCTCATTTACTTCATTTTATGATCCAGAGGAATTATTCAACATGACATGCCTGCTTCTCTGTGTGTGTTTCAAGCGCTCTTAAACGAGGGCATCGCTAAAGGTTGTAGCAGCTTGGAAATAAGACGTCTTCAAAATGCAGCATTCTAAAAAAACAAGTTGTGCAATTCGGTCGCTGAATTATAGAGCAGTCAATATTTTTAATATAGAGTTGCCCTTTATTCACCCTTTGCCATTTCATTTCAGACTGTCTCTTCTGTCCGTATCCTCCATTTTTTCCGCCGCAGTCTTCGCCGCCTCATCTGCTCATCCCATCATTATCTGTCCCCTGCTCAACCAAGTGCACCTAATCCAAATTATCTCCACACAAGCTTGTAGCAATTTGGGCTTGACTGATCATGCCTTTTATTCACTGTATTTTGTCTTTTAACCCCATTTTCAATCTCTCTCTGCTTCACAAGAGGGATAGCAGCGGCACGATAGCAGGGGTTTGATGATACTGAAATTGGTCGCCAACAAATTTAATAGTAGTTGTTATCTTCCCTATCTTTGCTGGAGTGATGCATTCAAAAATAACAGGTAAACAAAATAAAGCAGAGTAAGCGAGACAGCTTGCATCCGTATTGCGTCTGCTGAGTGGCACATGTGCAACAGCGAACAAGAAACGACAGGTAAACAACAAAAAAGCACAGCATCATAGCCGCAGCTGATGCAAGACTAAAGTGTCGTAAAACATAAAAAGCCGGGGAGGATTTCTCCCTCAAGGTTTCAAAGAAGAACAGCAGGTCTAAAGATCTGTTAACCAGACCCTGCTTATCATGGGAGGGTGTCTGGCGTGCGCTTTGAAGAAAACACACGTTAGCCGTCTCTTTGTGACATTCAACTTAAAAGTTACACCATGCTGTGTGAGTTTTAAATCTTTAGTCCTCCACCTTTTACCTCATCACTCTTTTCCTTTTTGTCTCTTCCTTTCATCTCCTATTTTCCTTTTACCAAACACACATTACTAAGAGTTTAAAAGAGTAAAATCAAATTTAAGCGTTAATTGCAAGTATCAATCTCTGGTGCTAAAAACTGCAGTTCTCCAAGTGTCTGCTTTGAGCTGGCTGCAGAAGCACCAGAAACCACGTACACACTGAGCCAAAAAAGGGCAGCTCAAAGCCAAAATAAACACATGGAAAGTCTGGTAGCCCTGTAGCTATTTGTGAGGAGGCTGAAGGATGCTACATCCAGTTATTGCACAGTCTGTGGTTGATTGCTGAATAAGAACTATTACGCTACTTTGCAGATTGTTATTCAATTAGTTCATCAATGGTTTTAGTGATAATTGATAAGCCGACTATCCAAATAATCATAAATTGAACACTGTGATTATGAGAGGCAGAAAAAGTTGTTAAATCGATACACAGCGGCGTAAAATTAATTTAGGGTTAAACACACCATAACACCAAGTAAGACACCCCCTTGAGATGTGAATGTTGCCAACTGTTTACTTCTCTAGTTTTACCAACTTTAGTAACGACCGCAGGATAGCGATACACAACGGTCTGAGGAGCCATAAACAAACCTCAACCAAAACGCCACTCTATAGCCACAAATAATGCTCAGAACAGCACCTAACTTCATCAACAGGACATATAGGGTCCTAGCCATAGTACTAGCCACCAAATATCTTTTTAACTTTGCCTGATTTCTTTAGCAAATAGACTAAACACAACTCACCTACTCTCTTCCAGCAGCCGCTTGTTTGTAGCGAGACCTCAGGCCAGTCCATTACAAACTACAGCAGGGTGACCTGGCTTAAGGAAGAACATTTATGATCATTTCTTAAAGGAAATTAAATCAGACAGAAATGCTAAGGCAGAAGAACTACCGCATCTGCAATACAAAATGATTTATATGGTGATTATTACTTCGAGGAAATAATAAAGAAATGATCGTAAATGTTCTTCCTTGAGCTGCGTCACCCCACAAGCAGCTGCTGGAAGAGAGTAGGTGAGTTGTGTTTAGTCTCTTTGTTAAAGGAATTAGGCGAAGTTAAAAATATGTTTGATGGCTAGTGCTGTGACTAGGACCCTATATGTACTGTTGATGAAGTTAGGTGCTGTTCTGAGCATTATTTGTGGCTATAGAGTGGCGTTTTGGTTGAGGTTTGTTGATTGCTCCTCAGACAGCTGTGTACTGCTATCGTGCGGTCGTTACTAAAGTTGGTATAACTAGAGAAGCAAGCGGTCGGCAACATTCATCTCTCGAGGGGGTGTCTAACTTGGTGTTACGGTGTGTTTGACCCTAAATTAATTTTATACTGGAATATCCCTTTAAGTAAACAGGTCAGGTTACCCTTGAGACAAATGTTGAACTGAAACGACTTTGGTGGAGTTGCCCCTCCAACAACAGACCCGCAAAAAGTCTCAGCAAACTCTTGAAGATGCCAATCGCATGACTTTTCCCTCATTTTGGTCACAGTAAAGATGTTTTTTTTAATGTGTGTGTGGCATTTTTACAGCACACCATCATTTCCTATGACTGTCAGGGCTACATCCCTGCGGTTTCCATGGTTACAGACAGTTCTGCATCCCCGCTGGGAGACAGACAGCAGACAGATACGAGTAACTTCAACTGGTAGTTAGAGCCGAGTCGTGCTGAGAGCTGAGACCCCAGAAATCCTCGAACAAGAGCCTTTTTCTTCCCCTTATCCTTGTCTTCTGCTGTCCTGGAGAGACATCAGAGGCGTTTGCCTGTCAGCGCTGATTCAAAGAGAAGCTACAATTCGGATTAAATCTCCCCAATCATGCAGAACATTTTTCAGACTTGAATATAAAAGTTATCTGGGTTTGGCACGGTTTCTGGTGTGGTCCAGTCGCATTGTTAGAAACCCGTCATTGTTTGGAAATGCTCTCTGTCACTCTAGCTGCTTCTCTGTACGTCTGCAGTCTCTATTCTTGCTGTGGACTATTGTGTATTAAAATAAAACCCAACGTCTCTCTGGGTAAATGTGGACCATGTTCCTGATTTTTAAGAGCAGCAGAAGACAAAAACAGCATGTGTATTTCCATTTTCCTCACAAATAAATCTATTTTCTCTTCCAGGAAGCCTGTTTATTCACTCCAGCCCAGCTGTTAGGATGAGGAATTGCTGCATCTGTGTTTTTTTTAGCGATACTTGGAGAGTTTGCGCATATCTCCCCTGATAGCTTAATGGAAAACAGCTCTCTTCTTTGTTTCTTAAGCTATTTTGCAGTTTTAGTAGCAGTATGAATATGTAAAAAGCCTACTGACAGGTCGGTTTTGCTGGTTTTTGCCTTTCACTTTCTGTTTTTTTTTGCTCTCCTTCATGGTCTCCGTTTCCCTCTTTATCTTTACATCTGTCCTCTGATCTGCTCTGACAACCTGACAACACTTTCATCCCGCCTTCCTCTTCCTTCCTCTGACTTCTGGTCTGTCCAGGTACAGCACCCTCGGGGAGGAAACATCAGAGACATTACAGTTTGTGTCAGATCCAAAGTGAAAAAGTGGATTTATGTGTAAAATATCGGTGCATATGCAGCTCTTGTTAATGCTGGTATGCCTTGCTGTTTCCCGGTAAGAGGCTTTGGTTTATTATCGTGTGTGTGTGTGAGTGCGTCAGTGCTCCGTGCCCGGGCTAAGATGTGGTAGTTTGATATCATTGGCGCTCTTTCATCAGTGAGGTGATTCTCCTGCTATGTGTTTGAACTGCAGTGAATCAAAGACAGCTTGTTGTACAGCTGGCTGCAGCTGCGGCCTCATCACCTGCACATTAAACCCACCTGCTCTTTCTTTTGACTCTTTGCTATCTTCGTAGCTTTCTCTTTGTTCAGTTTTTTGATTTCCCCCCTTTTTTTTTGCCAGAAGGTTTTGTCTCTGATGCGGGCTTCAGAAACTAAATTTTACTTTCATCTGTTATCAGTCTCAGCAACACTCTTGAGAATTCACATTTAAGACAATCTGCTCAGTGTTATAGTACCATCTGTATTTGTACAGAGTAAATGAGGTTTTAGTGACGTTTCTGTGCTTTTAGAGTGTTTGTGTGCAAAGTTAATGGAAGGATAATAGTTAAGGCAGGAAGCTTACTAATAAGGAAAACTGCAACTTCTGAAGTCACCATGGTTATCTGCAATAACTCATTTATTGATAGTTTCTTATCACGCGGTAACTTAAAGCTCCTGTGAGGAGTTTTCAGCTGGTTATCAATACTGATGCCTCCTTATGACCTACAGAAGCAAACAAGACCACAAGTTAGGAAAATAATTCCTGTAAACACTGGAAGACAAAAGCACCCTGTGAAATAAGACTTTTTTATTTTTATTTTTATTTTAATTTTTTTTTACATTTTCCAAAGTTAAAGCTACTATAAGTAGTTTTTTGATGTTTATGAAACAGACTAAAATTTTTAGTGATGCCTTCTTATGACCTACAGAAGCAAACAAGACCACAAGTTAGGGAAATAATTCCTGTAAACACTGGAAGACAAAAGCACCCTGTGAAATAAGACTTTTTTTTTTTTTTACATTTTCCAAAGTTAAAGCTACTATAAGTAGTTTTTTGATGTTTCTGAAACAGACTAAAATTTATAGTGATGCCTTTTTGTGATATTCAAAAGCAAACGAGACCATGAGTGAGGAAAATAACTCCTGTAAACACCGGTGGTGAGAGCACCCTGCAAAGTAAAACTTTTTCTTTACATTTTCCAAAGTTAAAGCTACTATGAGTTTTTTTTTTTTTAATTTATATGGGTGCCTTTTTGTGATATTCAAAAGCAAACAAGACCATCAGGGTAAGATAGATAACTTTTATAGGCTTGCTTTTAATGCCAGAAACTGTTACAAAGGGGTAAGAAAAGCCCTGTTTCTAGAATTTCCACAAAATGATTTATTCTGTGGAAAATGTAAAATCAGGGCCTTTTCTTTCTTTAGCGGCTCCACTGACAGCTGACCCCTCACACTGGCTTCAAGCATTAAAAAAGACAGAAAAAAATAGTCAATCTTGTCCTTGACGGTATTATTTGCCTTTGTAAAATCAGTATGAATTTTATTTTTTTTTATAAACTTCATAGGAGTTTTACGTCATGAGAAGTGATGTGAGCATGTGCAGAACTGCCAGCAGAGTACAGTAGTTATTACTGCACACATACCAACTCTAGTTTGGTTGGAAGTAGTCATGTATTTATTCTTGTTTAATTCTTTGTTCTGGTATGTGTTGTACGGTTTTGTGAAGATAAAAACTGTAGATAAATAAAAAAAAAATAAAAAAAAAAACACCTAATGTGAACTCTGACCCTCTGCTGGACAAGTTTGTTTCACAGTCCTTCAACATAGAAAAAACAGAATCGACTATTACGCTCAGTTGTGTGAGTCAATCAGCTCTTGATATCTGAGTTATCTTGATTAGCCCTGAAATACAGGAATTTTATCTGCTCTTGTTTTATTTGTGCTTGACTTGGCTCTGTTCCCGGTTCTGTTTTGCTTGTGTTGTTTTTCTTAACTTTTCCCCATTTCACATAAAAACAGAAACTTTATTTTTCAAAGTTCTGCATATTAAGGATGATTAATACTTTCCTGTTGCTCAACCAACGTCATATCTCTTGCTACACTATCATGCAAAAAAAGGAGGATTTTTTAATCTATTTCTTAAACCTGGAAGAGTGAAAACTGGATTTGCGTTCCAGTGAGAGCAACATGTTAAAATTAGAGTAATAACACGGTCTCATAATCTGGCTCTTCCTGTCTGGACTTTATGATTGATCCTGATTAAAGACTGACTTTTAAAGCATCCATCACAGTAGCAGTTATATGTTGACTACACTGATGCGGCATGTATATAAGTACTCTATAATTACTCTTATGGTAAGGCTGTGATTGAACAACGATCCTCTGCTATGTTTGTCTCTACATTGTACAGAGTTTACAATAGAAACCAGCACAGTCCAGGGACAGGCTGGGTGGGCAGGGCCATCATGGGAACCAGAGGGGCTTTTAGCGTTCGGGTCCTCAGGGACTTGGCTGGGACTGTGTTGTTGTTGTTGATAAATGCACTCCCACAGTTCTAGAGCCAAAACACACAGACTCATACACACACATGAAAAGTTTCTCCTGTGCTCAAAATCACATGGAGGAAAATCCCATACTAGATTTGATGAGTGAATCTTGGCGTCGTAATAATAATGATTAAAATTTTCATAAAACTTAAACACTGCCTTTTTTTTTCTATAATGGTTCACAGCGTGTTCTGTTCACACACCCTCAGGATCGCACATATCACACATACTTATAAACACGCCAAGACACATGAAAGAGGAAGGTCACAGACGTGGATTAGAGCCAAAATCAGTCTGAAGTTTCTTCCACCGCCGTCATCGCTCCGTCATCTGCTCAGGGAATATTTAGCCGCTTTGTTTTTAGTCAGCGCCTTAGTTTCACTTCTTCCCTCTCTGTCAGCATGATTGGAATCACTAAACAATGTAGATGAAGTTGTTCGGGCTTTACATCACACAGTGGAGACCACTTAAACCCAAAGTTGTTGAAAGTAAGAGGTAAAATAATGAGGGTGACTCATCAGAAACAAGGTGGGAAAAACAGAACATGAGAGTCCTGTAATGTGACGTGGGAGATGATTTAGTAATCCTTTCTGGCATTTTTCAAAAATGTTCATACGTTCTGGCTCTTGAGATCTGATGTTTTGTTAGGGGTTAACTCAACAAAACTTAACTTTATTTATAGAGCACTTTAAATACAACCAGAGCTGACACAAAGTGCTGTACGTAATAACATAAAAACATAAAACAACAATAAATTATTGGTTTAAAATACAATAAAAGGCAATAAAACAAATGCCTCATGCTGGGTCAAAAGCAGAGGAATGAAAGTGGGTTTTTAGACGGGCTGGGCAATATGGCCCTTAAATCAATATCACAATATATTGAGCAGTTCACCTCAATAACGATAAATGGATGATAACTACTCCACGAGCTGCTCACCCCCTCCCACATTAACTTCGTCTACTTCAGCCGCTACAACTTTTGAACTGTCCTCCATCTCCTCACCTGTCTTTCTCTCTTTGTTACGGACTTGATGGGGTGGAGTCATGTCTCTGAAGTAGGACAGCGTCTTAAAGGGACATGAGACCATAGCCTACCTACACATATCCAAACCAAGTTTTATTTATTTTTTTTTTTGACACCGAATATACCGTCGCAAATTTCAATATTGGTAAATTTTCGGTTTATCGCCCAGCCCTACATTTTGGTGTTTCCTTAGTCAATATCTTTAATAATTTCTACACAGCATCTTGATTTGCAAAATGTAGATTAAGTTCTGCCTCAATTTAGTGTCCTTTGCATCTAGAAGTCATACAAATATCAGGTGGCACATGTTTTCATGCATGACGTAGGTGTCGGGGTATAAAGGGGCTAAAGGAGGTGAGTATGTTAGAGTGTTGAGATTCACCCTGCAGGCAAGAGCGGCTGCTAAAAGACACGGTGACAGTGAGGGAAGGTATCTTTGCTATCCATCATCCAGGCTGAATCAGAGGAATGCAGGCGACTCTACCCCCCGGCATCAGGACTTATATATAGGCTGAACACCTCAGATCACCAACACTGACCTCTGTATACCCCCTCATCTGCGTGCAACATACACCTACAGCTTATGAATCACATACTTAAGCACTGTCAGGCTCTTTTTCGTGTTTCTAAGAGTCTTAAATCTGTCTTTTTGCTATGAATAAGAGTTCAAATTAGAGGGTTTTATTTAAAGAGAGAGGACCATGAGGGCGAGGATGTTTACTCTTTTCTGCCCTCTATTCTTTCTCCCTGTCTCTAGTTTGGGATTTTGTCCACGTGGATCTGCTACTGGCATTGTTGTGTCTTAGCAATTTTCTGAGCTGGCGTGTAAAAATGAGCCGATATTAGAGGGAGAGAGAGTCTGCGGAGTTTCTCTCTTCAAAATGACAATGTCTCTCTAAGCATGACGGACTTCCTCAATCCCTCTTCTTTTAAGTAAGAATATCTTCTGTCCTAAAGCCTACAGTGCTAATCCCAAACAGTGCAGTGTGTGTTACCAGAAAAAGACAGCTGAGTAGATGGGAGGCTCTTAAAGACATGGATGAATGACTGATGCCTCTGAAATGAGAGAGCATTTCCCAAAAAGAAGATACAATCTCCGGACTTAACTTGACACAAAGGGCGGTAAGGCTTTTTGAGCAGATCATTATAATGAGGAGCTCCTCTCTTGACTTTATAATGAGGTTTTTGGAGAAGCTGCTCTTTTAGTTTTGCAGACTGAGGGGTGGAGATGGGGGGTGAGGATCGAAGCCAGTTTCCCAGAGGTTTACTGACTCTAGGACTTCAAAGGCGAAAACACAGTGGCACCGTCAGTGGTGCTGGAGAGGCCTAATCCTGAGCGATGAGTGCGTGTTTGTGTGTGTACATCTCTATCAGTGGGGAATTAGACCTCCATAGTCTTGATTTTGTAGGGCCGCAGAAAGCCTCTGGAAATTTGGCTTGAAGACGCAGGAATCTTAACGCGATATTAAATCTGAGTGAGAAGACAGGTTCATAACTTAAGACAGCTGGTAAAGCTTTGACAAGACTGTGCAAGTCTGGAAGATCACATTTTGATTGACATCTGCTTGGGTCTGCTCATAACAGAACATTAAACCACGTAGCTGACTTAAACTGGAGGTGTGTCGTCGTTGGGAGTCAGAACCAGTAGAGAGAGTACGAGCTCGGCTTTACACGTTTGCTCTACATTTCATATTCAGCACTCAACATACACATGCATCTTTAGCTGGGATGCCAATAGATGTTCTCAGAGCGTTAAATCAATACAAAAATGTACGCTCTGTAGTGTTTGCCATCGCCCAGCCTACGCACAAGCACCATGCCAAAAAGAGATCACCGGTGGCCTTAACTCAACTTTTGCGTCTACAAATAGAGATTTTTTCGCTGGCAGCCGTCCAAACTTGCTCCAGGATAACGTTAATGCTGAAAATGAAAAGCCAAGCTGCCGTCTTATTTTTACAGTAATTGGTTTAAGAGATTATTTATGCTGAGAGCTGGTTTTTGGATTAAACATGCATGCTTGTTTATATCCAGGTTGTTGAGTATTATAGTAGTAAGTCTGTGCTACGGTTTTGTCATAACGTGATTGGCAAGCTTTTAACCTTCTATTTATTCTCGTGCCAACTCGGGATGGACAATATGGGCAAAAAAAAATATCACAAAAAGATTTGCCATTCTGGCGATAACGATAGAAGTCCCGATAAAAAATATTATAATTCCCATCTATATTTTGACTCATTTTGTCTTAAGAACACTAGTTGGAGTAGTCAAATAAGATACTTAACCACAAGTTTGAGTGGTAGGTTAGGGAGAAACACATGATATTAAACAAGTCAGGCATACTTGTAGGAAATCCCTCATGTAGAGTAACGAGCTGCTCAGCAACGTCTTCTTCATTACCTTCGGCCATATTTGTTTGTTATTCTTCTCTGTGTCGGCTATGGCTGAGTCCATCACTTGCACTTACGTCATCAACTTGCATTTATCATATTTATCATGAGATGGCAAATATTTATCGTAGAAGATTTTTCTGATGATACATCTTGAATGATAACTAGCATGGACAACTAGCATGGTTGCTGACAAACAGTAAATATGTCAAACTGGTGACCGCTGATGATAGTATGTGTATAAACCATTTGGCTAACAGTGAGTTTATTTGATTTCTTAGTCTAGAGGCTTTTATGACCTTTGAAGTCAAAATAAAAGAGTTTAACATTATGTTAGGAACTTGTCTTATGTCTTTGAGCTTCAAATATCAGTAACCAGAATGAGTATTCACTCTGGTCAGGCACTTAAGTGATGATTCATCCGTTTCCAACAGGTGCAGATTCACCAGTTGGTGGGACAAGATGACAACAGCCCAATCAATACTTGATGCATGAATCACTGGTTCAAAAAAAGAGAAACTCTTATTTAGTCTGACTTGAGTTTTTATTTTTATAAGATACCTTCAGGAAGTAAGACCTCAGATCCTTGACCCCGAAGCAGACACCGCTTTTCAAGCATACAAATCCCACTTCAGTTTCTTTGATATGTGAATATTTATCAAAATCTTCCCGCTCCTTTCAGTCAGAACCTGCGTGGGTGCTTAACGTGGGAGTTGGAGACCATGCTGTGAGGGTGTAGGTGTTGATGTGTGTCTTGGTTGTCACTGGCTGTATCGTAAGTCTTCATAGCGTGTGTAAGTTTGGATACGTGTGTCTAACGGCAAACAGATGTGGGACACGGACATGGAAGGCTTGGCGGGGTCCCGACAGGATGACTGTGTGTCTGGCGTCCATGTCTGCCAGCAGCTCAGTAACGCCGACTGGAAAATTTGGAATCACACCGCTTACTGCCTGCTCATGTTATATGGAAACACACACACTCACTTTACATTTATAGTATTTACTGGAAGGCAATGGAAGAAAGACACCCACATGCCTACCTGACATATAGTATTAACTGCCTTCTCAACTTTTATGGGAACACACACACACACACACACTTGGAGAGATACGAGCCAATGACACATCACAGCAGAGCACGGCATGCCGTCATAGCTGATGCTTACGGGATTTGAAGCGGAGGAAAAGTCAACTTGGATTTCGTGGAGACTTGTGTGCCACATCTCAGTGTGTGTTGCCTCACTCTAGATAAGTCAGCTTTAGCACTGCTGGCCTCCCTCTGACCTGCCTGATGGAGCCAAATACAGCACAACGTCTCATTCTTAATATTGTCTAGCAGAGGTGATGATGATACCCAATCGTCCAAATTTACAGGTTCATCCTAGTCTTCTTTAGAGCTCCTGTTAGGAGATTTTAACACTAAAAACATCTGAAATTATCATAGATGCCTTTTCAGGAGCTACAGCATTCAGGTTTGTCTATTTATATTTATTTATAATGTCTGAAACCACTGCCTTAGGAGAGGTGTCAGACGGTAATTAACAGCATGCTGCAGGAAAAGCCTGTTTTTGTATTTTCCATTGCCAAAAAACCACAATAAGTGGCTTTTAAAAATAAACGCTTTTTTAAAGGGCCTTTATTTTGAAAGGACAGCCATAGAGAGACGGAGGGAAGAGGTAATGACATGCACCAAACTTTTCTATTTGATTGGAAGTCAAACTCAAAGCATTAAGTGGTGAGATTTGCTGTGCAGTAAAAAGTCATATTGATAAATGAAGGTGGAATTCAGTATTTGGAGTCTCTGTTTTCATCTTATCTCAATGCTTGATACAATTCAAGACTGTATAGACTTTGTTGCATGAAAATGGGAGGACACCTGTTGCAAGCGTGCCTCAAAGAACATGTGCAATCTTGCATCAGTGAAACATTGATTCATATACAGCAGAGTGATATATGCAAACTAATCAAAGTTCAGAGGTCCACTTTAGAAGTTTTGAGGTGATCAGCAGCATCTCAGAAGCTCCCTGTATGTTATTAGGGTAGTGTTATGGAGGTACGATCGTTGGGAAAGATGCACTTGAAAAATTGCCCAAATTGAGTGAAAACAACTTAGGATGTCTGGGTCGGATTTGCAGATTCACAGCGCGATCAAAACCATATATAAGCCGGGCGAAGTGGGTCTGGCGTCGCCACTGCTAGCCGGTCAGAGCAGAGACGATTGTGGGCGAGGCTTTACCTTTCTCGGCGTGTCTTCACCAGCTCAGATTACAATGCTAAAGATGCGTGGCTAACTAATGCTAAAATTTATTGACAGAGTCTACCCGTTCCGACCAACATCGTTCAGTCATTAGCCAGTATAGGCACAGACTAACCAGAGTTATTCAGCAGACATCTCCCACTGTAGTAAACAAAGTAATTACCTGTTCAACAGAAACTCGTCTGTCTCAGCGTCATTTTTCAGTCCCAAATCCTTCTGCAGCTTTTTCCACCGGTCGTACGTTTCTCTAATGTAGACTCTCCGTTGGCATCTGTATCGCTCATATTTCTTCCTTACTTCAGCCTTTTCCTCGAAACTTTTACGTTTCCTTCCCTTCGATGTGGAGGGTAACAGAAGTGGCCTCCTGGTTTCGGTGTTTGTCTTCCCCGGCTCCATTACGCTTCAGTAGCTGTGCGGCTAGCTAATCACATGTACGTGAGGGGGGTAGTGGGGAGGAGGCTGGACCATGGGCGGGATGGTGGGGAGCAGGGGAGACAGGGGGTTTGGATGGTCGATTATTATGCCTTTTTGCAGTGGATACACTTAATGGATTTTTTTCTTCTTTTTGACCTTTATAATTTGCGTAGATTGGACCATAGGACCATAACGGCCTTATAAACGGTGTTATCAATAAGTACCAAGCTTCCAAATGGTAGACCAAAGCTTTAAGAGGATCCTCTCGCTCATCCCCACTCTCCGTGTTTTTATCTGCTGCTCATGCTGTTTGTTTGTGTCGTCATGCCTCTGTAACGCCATGTAAGAACCACACATCTGGACGCCAGTAAAATGCTGATTTCAGAGTCGAAAGTAAAATATCGTAGTGACGGTAGAGCTTGGAAAGAACTCAAGTCTTTACTCATGAGGATAATGACTTCCGAGCTCGCTCGATTCTCCGATCGAGTGCTTCAAGATGTTATTCAAAGCTGTCAAAGTTGGAGGGACGCCCGTGAGCCGAGAATATTTGGTTATGTGAACTATTCCCAAGGGTCAGAGATAAAGTTCCGTGCTGAAATGCCAGTTTTCTCGCCCTCATAAGCTTCCTGTTAAATCCTGAATACAATTAAAATCCCTTTTCCCACTTGGAGAGCTCTGGCACTGATACCTTTGACTGTAAGTCACTGGAGCTTTGTTATCACAAGAACATCACTTATACCCCGTCCTCTGAGCAGAGCTGACAGCTTAAGTCTTAAAACTAAAGCTGATCAGCCTTTGAAGTCTGAACTCACCATGTTGGACCTTTATGAGCCACTCTGTTTACTCAATTCATGTTTTTCATGCCTCCTTTTTACCTTCGTATGATTTCACAGCATTTAAAACACTGATGCACTCCACATCAGATCTGCTGCGTAGATAGACAGCTTTGCTTTCACACTCAGTCGACCTAGTAACAACGTCTATAATTGACATCACTGCTGGCCAATTAGCCTCAGTGCCAGTGTGTGTGCGTGTGTGTGTCTCACTTTCCCAGCTATTGGTCAGTGTGTCAGTATGATAAATCGTGACAGTGTTAGTGTGATGGTCCAGGCTGGCAGCCAGTTGGAGCCTTAGTAACAGCGCAGCGTTTCCTCTCTCTCTCTTTGAACTTCAGCTATGCTGCTATAATGAGGGAATGTTCTTTTCTGAGCCCAACCCAAGGGAGGTCGTGTGTGTGTGTGTGTGTGTGCGTGTGTGTGAGCATGTGTGTGTGTGTGTTTGCAGCATGGTGAGTCATACATACTGCGGCCATTGTCTTTGTACGGTTGACACGCTGGCCCGTAACCGGGGGTCTTGTTGTTTCCCTCCGCCTCCAGGTGACAGAAACAAACCAGGAAGTGTGTGTGTGTGTGTGTGTGTGTGTGTGTGTGTGTGTGTGTGTGTGTGTGTGTGTGTGAGTAGTCATGTGCATTTCTGTGCGTGTGTATATGTGGTCTCACAGAAGATTACCGCATTCGTTCTGCTTTGTAAACTTTGGCGTGCGAGGATGTCCAGCCTGTCGGAGAGTTCTGTGATTTTGTGTAAATGTGTGTGTGTTTCTTTGTGTGTACGATGACAGCACAGGCAGGTATTCCCTCCCTCCCCAGGTCTCTGTTAAGTCCTGGTTTGACATTATTGGACTCTAATAGACCGTACTGCATCAGCTCGTGTAGTAAATCTTTGCCATTGTGCGGCCAGATTTGAAACAGATGTGCGCACACACACACTCACACACACACTGTACATTTACCTTAATACAGCCTTAGGCAGTTTGAAAGCTGGGAAAACACTTTCTCCTTTTTTGTGTTTACCTTGTATATTTGTTGAAGCAAACTCAGTTTTATTAACCTGTTTGAACAAACACGCACTTTTCATTATGTTGAACTCTATTATACTCAATTCTCTTGATGCAGAAACTCTTTACTTTTTTTCTTTTCTGCAGCTCTTCATTTTTCCTTTCTCTCTCTCTCCTCCACTTGTTGCTTCTTGAGTTAGACTACAATGCAACAAGTGTTGACAAAAGCCGAGTTTCTCTCTTGTTATGCATTTTTCTTAAACATCAACAAGCTTTTACCAGGTTTTCTGAAACCTGCAAAGACATTTGAGGGCTGATGTCTGAGCGACTGGAGGACGTGTCCTAAGTGTTTTAGAGTTTTTATTAGTTAGCAGTTAAGCACTTATACTCGCAGAACAGTTATGTCACTGTCGAGTGATGTCCAGCCAATAAGATATTGTTGTGGGCGGAGGATCAGGCGAGAAGGACTGTTGCAAGGAAACAGACCCAGAGGCAAAGACACACTAGAAGCTGAGCTTAAGCAGCACACTTTTGAATATGTGATTTGAAAATAGAAGGCTGATAGATAGATACAGATAGCTGATAACTGGACACAACAGCTCCAAGGAGAAGTCCCAGAGGCTGTAATTGTCCCCTCATGACAGCGTTGAATATTCACATCCTCCATTGGAGATTGTGGAGAAACAATCGAAGTCAAAAGTGCGTCCGATGGTCAGGTTACGCTTACAGTGCCTTTCACTCGATAAATTGTATATGTTGAGTTTGAATGGATCATTAGCTTTTCTTCCCAAGCTCAAACAAAGACTTAATTTTGGATCGATGAGATTGATCCATCCGGGGATTTTTCCGTAAAGTTGTGACACCGCCCCCTTTTGGATGAAAGCAGTTAATCTTATCAATTCAATGATAGCGTTTGCTATCATGAAATGAAATCAGTTTAAAGGGATATTCCGGCGTAAAATTAATGTAGGGTCAAACACACTGTAACACCGAGTTAGACACCCTGTTGAGAGATGAATGTTGCTGACCACTTGCTTCTCTAGTTATACCATTTCTTTGTGGAAATGCAATCAGACCGAGACACTAAGGCAGAAGAACTACAGCGTCTGCAGTGCAAAATGATTAAAAAGGATGATTATTTCTGAAAGGAAATGATAAAGAAATTATCATAAATGTTCTTCCTTGAGCTGCGTCACCCCGCTGTAGTCCGTAATAGACTGGCCTGAGGTATCGCTACCAACGAGCGGCTGCTGGAAGAGAGTAGGTGAGTTGTTAAAAAGATGTTTGGTGGCTAGTTCTATGGCTAGGACCCTATATTACCTGTCGATGAAGTTAGGTGCTGTTCTGAGCATTATTTGTGGCTATAGAGTGGCGCTTTGGTTGAGGTTTGTTAATGGCTCCTCAGACCGCTGTGTATTGCTATCCTGCGGATGTCTCTAAAGTTGGTATAACTAGAGAAGCAAGCGGTCAGCAACATTCATCTCTCGAGGGGATGTCTAACTCTGTGTTATGGTGTGTTTGACCCCACATTAATTTACGCTTGGATATCCCTTTAATTTAAACTCCAACATACGAATTGGCTCCCATGAAAAAGAAAAAAAGCAATATTAGAAAATAAGTTCCGTCCTTTTGTGAGGCTCTGTTACTTTGTTGTGTCTCCATATATGTATTTATGCTTTTTATATACCAGAAATCTACAGTAACAAGCTTCGAAAAGAGTCTGCTTCTTATTAGGACAGTCTAGCCCTAAACCCGGGGCTTACAGCACCACCGCAGCCACATGCTCTGCTAAACCCACATCCCAGCCGAAGCCTGCGTGCACTTGGCATAAACCGAAGTTTTTGTGTGTGTGTGTGTGTGTGAGTAAATGAAAAACCCTGCTGGTGTACATTGAAGTCTCAAAACAGATGAAATGAAATGTCAAGTAAAGCACCAGGAAAACAGGAGCACACAAAGAAGGAGAAGAGGAGGAGAAACAGAGAGATACTGTCAGTATTTCTCTCTGGGGAGCATGATTCACAGAGTGGATAAAACTAAAGAGGTGTTGATTAAGACATGAGAGATGATAGAGGAGGAGGAGGAGAGGGAGAAAGTGCTTCGGGAGAGAACAAAAGGAGACATTTAAGTGGAGATCAGACAGAGGTAGAGAGATCGCAGCAGAGGACACATTTTTAGTCGGTGATGTGGCCCAGAAGGTGTAAACATGTCTCTTTCTCTGAGGATCATGTTGTATGTGACGCACTCTGAGACAGTGACAAACGTGCACATGTGAGATGAAAAAGCAGCAGGACATATGACCGAGAGCAGAGACTCATGGGGGTCAAAAACTCAACTCTAAGAATAGACTCCAAACACTGGGGAGGAAAATAACCCAGTAACAGAGGATGTGGAGTTTGCATGCGTACGAGTTAGGCCAATTTGTCTGTTTTTTAAGTGTGTTTGTTCTAATACGCTGATTTGTTGGGCTCATAAATGACTAATTTAGATACTTTTGAAAGTCAAGCTTTGATCCCGAGCTGTTATGAATCCTATTAGAGGTTTATTATCAATTAAACCTCTGTGTTGTGTGTTTGCTGTTGTTCCCTCTAATTTTTCTGCAGTTGAGGTTGTGAACAGCCACAAGTTTAATACAAAAAGGAGGGAGGCAGGTTGAGAGAGAGGTAAAGGGAGTCCAGTTTTATAGTCTTGTTTGTATGCTGGGTCGTAAATACCCCCCTTAACAGGCTTAAAGTGACAGCTGGTCCCAAGACTGTCATGGCTGGTTGTGCTGAGACAGTACAGTAAAATGAGATTTTTCAGAGAGTAGGATATAAAGTTTTATTTTCGGGTTTGGACTAAACTTTGTACAAAAATTGAGATAATAGAGACGTCTGCTTTGCCTTTTTAGCAATGAGTTGAACCAGCGATGCATCATGAAAAATCCCTGAGAAGGAGAATCAAAACAAGAGCCAGGATGAGTCAGGGTCCTGTAGGTAAAAGGAGTCCAGTAATAGTGATGTCAAGATGATTTATACCAAATTTGCCATTTAAACATACATCATGGAGAAACTGAGTCATGGTTTGGTCCGATCCTGCGGTCAATAACAACCAGGAGTTCAAAGAGTTTAAACAAAGTCTGAGTCGTACAGGAGTTTTTAACGTCAGCTCTGGATTCAGCTCACAAAAGGTAAAAAAAACCCTCTAAAATCAGATATTTTACTATTTTTTTAAATTTGGTTAATCAAACAGGGATGGTGGGGCAATGTAGGAGATACATTTTTAACTAATTCATCCTGCAAATGTTCAACTTTTTCAGGTTAAAGCACGTCAGATTTAAGGGCTGCCCAGTTTTTTCCCATTAGTTAATCAGTTTTGAATTAGGACAGCGCACATCAATATGCGTTTCAGCATTTACGTTTACATGCACACTTAAGTTGAGCCATGGTTACAACCTGATTTGGGGATTTTATTGGACTAAGAATTTACGTATCAAAATAATCGGCTGCATGCATTAGCAAGAGGCTAACAGGCTTTGACAGCGCACCCACGCTACTCAGTGGAAACACTGATTGAGCAAAAAAAAATAAAAAATAAAATCAATCCCCAATCTCATTATCCAGGTATGTTGTAAGAAACTCGATCTCGTGTGATTTCACTCGGACTAACATGGACATGTTCCAGTCAGGAGGCAACAGGCTGCACCACAAAGTCCTGATTTAGATGCGGTTTGGGGTTTATGTATTTGTGTGTGTGTTTGTGTTTCAAGTGCACTCCTGCGCATGTCGGTGAGATAAGGAGGGGTTAGTCAGCGGCGGTCAGGAACACGATGACTCCCCTTACCTTCTCTATGACGATAGGCCATGGCGACAGGGGTTTGCGGTTAGAAACTCTAATCTGCTCCTCATATGACCCTCTGACGGACAGGGACAGCAGTCAACTCACACGTATACACATGCAGAGACTCACACTCAAACAGACTGCTCTCAGGCTAGTTAGTCTAGCTTTGCTTCAGTCTAAACATGCTCTTATAAGGATTTCTGTTGAAATCTTGAGATCTGTTTGGCTTATTCGTTCACACATGGTTTACCCACGGTCATCTGCCTGTTAGTGTGTCTGTGTGTGGGTGTTTCTGTGTACAAACACACCATCATTGCTGCTGTGCCACACCTGCCAACTAAACACATATCACCCCTCATCAAGACTGAACTGGAGGCAGTGCTGATGCTCACCTCTTCATTTTGCTGCTGATGTTACATTACAGCACACTGTCCTGATTAGGGAGTGTGTGAGCACATTTTTGCAGACGTTACACTTTGACTGATGTGTGTTAGTATGAATGCTTTCTGGTATCCTGGGAATGTCTGAGTCCCAGATATTTTTCCTGGAAAAACTCAGTCAGCTCTGACCAACAGCGGGTCTGGTTCTGGCTCCATGTAATGAACTACTGTCAGACTTCTTTTCCTTTTTGGGGTCTTTGTTTGCCTCAACACTCAACAAAGGGTTTAATTCAGTCCAAACTGAGTGTATTTATCATATTAGCTATTTTGCTGCTGTTCTGGTCTAGATAGATCCACACTAGAAAACAGCAGTTACAAAAACGGCTGAAAGAAAAATGGTCAGACTTCATCGTATCATATCGTGTCAGATCGTATCTAGTGTATCTTATTATATAATAACCTATTATAACGGCATCTTATTAAATCACATTGAATCATATTGTGCCATCATATTGTATAGTCACATCGTATCATATCGTATCATATTGTCACACATCGTTTTGTGTCGTATTATATCATATTGAATCCTATCATATTGCATCATATTGTATCCTATTGTGTCATAAAGTATCGTATTGTGTCATATTGTGTTATCATATTGTATCATATCATATCATATTGCATCATATTTTATCATATCGTATCATATCATCTCACATCATAGTGTATCATATTATATTGCATCATAATGTATCATATTGTATCATATCATATCCCTTCATATTGTAAGTTAGCGTATTATATTGTATCATATCGTATCATATCGCATCATATTGTATCATATTGTAACATATTATCTTACATCACATTTATCATATTGTATAAAGTCATATAGCATCATATTGTATCACATTGTATCATATCGCAAGTTATCGTATCATATTGTATTATATCTCATCATATCTCATCATATTGTATCATATCGTATTATATCACACCTAACATCATGTCATGTCATTGTATGTTGGATCTTATATCGGATCATATCGGATCGTATTAGATCAGATTGGATTGCGTCTAGCGCATCTTATCATAAACTATCATAACATTATGCATTCAAAAGATTGTACTGACAATGGATGAATGAACAAATGCGTCTCATATCTTATTAATTTCTATTGTGTTGCATCGTATCGGATTACATTTCATCAAATCGTATATTTTAGGTTGTATTGTATTTCCAAAGGTTTAAAGTTAGCCTTTTTATCCAGGGTGTATCTTATTTCAAATATGAGTTTAAGTAAGTTTCTTGTTTCAACAGCTCTATCGTTCCATTGTGCTCTGTCAGTTTAATGCACCAAAGTTTGATTTTATTGAGCTCTGGGAGCATTGCTGTCTATGAGGAAAGTTGTATTAAGACTTTTTTTTTGTTGCTCAAGAAGTTGCCGTCTAAATCAAAAGAATTACTTCATGGGATGTTGCTTGAGTCTGTGTCTATTGGGGCAGAAGTCTATGGGATAAAAAGCGGATTAAATTAAAGTTTTTTTTAGAGGGGGAAATATCGAACTGAGGAAGCTGATTGACTCATCACTCTGTAAATTCACTCTCTTGACTTTCAGTGATGTTTCTAGTTTATTACTTATTCATGGACTGATTTGTGCCGCGGCTCATTGATTTAAATCTGAACGCTTTTACTCCTTAATGTGTGTGTTCAGCTCTCCGGTTTCAGGTTGGTGTACAGTAAGCCGATTGCCGCTGGGTCTGGATTGTAGGTGGTAGCAGGAATAAACTGTTAACAGTTGGCTGAATCCAGGTCAGCTGTCTTTGCGCATTATATTAGACTTATTTGTGTATACTTTGTCTTCTGTGCCAGCGTTTGTGTATGTGTGCGTGGGCATGAGTGTGTCTGATGTCTGATCTGTGTGTCTCCGTGTGCTTTAGCAGGACGCAGCCAAAAGCATGACATCACCCGAATGTGCTTTTGAAATAGGTAGCAATGCAGAGGCAGGGTCACAGTGGGCTTTAGGCAAAGTGGACAGATGTGTGTCTGTGTATTAGTGAGTGGGTGTGAACATTTCTGCATTTGTGTGTGTGTGTGTGTGTGTGTGTGTGTGTGTGTGTGTGTGTGTGTGTGTGTGTGTGTGTGTGTGTGTGTGCAGGTTTGGATGTTTCGGAATGATGCCAGCTTTCATCATCATCATCTCATGCGGCCAACAGTGTTGAGTATTTGCAGCATCTCTTTTTATGCCCCCTGCAGTTGAACAGCAGTGTGTGTGTGTGTGTGTGTGTGTGTGTGTGTGTGTGTGTGTGTGTGTGTGTGTGTGTGTGTGTGTGTGTGTGTGTGTTTAGGGCTTTCTGTTAGCCTTATAAGGCCAAGCAGTTTTAACCAGGAAACATTTAAGGATAAGAAAAGACATGACTCACTGTTTTCCCCTCATCTGCAGAGAAGCACAAAAACATCCTCTCCACTGCCCTCAACAACTTCCCCAAGGGGTTATATTTACTGATTGTGTGTGTGTGTGTGTGTGTGTCCGTAGTCCTCGGGGTTACTGGCTTGTTCCTAATGAGGTGCCGAGCTATTCACACAGCCCTCTTTCCCGGGAGATGTGAAGAGTGCTGGGGGAACAGCTGGTGTAGCCCTGGTGTTGCAGCGCTGTTGAGGAGCACTTCTCAGCCTGTAAAGAAAGGAGCATAAAACCAGCTAGAGAAGAGGGAGAGAGAATTAAATAAAGGAGGGAGGGAGATTATGAAAAGAGGGCTTTTTGTGAAGGGATGAAAAGGAGGAAAGAAAAGCAGGAGAAAGACTTGAATGAAAAAGGAAGGCGTGTTGTTGTAGCTCACACGACTTTTCACCTGTTTAACCTTCACGCTGTCTCTGACTGTTTACACCAAACATGGTTTTGTTCAGACCTCTTTACTTAGCTCCTTTTATTCCCGTTTCGATATTAAAAACAAGTTGTACACATCTTTGGATCCCTTCGTCCGACAATCCCTTACCTCAAAATATCCAGTTTCCTGTGATGTTTGAGACAGAAAAGAAAAATCTCCTGACATTTTGAAAACCGGCATCAGCAGATTTTCAGACTTGACTAATGCCCCTGTTTGTTCTGCGTTCACTCAGCCCACGGACGTGCCCGCTCTTTCCTGCTGCATTTACCTGTAAACTTCATTCGTCCTGGTTGCCTGGTAGCCAGAGGTAAAACAGAACAGATGAATTAACTCCTGTCAAAACATTATAATGAATACCAACTATATAAATGTAAACTTAATGCTCCCTTTGTCCCCCGTTTCCTCTCTTTGTTTACATTAAAAACGCCTCCTCAGTGGCTTTAATCGAGTCTCCCTGTAGACTTGAACCTGCCTGCATGCTGCTCCGTCTTGCATTTCTGACCTATAAAGACCAGAACTTTTATTTCTGCAGGGTGTGCTCTGTAAAGCCTGCAGACGTGGTTTCATCACCAACAGCTGTGTGTGTATATGAGTGTGTGTGTGTCTTTGCATGTGAGTGTGTGTCTCCAGAGCGCTGTGATTTGTGCTTGCAGCAGCCTGGGTCTCATCCAGACAATAAGTTTGGCAGACATAATGAGAGAACCCCCGAGTCCCTCGCACTCATATACACACACTCACACTCTCTCTCTCTCACACGCACACATACACACACACACTTGCACAAATGTTTATTTAAGTGGCTTTTGGGGACGTTACATAAACTGACATTTATTTTCTGGAGTCTTAAAACCTACCCAGCCTTGAACTGCAGCTTGTCCTACACCAACCCCCTAACCTTTACAGCTGCGCACAAAAATCAGCTTTTTCACGAGTCAGACATCAGCCGTTGTCCCAGATTGACAAAGCTGTCCCCAAATAACTGCTCTGTGGTCTGAGACGTGTCTGTAAAAGTAAGCTTAGTTATATGATGTTAATATTCAGTTTTAATGAACACATCTCTTTGACAGTTCTCTCTCTTTTGTTGTGTTGAGCTGATTTTTTAACAGAAAAGGTTCATGTTTGTGAGGATAATCATTTTTTTTAGAAATCAGGACATGACGAATCAGCCAGTCGTGACAAATCTGATCCTCAGTCTCACTTTTTGTCACAGTTTTCTCAGGATTTTTCACTTCTCAGTCTTGTTCCCATGCTTATATATTTGCAAATTCGAGTGAATCGATTGTTGGTGAGCTTAAAGTAAAGGACTTTTGAAGAACTTTAATACAGTTTTGCACAATCACAGCATTAATATGTGCACTAGCATGAGCTGCTGTTGTTGCTGCTCCCTCTCCCTTACTCATTCTCTCTCTCTCCTTCCCCCTATCTTGTTCTCTCTCTCTCTCTCTCTCCCTCTCTCTTTGTGGCTGTCTAGCATGAGTCTGGTCCTGCTCAAGCTTTCTGCCTGTTAAAACGACATTTTTCCTCGCCACTGTGACTCATCTTGGATGAGATGGGCCAAAACCCATCTTAGGTTGGGTCTTGATAAATTATCAAACAATGAGCTTGGTCTAGACCAGCTCTTGTTCTTTGGAAAGCATCTTGGTATGACCACTGTTGTGAATTGGCGCTATATAACTTAAATTTGATTTGATTGGTTGACTAGCATGTCTCAGGGAATTGCACATATAAGCGGTTTATCCACTAGCGTTGTTTTCTTTGCACTGGCACCACTCAATACCTCGGTTTTAGAGCACCTCTCACCAGTGCCCAGGGTCACAGAAGTGGTCCAACTTAACATGCAGCTCAGATGTTGTGTCCTATAGTGCCATTAGCAGAGATTCACAGACCACTGCTGTCATACTACAGTGCTTTTTTCCAGCTGCATGGTTTGTTCTGCAGTGATAAAGTGTGTAGGCTGTGTCTGCTTGAACAGGTGTGTGAAAGTTAACCTACAGAGAGAAGTGAAGGCGAGTGTGCTAACCCCGACAAACTATTTTGACACTGTTAACTTGTGAGTTTTTATTTTAATTTCTGTTGAATCAACTTGATAACTATTACCTTTTGGAATATCCATTGTCTAAGTTGTAACCTGGGACTTTTCCCATCTCACGTCAGGGGAATTCCTCTTCATAGATGTAAGAAAGTAGCTTCTTTAGCCCAGCTTTAATCCTTTAATGTGTCAGATATCCTCTGTTTCTTCTCCTGTCTGTGCTTTGGCTCGAGCACAGACGTCTGGTTTTGCAGAGCAGCTCCCTGCATGTCTCTGTGTGGGACTTTGAAGGGGCTCAAAACTCCAGCTGTATTCCTCAAGATTGATTTTTATATATGAGACATGCAAAAGAAGCTATTTTTGTCCAGTATTAGATCATATAGACGGATTATGGACTTCCTCGTATAAAGCTTTTACTCTTGAAGAGATGTTTGCTTTTTGCTCAGAGTAGCTCAAGGCTGCAGATTTTGAAGCAGTAAGACGATTGTTTCTCTTCGTTCATTTTACATGACCCGACTGCCAGCGAGGCCGTCTAGTCTCTACCTTTTTCTCAGCTTGACTTTTGCCTGCAGCAGTATCTGACGTAGGAAACGATAAGTACGAGAGTGTGTCCAGAGCCTGACGACATCAGAGCTGCCTGCCAGAATCTGTCTGCACCTCTGTGTGTGTGTACCAGAGGATGACAGCAGGGCTAAGATTGATGCACAGCTGATGAACAAATGTCGCTGGAATATAAATTGGACTAACTTTCATGGGAATATGACTCTTCATTTGTGTGAGTGTGCGGAGCGTGTCAGAAGTGGGAGTAAATAATTCATGTGCGGGTTACAGTCAGAGGCAGAGAAGTGGGTCAGAACTGCAGTTTAGTGAGTTGGACAGTTGTGGGGATCGGGGGGAAACGAGAGGAGGAGGACATGGATGGATGAAGTAGATGAAAGTATTATAAGTGAGATTTGTCATTTTCAACCACATATCTAGAAAAGTTTGGGAAATCTGCAAATTTAAGTTCACTTTCTTTAATCGTTGCATGCCTTTAAATGCATTTTCTTGCAGACGTGGGTGTTTCTCAGAGGAAGTTAATCCCATTTTTTTGGAGTTTCTCTCACCCCCTGTTGTGGCTCAGAGGTCTGTACCTTCTGTTTAGTATGTGCATGGCATAGCACAGCTCTCTGTTCTCTCTGTGTGATCTGAGTAGCAACACTCAAGTTGTGCATCAAGCTGTTAGTGTATGCATGTGTGTGTGTGCGCACTTAAAAGGCTAGCTCAGACCCGTCCTCTCTCCCTGGGGGTATGTTTGGGGTTCTTATTTAGACCCTCTCCTTCACAAAGACCCACTTCCCCCAGGAGGCCCCTCTGGCCCCTTGCTTTGCACCCACTGACACACACACCTACAACACACATATGCATCAGTGTGGGCAAACATGCACTAAGTACACACCTTCTCTCCATGCACAATTGCTGAAGCACACATAAACATGCTCAAGCATACTTTCGGTGGCCGGATTGGAGGTTGTGACAGGAGTGGCCTCGGGTGATTGAGTGCTTCCTGGTGAAGGTCAGGTTGAAGGGAAGACTTTTTTGGATGGAGGAGAAAGAAGGGGGGATGGGATGGACAGGAAAGGAGATGAATGAGGGGAATGAGGGGATAGGAAGGAGAGGGAGTGAAAAGGTTGTTGCACATGACCTCAAGGAAACAAGTCAAGCCAGTCAGCATCTACTGTTATTCTTCTTGAGCTTTGGTGCTGACTGAGAGTGTGATAAAAAACCTCCGCAAAGAAATAATAAATGGACGACGGAAAGGGGACATGGGAACAGGTCAGATTTCAAAGCAAGATGATGCTCCAAAACTGTAAATCCTGTTCAGCATTAGTGGTGCCATCCATGAAATGGGTTCTTGAGAAACCTGTTACCATCATGAATGCTGGATTTGCACTTTGATCACATGTCAGGTGGTCAGGATGTGGTGTCCATGATTTCCGAAAAGAAGATCAAATTTTGATCAGGGGAGTTTTCCATTTTGAATAAACCTATGAGGTGATTTCCACTGCAGAGTCATGTCTATTTTTAGTGCAATCTCCCTGAGAACTTCAAGACCATCCTGTTTTGGTTTGTCAGACTTGCCCCTTTTCATCCTTTCATATACTGTAGATGATAAAACTTATGAACATTACTCTGAAGCCTTTGCTCACACACTCTCTCACAGTGGTGAATCTCTTCCTGTCCTTACTTCTAAGGAACCCACCAACCTGTTACAAATTAACATAATGACTCCTCCTCTAGGGGTTTTCTTAACTATTGCACAACTTTTTTAGGGTTTCATTGTCCCTGTCTGAACTCTGAATTGTTTTAGCGTAAACCTCTTCCTGATCTGAGTTTTCAGCTACTGCTTGTTGAAATTAAACTGAAAGCTGATATTTCTGTACATTCCCATCATATATGTTGAGAAGAACTGCAGCTAAGTCCCAGCAAGACCTAAAAAGGCACCAAAGAATGTGTGTCCACCATGTGCAGGCATTCATGAGTGGGTGTGTGTGTGTGTGCACGCGCGTGTGTGGAGGCTCTCCAGTGGAGTTTGAGAAGCTGTCGCGCTATAAAGAGAAATACACACAGATGTAAAGTGTGTGTACAGCAAGGACAAAGAAGTGTGGGTCGGGAAGTGTGTGTGCATGTGTAAGTGTGCAATTACTATCCTATAATAGCCTATTTCTAGCCGTCTGTCCAGATTTCAAGTGCAGCCTGCCAGGAAGTGTAATTTCCTGCCCAGGAGACTGATTCAGCAGCATCCAGCTGTTGTGTTTGTGAGAGAAAGGGAGACAGTAAGATGAGCTGGCCGCCTGTTTTTTCCATAAGGCTCTTTAATAGTTGTTTTTCCAGGTGCCAAACTCCCCGCCCTCCCCCTGCCAGCCACCTCCCCCCGCCCTCAAACCCACCAATCATTCCTCCAGCCCTCCCTAGTTGCTCTTTTTCAACACTTTTGGGCTGAAAACTCCAGCTCCATAATTCCCCCAAGAGCTCACAATGTATCATGTGTCCACATTCTTAGTCCAAGTTGTATTAACCTTTTTTGTTGTTGTCTCTTCCTGTGGTGAGTCTGGAAATCCTACATCATCTTGTTTTAGCACTCAAAGTTTTTTTTAAATTCAGTCATTTTCTTATATAGTAGCTTTTTGTTTTTATTTGCATGTTAAAAGTAAAAGAGTAAATCAATCACACTTTTGAAATTCAATTTCCCTGTGATGTGGATTCAGCCTGCAGTGAGCTTGTACTGTTGGCATTAAGCTTGAGTTATGATTGCATGTGTGGTTGTGGTTATAGTTGTTCCGCCTCACCACAGTACTATACTTAATGTGTATGATCATGGAGTACATATGGATATACATATGTAGGAGGGTAAATCTGTAGGGAATGTGTCGTCTCTATAGTGTGAGAGAAAGAAAAAATTAATGTAAGATGGGAAAGTGTGAGCTAATGCATGGGGAAAGATAGATAACTGCACAAATTGTTTACACTCTACACAAGCATCAAAGGCCCATACGGAGTTGTGATTTGTGGTGTTTTTGTGTTTGTTTTCTTCAATTTGCTAGATGCCTCTTTCCCTCATGTTCTGTTGTTCATTTCTATGCTGTTTTTCCACTACTCATCCTCTTTGGTCAACCATTTCACCACAAATCTTGAGTTTTGTGTTTGACAGGAGCATTACAAATACAGATACGCTTGAAAATTGACATTTCTGAGTCATTGTCAACAATGACGGGGTGAAATAACTTAATAATGTGCCAGATGTCTTCCTATAAGAGTGATCTGGTTGTCCCTGGCATCACTCTTGCTTTTAAAGATAGTTAACCTGTGTTATAAGGTTTTAACCAATCAGAATCAAGTATTTTAACAGTAATTAGAGATTAGTAAGAAATATAAAAAGTATGTCCAGAAGGAACACTGATACCTCACTTTCACTGCCTTTTTTTGTGTTTGTTCATGTTTACACTTGAGAAACTGAATAGATTCAACAGCTGATGAGAAAAATACATCTAAACTGTCTGAGCGGTGTAAGTGTTAGCTGAAAAACCGGATTTGAAACACACAAAAGCAACAGGTGTTTTCTCCTGAAACACCCACCTCTGTTTTTTCTTGGTTGTGATTTCTCTGTGGGAAACTGTTTGAAGTTTCACCGTGACCAATGAGTGAGCCACATCTTTTTTTCTACTTTGCCTTCTCAGCCCTTATATCAGCTGTTATCTGGATGATGGTTAGAGGGAGAATGTGTTACTCATACGTTTGCACTTACACTCATGTCGATCCACGTTTTGATAAGTGTCTTAACGATTTACTTTCTCTCCCTCTGTTTTCCCTTTCCTCCTATCCTCCCTCCCCTTTTCTGCTGACTCGCAGGTGGTGTCCTCCTGTCAGAAACACACTCTTCCTCTGACACATGGCTGACAGTGAGATCTGGAAGCGCTGAGAAAGAGTTTGGGAGTGACACACACGCACCAGAAGAAAGAAAGAAAGGAGGCAGCCGGCCATCTGTGGTCGGTCCCCTGCTACTCTGCAGCTGTGTTGGAGCAAGCAAACCATTCTCGGCTCCATCAGGACTCTGGAAACAGCAGACTGAGACAGCAGAGTTCTTGCTCAAGGTATGAGCCTTAGCTGTAGCAATGTTAAGACCTCGCTTGCTCTGGATTAGGCCCCTGGGGCTGCTTCTTTGGACGGATGGGTGACACCCCAGCTGGATCCTCTACTGTCGCCAAGCTCCATGGCTATCATTAGTGGCTAATGAACTGCTGCTAGAGAGGAAGCACAGAAGGAGCCTGTGGAAAGAGGAGGAACCTTACAGCTGTTATTAGGAGGCCCAGAGATCTCTGCGAAGGAATTTCTTTCCTCTTCACAAGTGGAACCCTTAAAGCACGACCAAGGAGAAGCATGTAGGGATATCAACTTTGGAAGTCAGTGTTGGTTTACATTTTTTTCAGCTGTTGACTGTCATGTCTTTTTTATTTTTGCTGTAGAATTGAAGACCCTTGACAAATGTCAACATGTAGTTAATTTATATCTTTTAGCTACAGATGATTCAGTATTTTGACTTTTTTAACTCCCAATAGGATTTTTTCTCAAGCTCTTTTCTTTTTGGATGACTTTTTTGCTATTTTTGACCTTTCTATGCCCTAAAAAAATATAGGTCACCATGGCAGCAGCCTATCGTGTTGTGGTAAGCAGTGTAAGCTGCTACAACAGTGTGGTAGTAGACCGGCGCACTCACTCCCATGCAGTGCATTACTGCTCAGGGCCATGTGGGGCGCTGTCCCAAGGACTGGACTGCACTGTCGCACACCGCGGCACTTGCTCTGAGCTGCTAGTTGCACCTGACCCTCCCTACATTGACCCAAACAGCTTACAAATACACTCACATAATATGATCACTCAGCTAATCCCCAATCATGGTAAGACTAGTGTTACCATGGAAACGAGTTATAATGGTAGTTTAGAGAGGGCAGGCAGCAGCGGTAATTTGTCTTTAGGAGAGGATAGCCCAACATGGCGTGGGAAAAAGAATCCCTGTGCCGGAGGATCGACAGGGAACTTGGCCTCCACTGGCAGTTTGAAGGACATTACTGAAGAGGCCATCAACCTTGCCAGTGGTAAGCTCAAGGAGTTTTCTTTTGATAAGCTTCGCCTCTCTTCTTCCAGCCACGTCACCTTCCGGAAAGGTCGTAAAGTCCGTCCTGACTCATTTAGTCGCCGCTCCACTGACCTGGAGATCATCTATGGCCACTTCAGCTCCAACACTGCAACAAATGGGATGACTAATGGCATAACAAATGGCACAGCAACTACGAATGATGAGAACCTGCCACCGTTTGTGCCGGGGAAAGGAACATGTTTGGAGGAGACAAAGCTCAAAAGCAGCATAAGCACTTTGTCATCAATCACCAAAATGGGAGGTGGATCAACAGGCAGCATATCGAGCATTGGGTCTTTGGACCAAAGTCTAAACACTGTTGCCTCCCTGTACCGCAATGCCCTTGGAGAGGAAAATTTGATTGCCCGTCTGCTGGAGAAGACACGAGGAGAGGCTGGTACTGGGGGAGCAGGTGGTGAGGACATTCGTGCTTGCCTCGACATCCTGTTAAAATGTTCTGAAGACCTTAAGAAATGCACCGACATTATTAAGCAGTGCATCAAACGGAAAGCTGGTGGAGGCTCAGAAGATGGAGGAGACAGTCCTGACAGTGTTTATCGGGCTGTGATGACCCGACTCAGCTCATATTTGAAGAGACTACCTCTGGAGCTGGAGGGTATTGGAAGTTTGGGTGGCAGTGGACAGGGCGGTCAGAGCTCACCTGGAAGTGGGCACAGCGATCTGGCTGAGCTGGTAAATACTCTTCACTCCATCCAGCAAGGACCGTACTCGCCAATATTTGGCAATGAGCAACCTCCTCGATACGAGGATGTGGTCCAGTCCCCTCCAAGTCCAAAGACTGTTCCTCATTCTACACCTTTTATTCCATCCTCTATCTCATCTTCCTCTTCAGCTTCTTTGAAATCAGACTCCATCCAAAGCAAACCAGTCCAAAGCTCCCCGTCCAGAGCCAGTCCACTCACCAATGGACTACAACATTCACACTCTTCTTCTATCACACAAAATACCCTTTCTCCTCCATCCATCACATGCACTCCATCCAGTATCTCTCCAGCACACACTCCCTCCCCTCTTCGAACATCCCCAACCCCACCATACTCACAGACTCCTTCGCCATCCCCCATGGAGGCTCTGTACATTGAGGAGGAGGAAGCAGACATGGACAAACCAACAGAACAAATCTTGCTACAGGCACACACTCCAACAAGAGGGTTGAACACAAATGGGACAACTTTGGGTCAACATCTCAACCTGTCCCATCCACAAACACTCAATAATTCTTCAAATACTTTGTCTTCTGGCTCTGCCTACAGTCCTGCTTGGTCTTCTTCACCATCATTAACAATCTCAGCACCCAAAGCTGTCTCTCACAGGAACGACGACATTGACAAGCTGCTGATGGACTTGGAGAATCTGTCCCAAAGCATGAGCCATCCCAGAAAATCAGAGCCCCCACTTCCAGCTAAAACTAGAAAGAGAGATGGAGGCCAGGGAATGATTTTAGGCGACCCTTTTGCTCAACCCAAATTGTCCCAGTTCCAAGTCCAGATGCCAGACAGTCAGTTAACTATGAATGGCCCTAGCTCCAGGATTCCCCAGATTCTCACCCCAGCTCAGGAGGAGAACAGTGAGGCTGTGGTTGGAGAAGAGGAGGACGGGGCACTGCTGATGAGGATTCTGGAGAGTATTGAGAGTTTTGCCCAGGAGCTGGTGGATTCTGGGGCGGGGGACACAGGGAGTGCTGAGAGGAAAAGCGGGAAGGAACGGGAGGTGATGAGGCTCTTACAGGACACCCTGGCAACGACTGGCAGGGCTGACATCCCTCTGGAGAGCATAAACCCACCAGAAGCTCCTTCCATGCACACAATTGCAGTCCCAGCTATACCCCCAAAACAGTCTCAGGCAGTTGCACCTGGAGCTTTACCTACCCTGACACTTATAGCTGCAGAATCTGAAGAAGTGGGTAATACAACATCTGTGACTGTGACTAAAACTACATCTGATGTTACCCCCAAAGTTTTGCCTCCACCCTTACCTGAGCCCACAACTGAGGCTACAGATAGACTTCCAAATGCCTCCACAGATGGTCCTCATCAAAAATCCACCCTTGCAACTGCAAGCTTGCATTCCTCCACTCATCCGGCACCTACTGCTGCACCTGAAGCTCCAGCCCCTGTTGTCGTCCCGGCTGTGGTCACGGCAAGAGATGATGCAATCGCTGTTGATGATTTGGCTGCAGGGAGAGAAGTTGGTGCAACCCTCCTCATCCAACAGACCCCAGAAGTCATCAGGGTAAGTGAAAGACTCACCTTAAAACTTGTGTCAGGTGTCTAATTTGTTTTGCAAAATTTGGCTAAAGTTAGCAGAGCTAGCACCACCATCCTCCTCACAGGTTGATACAGTCATCAGTCATCTCTACCTGTTTGCATCCAGGTAGTAGAGCATTCATGCAGCCATGATTAACTGGAGCGCCATTCCTAGCAGTGGCAGGTGGCTTAGACACATCATATGACCTGGGTTTTGGGAATATAATACTCAAGTAATTTGTTGATCTGGTGCCAGCTAGCAAAAGTGACATTTTTAATTGTATTATCACCGAAACATACTTTTCAAGTTCTGTGGCAGCCATCTTTGGGCTCCACAAGGCCTCTTTAAAAACCAGTGGGTGATATTTTTGGGGACTATGTCTGTGTTTTATTCAGTCTCTTGGTATAACACTTAACATTTTGTGATTTTACAGTAAATTCACGTAACTGTAGCCGAACTTCAATACTCATCTCAAAAGACGACTTAGCCGTCAATATAAATTCAGACCGTGGATCATTATGCAGTACTTAATTATGTATTTCCCTGTTGCCATGGAAGCAAATACATGGGCACTTTGATAATAACTGACTGACAGTTTAACAGAAGCTGAGAAGCAGTGAGTGACTGTCAGCGTTAGATTGAAAACAGACAAAAACTCCTTCGCTGTCATTACATGTTAGATAAAACACCCTGGTGAGGATTTAATTGCTGTGACACAACGGGGTTGATGCGGCAGTAATTGATGGTCCGTGATGAATAGTATTCATTAACTGTGATGAACACGCTGATACAGTTTCCCCGTCTTGGGTTGAATGAAAAGACTGGTGCTTTAAATCCTGAAACAGACTGGCTCATTGTGTGGTAGGAGTGGCTCTTTGTTGACTTTTCCTGGTTTTCTGACTTTTGTTTAGAACTAATTGTGTGTATACGAGTGAGTGTGTGTTTGTGTGTGTGTAGGTATTTGTGTGTGTTGGCTCTTCTTTCCACCCCAGGGAATATTTAGAGGTAATTTAGGGTTGAGCTACAGAGGGAAGGAGAGGTTAAGGAGAATTGTGTTCCTTTGTGTGTGTGTGTGTGTGTGTGTGTTTGTTTGTGTGTCGGTGTTCAGACGCACACACAGGGGGGGTTACTTCTGCTTGTCTCTAATGTGGGTGTTTAACAGCACTCTGTAGATTTAGGTAATTATCTATGACAGACAAATAGACACCCACACAGAAAATCAAATCGGCACTGTTTTCCTCTCCATCTCTCGTTCGCTCTCTCCTTTTTTTTGCTCTATCATCATCCTTCCACTTCTTCTCCATGCTCCTGCTGCTGTTTTTGTGAGTGTGTGTTTATTTACTGAGCTGTGTAACCTTATGCCCTGCTGATATGTAGGGCGCCTATTTATGAGGTTACCATGGTAGCTGCCACAGAAGGGGGCAGAACATCCAGAGCCTGAACACATCATTACCAACACAACTTATTCCTCCTCCGTCCTCTCCTCTTTCCGCTGTTTTTATGTTTTGCTCTTTCGCCTCCACATTTTGTGTACTCTTAAGCCATAATTGCACATTTCATTCCTCCTCTCAACTTTTCCCTCTTGCTGCTGCGTCTTTATGCTTTTTGTTTTTTCTCTCCATGTCCTTCTTTCACCTGAAGTCAAAGTTCCAGTCCATGTCGACTACCACTTCACTTCTCCCCCTGTCCCCTGATTGGCTGCTGTGTTATTTTGGGAGCGCTGAATAACAGTTGTTGCCGTGTGGCGGGCAGAGCAACCCAATAAGTGGTGCTGATTGGAGCACAGCGGGAGCGGGGCGGACAGGGCGGGCAGGGCGAGGTGGGGTAGGAAGTGGGGGGCACAAGTTGGCACACAGCAAGTGTTAACGGTATCGTTACGCGCCAAACCCCTCCACCCCTGGCAGACATAGGTGTGAGGGAGACCTAAATCTGTCCACTGCGCCGTACTATGGCATCCTGCTAACAGACTCACTGTCGCCACAGTGTAAATGGACCTGTGCGCGTGTTTGTGGATGTGTGTGTTTGGGTGTGTGACTGTGCCATATTTTTTGTGTCTATCACATGTATCCAGTCCGTCAAACATGTCCAAAAGTCAACATATGTGTGTGTATCTATAGAAGTGTTCATGCATAGTTGTATCATAGCGGAATTTTTTATGCTTCTGCACCTGCCAAAGCTTGTGCGTGTTTGTGTGTCTGTTAGTTGGCCCAAGGGTAAGTTGACCCAGAGCTACTGTGGGTCACAGCTGAGTTTGGGAATAGCTCCCTGACACCCAATCCCATCGCTGGCACTCTGGAAATTATGCTAATATTCCCAACCGCCAATCCCGCCTCCTGCCTCAGCTTCACATTAAACTGCCAATCAAACTACAAACTAGCCAAGCCCCCTCATGCACAAGCGAGCGAATGCCCTTGTACTCCCAAACATGTCTAGTCTCACACTCCACCTGAGGAGATTTGTAGCTGTGTTTTTCTTGGCACTGCCTCAGCTTTGATGGGAAGCTGTGCTAAGCCCTCTGGGATGACACCGGCCTCAGGCAGCAGCATCCTCATCTGGGCGTACGTGTGTGTGTGCAGTGTGCACGCACGTGTGTTATTGTTGATTCTGCTGCTGACAGACTAATACAGGGCTTTCTGCACCTGTCAGAGCAGACCCATTAATCTCCATGGAGACAAGAAGCCAGCTGATATAAATCAGAAGCCAGTCCATAACAGTCAAACTCAGAGTGATGCTGCAAGGAGAGTCGACTAAATCTGTTAGTGTTACTCGAGGTCAACGGCCTTCAGAGGCTGTTTGTTGGACTTTCTCTTCATCTGTCTCTTTGGAAGTACAAGAGGAGGTATTTTAGAGCACATTTTTCTCCACCTAAATCTGACCTGTATGTTCTTGTTTCGGGGAGGTTGTTTCACTCCATCAAACATGATTTACAGACACATGTACCCTTCCTGGCGGGGCTGACAGTCTGATGGCTTCATTAACCTACGGCTCTGTTGAGTGTTATTGCCAACTGCTCTGGATGTGTTGCTAGGCTGAAATAGTGCTGGTCAGTTAAGGCCAGTGTTAATGTGCACTGGAGGAAATTTGGTGTAAAGGATAACGCGGACATCCTCCACTGAAAATAGAACACATTGTGGGGTGGCATCTGGTAACATGTCTATTGCCAAATTGAACCATGGCATTCAGTGGAGATAAATGCAGGGGCAGTACAACAACATTTTAAGGAGTGAATGGATCCTTGTATTAGAAAGAGACTGAACATTATAATCGTTTAGTCAATGGATTCATTAACTAATCAGCCAGAACTTCTAATTTAGGCCATTATTGAAGGAGACATACCTTATTTCTGCCTTTTATTATCATATTTCTTATCATAAGAAATAGCTGTGATGATTTACTGCTCAAAAAAACTCCTTAAAAATCTGTCATAAAACGCTTCAATTTGGCTACTTTTCCTGTCACATAAAATTGGACACAGCTTGTGGGTGTCCCCATTATAGCTATTGTAATATAACTGTAGATCTTATTTTACTTGCAGCTTATTGTTCCAGCGAGCCTCAATAACAGTTCCAGGTTTCGTTCACTCAGTGCATTTACATGCACAGCTTAATCGGACTAAGCTCATAATTCCTTTTTTTCCCACCGAATCTGACTTCTCTCCTTGTCCGCGTACATGCAGCTGAGAAAATCGAATTATTGACGTGAACCTTTTTAAAAGATGTCTTCGTTCCTCATCTTGCGACCGTCCATATACTTTAAAATGTCCATTTATGTCTAAAGCATGACGGCGCTCTCCTCATCATTTCAAAACTGAACATCCTTTCATGCTTCAGCTATGTTGCAGTTGCTTCTGAGTCGAAAGTTCTTTAAATGATAGCGCTACTTCTTCTCTGGCGTTTTTGTTCCGGGGTTACGGAGGCGTGGCATGACGCACATGCATTATCTAATCATACTCTGACTACACTGTTTACATGGTAGAGAAAATCGAATTCCAATCGCATTATCTGGGTGTCTTGATCAGAGTTCTCAGACTCCAATTATAGTTAGACTAAGGTGTTTACATGCACTTTAGTTGTCTGGTCTTAATCAGAGTAAGGCAATCATTCAGTTTTCTCGGGTGTTATGTAAAAGTACTAATGTTGTGATGCAAATCCAGCTTGTTTCAACCTTTTTGTCTACAGAGAGGTCATCAGAGAAATCGCTTCCCAGTTTTCAAGTGGGCGTGTCCTTGACCAAGCTACCAAGTGGACTTGTCCTTTGGGATTGTCCTAACAGAACGGCACAACTTGACATCAGGTCTTGCTGTAGAGGAGTCAGAAAACATGTCTGATGATTACACCTGCGTGAATAAACATCATGTTGGATAATGTCAGCAGAGCTAGCACCAGCAGCTTTGGTCCTCTTTGCAGGTTCAAGTCCACTTTCCAGGGTTCCTACACAAGTATGGAAAATATGGAAAAGTGTGAATAAATCTGAGCAATTTCCAGGTCTAAAAAAGTATTGAAAAGGAAAAATAAAGTATGGAAAAATATTTATGTTTCCAGACTATTACCACAGTTCTAATATACTGTTTTCTAAAATAGGAAAGTAGGTATTTCCAAAAGTAATTCCAAAAATTTGGGTATGGAAAAGTATTGAAATTCCAACTGAGTAGGAAGCCTGACTTTCCTGTGTTGGGCACACATTGCTCTGGATCTCTATGCCAGGTTATAAGATGGCATCTGTCATCTGTGCTTGAGCTTATTACGCGCAGCCTTCGCTTCAACTTGACCCAAACAAACCTCATCTGTAAGTCAGTGCTTCTCTGGTTGACTTACCTCCCCCGTATTTACTATTCAGCTGAGGAAGGAACTGCAGACCCTTTAAAGTAGAAATCTGCTCCCTTTTGGCAAGAGGAGCCTTAAAAACAGTAAAGGGAGAACAAGGAGACTGAAAAGCAGAAAGAATGAACGTTTGTGTGGGACAGCAGGGGAGGAAAGTTTCTTTATCGGAGGAGTTCACTTTAAAAAAAAAAAAAAAGCAGAACCTCTTAGGGAGTCAGAGAGAAAGAAGAACAAGTAGAGATGAGGAACAAAGTGGAGAAAGAGAGTCATGGTTCTGGGGAAGGGGGGATGCAGGGGATGAAGGGAAGAGGAGGGGGGGAGATCCTGCAGCGTACTGTTGTTGACTCTGGGTCGCTGAAGATGACATCATTCCTCGGCTGCTTCCACAGGAAATAAGGTCACAGCAGGAACCTCAGCCAAGCAGGGAAAGACTGTTTCAACCTAGGTGCACAACACAAAGATGAATGCATTCATTTATATATATACACACGCGCACGCACACTCAGTGGCACAATGCAGCCCCAGACAGAGGCTTATGTTGCTATGTGAGAGGACTTTTCCAATACCATCCAAGGTTAGCGTGGACAATGGAATATTCACCACCCCACTCCTCGATTCACACACACGCTCCACTTTCAAGCAAGTGACAGTATGATTCACCACTCCCAGTGCAGGCTGGGATATCATCCAACTGCTGTTCTCAGAGCACTGCGCTGTGATGGAGTGTGTAAACCTCACACATATGCTTTTACGCACACACACACTCGCACACATCGAAGCCTGACTTTTATCATCTGAAAAAGTTTGTAGCTCAGTGGGAGGCATTGCTGTGTAACTCTTTGGGCCTCCCTCTTATCGCCATGGAAACTACCACAACATGTTTATAGGCAGTAGGAAGCTGGTTGGACTCCCCTACCCCTGAATATCAGTTGTGCAATCGCAATGACTGATGGGATTCCCCTCACATTATCGCAGCATCAGGGGAGATAAAATAGAGAGTGGATGTGTTTTAGGATTTTTGGATCACTCTCGGGGTGTAGCCGTGTCTGTTTATTTCCTTGTGAAACTGTTTGCCAATTTTCCAGAACATCAAGACTTGGTATAAACATGGGCGTCCTCAGCCCCCACCCACCCACCCACTCATCTCCCTACAGTCTCCCTACTTGACCCCACCCTACCTCCTCCTATAAAGTTACTTTTCACCCAGCTCCACCCAAACTTCAGGGGGGTTTCTGCAGAAAACTTTTCATGTGTTTGACCTACATTCTCACAAGACGTAATTCATTCTAGATTCAACAGAAGTTTTATACTCCTGTAATCTCCGCCCAATTAGACGCAGTATTCCTTTATTTGTAGATCCATTAAAACAGAGTAATAGCTCTCTAATCTTTTGGCGTGTCACATAAGAATATGAATCAGAGTATTTCAAACTTTGATCCTCTTTTTGGTGAATTATCAACTTAAAGTTTCTCATCGCACTCTTCCGCTCAGGTTGATTTAGGGATTTTTGCTCTGGAGTAAGATGGTGTAAAAGTCAAGAGGATTTTGGGCAGCAGAAAACAGCATCCAGGTTCACCTTTGGGGCTTGAACATATTACAGTTTAGACCCAGTAACAAGCAGAGAGCTGCTTCCCTCTAGCGTCCTTCAGCCTCTACTGTATATAGGTTACTGTGTCTGATTGCTGGCCACTTCAACTTTTCATATAGAGAGGATCTACAGCTCCATCTGCAGGACAGTTCGTGAACTAACAGCAATTAAATTTGACTCATTTGCTTTCATGTGCTCTTTGATTTCTTCAACTGTAAGTTTTTGTTTAGTTACCTAAAGAGGGAAAAACTCTTGTGATATAATGCGGTTGCAATCTTACGTAATTGTGACTGAAAGAGTTTTTTGTTGAGTGTCTTGAGATAACGTTTGCTGTGAATTTGACCTATCGACTGGTTGATTGATATATCAAAGGTGCAGTTAAGTGGGCACTTCCTAATGCATGATCTACTCCCGGAGGCTTATATATTTCCTCTGTCTATTCTTAGTGGCTCTTCCCAGTGAAACAGAGAGGAAACAGGAGCTCCTGCGCTGCCATTGGCCGATGCCAAAGTCTCTCACAGCTCTCCGGCTGTGGCTCCAGTCTGAGGCCCATCACAATTGCTGATGTAGCATTAGCTCACTTACTCCAAATCCCAAGATAGCCATGCTAGGGTAATGCAAACCTTGCCATGAAAGCCATGTGTATAAATAAAAAAAGCCAAGCAGGCTAATGAAGGCCTGGAGTTTGTTGTCATTTCGATAACTTGTTGACAGCCCCCCCCCCCTCCCTCCCGCTGATGGAGGTGCTCTACTGGGGCTGTTTTTTAACTTTCTTTGTTTGTTTTTCTGGTGATGTAGCCAAGCAACTCTCCAAGGCAGAAGAGAGAAACATTAAAATAAAGATCTTAAAAGAGGGCGGTATCACACTTCTGTCTAATTTTACATCAAACATTAAGCAGAGTCATTACATAGCAATGCTAAATGTGGGCAAAGTGAAGTAAACGTGTGAAGGAGTGATCTCAGGCTGAGTCTGCAGGCCGCTCTTAATGGCTTTTCAAGAAGTCACACAAGGACTAAGCGAGAGCCGCATAAGTTTGGATAAAATCACGAAACCACTGATTGGTAAATCTCCATTTCTGTTTTTGTTGCTGGAGATTTTTGTCCCTTTTCCAAACTTTCCAGACCAGATTTGAGGTCCGACTCATCTGGGGAAAAAGTCAACCTAATAATGACAACTTTGGAGCATGGTAACAGTGGAGAAGGATTCCAGAGTGAGGCACCAGCCTTTTAGCCCTGAATCGTGTAAGGCTGCTAACAACGCTGTCAGCAGGAGTTAGATGGATTTTTCTCCTAGTCGTCCGGAGATAATAAAACCCACAACAAATACTCTTTGTTGTCTGTTTGGGTTGCATATCTCTGACAATATTTGCTTAGTCACAGACTGAATGGATTTTAACGTCAGATGCTGCAGATTTCTACCGGCAGCTGTTGCTAGTAGCAACATAATGTTCACCTCAAATCAACTGGTGTCTGCAGAGACTCGCTGTTATAAAACAAGAGTCTCATCAGAGGTAGTTAAAGGTTTTATGATTATTCTGTGACGTTTTTACTCCAGCTCAGCCTCTGCTCCCACTCAGACAGCCACAGCAGCTGCTTCTTTTACTGCACCCATGTTACCTCCTCTGATTCGGATGTGAGGTCGACCGTGGCCAACACCGATTCACTTCATCTGACACACACGCAGCACTTCAGCTCACTTCATTCTCCACAGTGGAGGGAGGAGGTTCCCAAGGCGACTTTGTGTGTGTGTTTGTGCGTGAGTGTGCGTCCTTCTTGAGAGGAAGTGAGACTGGGAATAAAGAATCAAGCAGGGATGTGAACTGCGTTTCCTGCTGTTGGCACGGTAACCCTGGGAGCATTCCACCCGCCACTCAATCCAGGGAAAGGGTTATCGCCATGGAGATGGCATTTGGCAGGCCTGGTCTAAAGTGAGCGTGTGAGTATGTGAGTGTGTGTAAACTCACAGGGGTTGGGGCAGAGGGGTGGTCTAACAGGTTCAAGTTTAAACATTATTTAACTCAAACTGTTTCACAACAAGCATGAAAAAATAACAGGCCATAAAAATATAACAGGACACCTTTCCCATGCTGTCATTTCTCATTTATGAACCTGTAAATTCATTAATTTATTTGATGTTTTATTTGTTAAAGGAAAAGAAAAAAGAAGATTGAACTATAAAAATCAACAAAAAAAAATTTAATTTTTAAAAAATAAATTAATCTCCACCATAAACTGTGCAAAAGAAATTAATTAATAAAACAGGTGAAATATATGACACCGAATATTACAGTAAAAAAAATTTAAAATAAAATGAGACAAAATAGATAAAAAAAACTTGAATTTAATTTTTTTCAATACCTCAAAAAGCTCATTAAAGTTTGGATCAACCATAGACTTTATATAGTATGGACAACTTGGTTCCGCCTCCCGCCTGTATACGGTTTTGACGCCAAAAAGCTCTCGGCATTTCCTGAAACCAGCGCTGCGCAGTAGCGTTGTGCACATTCGGCGGGAGAGTCGCAGAGTCGGTGTGATGACGCTCGGCTCAAAAAGTGTATCCCCCGGGAGAGCTACGCAATCCCTGAACGCCCATAGGCTGTATCAGGTGTCAATCATGGAAAACGTGAACCCCCTAATAACTTTTAAAAACAGAGCTTTACAGAAAAAAGAGGACTTGAGCACAAACCGGTCTGACAGTAACTTCATGTCAACATCACAAGAAGGGGGAAGAAAAATGTGTGTGCTGTGTAATAAATTTCTAAAGTTTGTCCACAACCCCATAAGCTTTGCTGGTGGAGGCGGGATTTATGACCTATACTGCAGCCCGTCACCAGAGGGTGCTGTTCTCGGAGTGGCTTCACCCAGCAAGGAGGCAAACACTGTCCGTTCTATATACAGTCTATGGGATTAACCTGTTAAAGGTTTTATTGAATTCATGATCACAGCTCTTTTAATTGATATGTAAATCCACCTCACTGTGTATCTGATTCCTTCTGTGTTTATTCCACATGTTTAGCATTCACACCATTGTGTGTGAAGTCTGCCCGGCGCCTGCAGCAGAAATAAACATGAAATGTGTTTCTATATTTACACAGATAATTTTACACACTGCAGCAAACCCCTCTTGACAAAACAGGTGTGTGTGTGTGTTCAGGAAGTTGTTATGTTCACACTATTTAACCTCCCTGAAAGCCTGGAAGAAGTAGTTCCTGTTCGCCCCATCTATCAAGGGACACCACCACCACCCCCCACTTTCTCCCACACACACACACACACACACACACACACACACACACACACACACACACACACACACACACACACACACACACACACACACACAAATACCATGCCAGGCACATTTCACACATAAATCAACGCATGTGTGCTAATTAATCCCTGCAGGAGAGCATGTGTGCAGCCCGGTGTGGATGCAACAGTTGTTAGAGGACCACTGAGTCTCACTGTGCTCTTCCCATCATGCATCTGTTTGGTTAGTGCCGGGAGGGCTGCTGACTCACCCGTTACTGTAGCAGTGGGATGGATTAAGTCTGAGAAAGCAATTAAAGACCTTACACTCCAACGCACACTGACGTCCACCTGTTGCCCAGCCCTTATCCCCGCCCACCCTTAAAACTCATCCTGTCATGTATGTTAGACATTAAAAATAACTGAGAAATATTTACTCCTCTTTTTTAAGCTCTCTTCTGCTTTTTTATATCATATAGAGATATCAGTCGTAACTTTGGTATGTTTCATCACCGGATTAAAACTCCTTACTGGAGCTTTAAAGAAACAACTATGCATGCTCAGAGCAGGAGACTGATCCAGGTGTAGAGTTTAGATTTTCTTTTCGTTAAAGTGAATAAGAACCACATACAAATATATGACTCAGTTTCTCGGTACTAATAAAACTAATGATCTGTTATGCAAAAAGATCATATTACGCCTTATGTCATGCTACAGATAGATTGGAATTAATATCAATGCATGGATGCAATGAATGGTGCTTTAGCTTTTATATATTACGTAAATAGATGGATCATGAAGGGGTCTAGTGCAGTGGGGGAGTCACTAAAGTGTTCAGCACATCTCTGATGACCTCATGTATCCCCCCTCCCCTCCAGAACAGATCGTCCCACAGGCTTCCTCTGTGTCACCTGAGCAGCTACACTCTTTTGAAGTGTCCTAAAACCCTCACTAATACTTGAAGGAGTCTTATATTAACAGATAAGAATTTTTATCCATTTTGCTGTTGTGCAAGCCAAGCAGAGGTGACTGATATTTGAAAAGACGGAGTGAAGTTTCACTCTGAAAATTTGGATGGCTGGTTTTAGGACCGAGCTGAGACTTTTGGAGAGGGCTGGGTTACAGCGACTGTCAGTCAGACAGGAAAAGAGCACACAGCTGCCTGATGGCATCTGTTCTGGCTCCCATTACACACACACACTCTCTCTTTCTCTCACAAACACACACTCACATGCAGTCATGTATCTCTTTATACAGAGATTTATGATATCATAAGTGCATCTCTGCAGTTGATGAGGTAGTGCAGAGGAGGTGATGAGAATAAACTTTCTATGATCAGACTAAGCAGCGAGAGAGGAAGGATGAGCGAGTGAACATGACACAAAATGCTGCTGCATGTCCTCATTTGTTGACATACACAAGATAGAGGTTGTATAATGCCCCCCCCCCCCCACCCCACCTGCGCAGCACAAAGTGGTCAGAAAGTAGACAATGTGTGTGTGAGTGTGTGTGTGTGTGGGATTGGTATGCGACCTTGGCTTTGGTACAGAGTCATGTTGTTCCAGAGAATTCAGCAGGGCGCACAGGGAGCTGAGAGGAGTTACCCTAAAACACGAGGTGACTCACTTCTTTTTCTGGAAAGTCATTCACACATATGAACATTTCTACATTTCCACTGAAGAGACATCTATTTTGTTGCTCATCTTTACGGTCAATGATGTAAAGATGGTGAAAAATAACAATCAGTGTGACATAAGAGGAAAAACAGAGATAAAAAAATGTCCGAAATATTTTTTAAAAATAGTCAATTTAAGGAGTTGTTTTGGATTAAAATGATCATTGCAGTTTGTTCTTTTTTATTCTATGTTGCTCTGAGACAACAACCTGAAAAGTTCCACCTGATACATCCCTGTGTGTTAGGTCTTATGCTATTCCTTTTGGCACTAGAGGGCGCTGCTTTCCACCTATGCTTCTCTAATACTCAACCACTGAGAAATTCATGTTACCAGCACAGTTAGATTCAGAGGAACTGAAGTTTTGTTTTTTATGTGATAGTAAGTTTCTTTGGAGGATAGTGTAGAGTACAAATAGATTTTGTATTAAGTGTGTAAAGTTTGTGTTTTTTTAGTTGAACAGGGTAAAAATTGCTTATCCCTGCCTGTCTTGATTGTCTGGATTCAGTTTGTTGCTGCAAGGTTTTGAAGCCTAATTTGACATAGCTGGAAAATAGCAGGATGGAAGGAGGTTTTATATTAGTTTTTTTTTTCAATTATTTATTTCCATCTTTGCCATTTTGCTGATACATTTATATCCATTCATCAGATTTCAACCTAGGAGATTTAGTGATCATTTAGGCCCCTGAAATTGAACAATTTCCAGATCATTTCCAGCTTGGATATCTACAGTGGTTTATTTTGTGCTATAAAAGGACTTTGTATTCGTGTGCACATTATAAAATACCTCCTCTTGTGCATTTCCAGTTGATAAACCCTGACCAAAACCCCCTCAGGTTGTCCTTTTAATCAATTAGAATAAAAACAGATGCCTTCTGAATGCCCCTCAGGTGAATGAAATGTAAAATACCTGCTCTCAGAATGATTATGAGTGAATAAAATGCTTTAAAAAAGTGTTAATTTGTGGAGAAGTTGTTAAAAAATTACCAATTTAATGCCCTTTTAATGGATTGGATGTAAAAAAAAAAAAGTGTCCTCCTAGTGGTTAAAACTTAAGTGTCCTTCCAGTGCCTGAAACTTAAGTGCCATTTCAGTTACTATTTGTGGAAACAATGTCGTTCAGAACGCCGCTAATTCTGCAGTTGACTTTGCAAAGTCGGCAGAAATCGTTTAGCTCCGACGTCTTCTGCGGATATAAACGATTTCTGCCGACTAACTGAAGTTCTCTGGAAATTACTTTTTTGAAAAATAACATTAAAGTGCACATTTTTGTATTTTTTCTGGCATGAAATTTCAAGAGTAGCTTAAATGTTTATCCAAAAACTGTTTTTCTTGTGCATTTTTTAAACCTCTCATCAGGGGTGACTCTTTTGACAGAGTTTTATAGGTTTTGATCTCCGATGAAGGGAAACGCAGCATCTGTCCCCCTTAAATCCAGTGGAATTACTGTATGTCATCAGATATAACAACAGGTGCTTCCCCCTCTGATTCATGAATCCATCTGAAGTATTACAGCTTATGTGTCCTATCCGCTCATGCTAAGGCTCGATGTCAGCTTCCTATCTGCAGCAGAGTTATCCAATCAGAGCGGTTTTGTCCTGTAACCTAGCTCTGCCTAACTTTAGTCAAAGACAGGAGCTGGAGAGGGCTCAGACCTGCAAAACATTACATACAGATATGCAACATGGCTGGACCCCCTTCTCACCACCCTCCCACCCCCCACCCTGAGGCTCAGGACAGCCGGTTTGCTGTGTGTGTATGTGTGTGTGTATGTGTGTGTGTTGCCAGAGCCTAGCATGGCTCATGTTTCTCAGTGCAGTTTGTCACAGCTCAGCTTGGAGCGGTAGGCACCAGTGAGTCTGAACTGAAAACATACATCCAGAGTCTTCAGGGGGACACCAGAAGGTTTCTACCCCAGAGAGGAGCTCCTGTTTGGGGGTGTGAACAGCCTTCAAGTAGCTTGGTACCACGGCTCTGTACTCCGGCCTGCATGGTCACATGGGGGTCTCCAGGAGCGTCTCTTTGCACTGATACTCTGCTGGATTACTTCTTTGGAGTTTGTGCGCACGAGGGCAACCTCGAGGAGAGAAATTTTCGGTTTAGGTCATCGCCGCGAGGCTTTTTGTGAATCAAGAGCGCATGATTCCTTTGCCAATCTCTTCCCACTGGATATCTGAGCTGTCAAGTGTGCGTCTTCCCCTCCGCTAGCAACATTTCCTCTCACTGGCTTTCCAATTATCGGGCAAGCTGGTCCATTTGTAGCTGCCGTGTCGGTAGCCGCACCAGTGGCCGTCTCCGGTGGGGGGTTGTGTGTCTCGGCCCCCACCATGATGATCAAGGAGACGTCGTTACGCCGGGACCCCGATCTGAGGGGGGAGCTGGCTTTTCTGGCCAGGGGGTGTGACTTTGTGCTCCCCTCACGCTTCAAGAAGAGACTCAAGTCCTTCCAGCAGCAGCAGGTCAGTCGGTGCAGAAAACAGGATGGAGAGCGAGCGAGTTTAGATCAAGTTCAGATCAAGTTCAGATCTGCACAGTCTGTGTGTTAGATCCGCAAGAAATGAGACCTCAACCCACTTATTGTCTTCCTCACACTTCCTCCTTGCTTTTAAACATGCTCTCTACAAGCATAAGCACACACACATGTTTATATTTCACAAACACACTCGTGCATCGAGCTGCATTCATATAGTCGCTCTCTTCCACACACACAGAGCAACATGCCGCGGACGACAAACTATTCTGAAGCAGATACCAGCGGGTTATTAATAGAGCGGGAGGAGCAGGAATAGAGTGATAGAATGAACTCTGCGAAGGGAAGAGGAGAGGGAGGAGGGGGAGGAAGAGGACCCCTACAGCTGTCCTGCTCAGTACACACAGTATGGAGGCCCTCCACCAAACACACCATGCACCAGGGAGCTCTGCTGCAGCACACTGGGTAGACTTGGCGAAGGAAGACGGGATGAAATTCATATCCTGGTTATAGTAAACAGAGATTTTCTTTGACCGTATATAACAGACAGCATGCTTCAATCTCCTCCCAGTGAGATATGAAACCAAGTTATGGTCTTGACATATTGTGTTGATGGAGTCGTAGCCGGTTTGATTCTTCAGGTCAATACCGTCCACAGCAGAAGTGATTGTTGTTGTTGAAGCAAAACATTCACAGTCATAGAAGGTTCAATGACTCTTGCGTTATCGATTGTTATGTTTTCTCTCGCTGTTCCTCCTTTACTAAAGCTGCAGTCGTCAACAGAGCTACCAATCAATCATACTGTCAAAAGAAAACAGCTGATCGAAACTGAACTACTCAGAAAAACAAACACAAGAGCTGTAATGACAGAAAGCATATACTTGGTGGGCTATACTGGGTTCCACAATGTGCGTTTTTTCTGCGCATGTGTAGCTCTTTCTAGTGCCATCGATCCACATGCTTTCACACCAGTATGTCGTAGCCTTTACTCCAGACTCGCTCTGCTGGTCTCTTTCTGAATCTCTTCAAACGAACCTGCACTCCAAAAGGTTTATTCCTCCAAAACATACAATCGTTTTCTTTACATGCATGAGGGAGTGAAGGGCGAAAATGTGGTGTTGTTAAATGTGGTCCATCTTCTTCAAGCGCCATCTTCTGGGTAAAATACCTCAATACAAGCGGATACTTATATACCTTTTTTGTATGTTTTTAATCTACTGAATTTCAAAATATTTAGCATGTGTTTTAATGTTTATGTTGCATCTGTTATGATGGAGGAGGCTGACTTTTAGGGTTGTACTACCACCTGTCACCAGGGGGAGCTCTTGCTTCACTCTGGATGGCTGTTTTTCTTGCCATGGTTTTTACACAGTTTCTTGATACTTCAGAAGACCTCAGTTCACCACAAGTCCCCTCATTTTCCAGGGAAATCATTAGATTTCCTCCTCTGAGTGTTCCTGTGAACTACCCATGAGGTTCTTTTTATAACCATAAGCTTTGAACAATTATTCCGGTTGTGAAACTAAATAAATCGATGCAACACTCTCCGCACTACAAATGTCCTGAAAAGTCCTCTACCTAAAGAGAAATACCAGCTATAGGAGTGAAACCAGCCTGAGCTCAGATGTATGGATATATTTAGTAGCTGAAGTTTCAGAAATTAGTCAGAAATAAAATTCAGAGTGTTGAAGCCGTGTGGCAGCTGCAGCTTTTCCTACCAGACAGTTTAAATCGATCTGAGGGCAGAATTCTTTGTAAATTGTCTCACTGACTTAATGACTGATTGTAAAACAAGTTTGTCATTGTGGTTTTTATTGTGGTTCTCATTGTTGCTTTGTTTATGACTCACTGGAAGTTTCCAGCACGTCCTTTTAAAGTCGTTTATCCTTAAAAAGTCAGGCTGTGTCTTGCCTGTTGTTCAGGGGGAAGAACTTGATTCCTTTAGTCACTTCCCTTTGAAATCACATGAAGTTCAAATAAAGGTGTTACACACTGGTCAGGTTAGTCACGCTGGAATAAGTCTGCTGAGTTAAGGATGTCTTGCACCTTTTCAAACCACATAGAAAGATCGAATTCTCAAATCAGTGAGTCTGGATTGAGAGAGTTCATATCTACGCACCCTTTCTCTCCGTCCCCTCACATGCTCTGTCTTCCTCCTTTCAGGTTCAGTCCAAACCAGAGAAGAAACCCGGCACACCTCCCCCTGCCCCTGCTCTGCCTGCAGCCACACCTGCCCCCCCTGCCCCACGCTCACCCAGCCCTCCCCCGGCTCCGGTGATAGTCACCCCTCCTCCCCCGGCCATCAACATTCCCAGGTTCTACTACCCCTGTGGGCTCCCTTCCATGGGCCCGGGTGCCAGCCACGATGCAGCCATCACTGCCATTGAGGCGGCTTTCTCTGAGTTTGAAGAGGAGAAGGCTGACATTTACGAGATGGGCAAGATCGCAAAGGTGAGAATTTGAGCATTTCGTTATTTTTCTGTCTGCTTTTTTGTCATAAATGTGTCTTTTTGCTAAATTAAAACCAAAGTCACACAGTTGGGGTTGACTGATTCTCAGAAACAAACCTTGGTGCTGCACATGGTTGTTTTTCAGGGTAATGTAATGACAGTGTTTCTTGCCTTTCCTTTCAGGCATGCGGGTGTCCACTTTACTGGAAGGCCCCCATGTTCTACTCAGCAGGCGGCGAGAGAACGGGCTTCGTCTCTGTACACTCCTTCGTCGCAACCTGGAGGAAGTACGGCCGACTCTGCCTTTCAAACATTCTCAGAAACATGGTTCAATCAGACTGATTAATTTCTTATTGTTTCTCACTCCTGAAAACTCTCCTTCCTTCTCCTGCAGGTTGTTGCACAGTTGCCACGACGATGCATCAAGGTTTGTTTCCCTGCTGTCCAAACCCAGCTGTAATTACCTTGAGCAGGAGGACTTTATTCCTCTTCTGCAGGTACATTCATCAACCTCAAACATGCCGTGATGTATCTGCGTTCCTGAGTGAAAACGTACCTAAATAACTTTGTTTTGTTTTGTTTTTTTGTCTCTGCTGTTTGTCTTTGTCTCATTAGGACATCGTGGACACACACCCTGGCCTTACGTTTCTGAAGGATGCACCAGAGTTTCATTCCCGATACATAACAACGGTAAACAACTCGACTAAAACATCACTTTTAAAGCGTTCCAGTATGGTTGCTCTCTTTTGCTTTGGTTCATACAGGTCATGTTTATGTGAAACTGCTGTTCCCTGTGAGAGTAAAGCTTATCACAACATGCCAAAATCTGAGGACGTCCCTTAGACTTGAGTCTAACTTATCTGCCACCCGACCTATTACACGAAGACTTTTAGTTTTTGTATAAACTTAGAAATATCACAATCACACTGGTTGAATAAAAATAAACTGCCTGAGTTAACTCCTCTTACTTCGTCAGCAGAAAAGCTGCAGGTCACATCCAGTAACATAAGCAGCAGACCGAGTGTGCATGTGTGTGTGCATGTATGTGCTCACGGGCATGTGTGTGTGTCAGTGAGGATGTGGATCAGGACAGCTGCGACACGTGCCTCAGAAATCGAAGATTTGCTGAGTGGAAGATCAGAGATGCTGAGAAGTGTTCGCTCTGACGTCACGGAAACACAGATGCCCCCCGCTGCAGCGGCGGCAGAGGCCTCTCTGACCCCTCCACATGCCCATATTAAGACACTTCCTTCACTTCAGAGCAGCTGACCTCGTACTGTACCAGACATTAGAAGCACTGGGAGGTCCGTGTACCAGGAAATGGGTGCTAATCTGCTCTCAGTGTTGTGTTTCAGAGACTGGCAGCTTGGCCGCCCTGGTTTTCATTGTATGCGTAAGACTTGTGTGTCACTCATTTTATGAATGAGGAGAGGAATATAAGTGAACACGCGTGGTCGGTTTGGAGTTTTATCAGGTCATGGGACTCATTCTGTAACTTGTAGCTGTATACTTGTTCATTGGGATTCAAATGGAGTCGCCTCGTGATTCATAGTTTAATAAAATTTCTTTTTTACTGGCTTTCAGTGAAGCTCCTCAGTTTACCTTCTTTCAGAAGAATGCAGCTCTTGTCTGCTTTAGGCTCCTCCCTTAAAGTCAGCTTTACTGTGATTGGCTTGCTCTTTTTTGCCTGTGGAGGAGCACCAATGATAGTAAGTGTAGGAGTGGTTGAAGAGACTGAGTTTTTGAGCCTGTTGTGGGATTCTTTCCTGGAGCAGGTGGCTGATGTCAGCTCCACACAAGAGTGACAATTACTCAAAAAAAGCACACAGTAACATAAGATAAGATAAGAAGAACTTTATTAATCCCTGAAGGGAAATTCAATAAAAAAAGTGGATGCATTCAGATACTTTCCATCCCCAGATCTTCCATTCCTGTACTCGTGTTGTCAAGTCAAAAGTTCCGGTAACACTTGACAATAACCATAATTTATTAATGTTTAATCATCATTTATAAATAGCATACAGACCACTAATAAATTGTAAATTTTAAAATTTTAAAAACCTAACCCTAACCCTAACTTTACAATAACATCTGCGTAACGTTTATAGGTGTTTATAAATCACTTATTAATCATTTAAAAAGTATGACAAACATCAGTTGCAACTTTACAATAACCATCTAAGAAATGTTTATAGATGTTTTAAAAACCAAATATTAGCCATTAACAAAGTGCTACTGACACACATTTTAATCTAGATGTTTTACAACCAATATTTAAACCCTAATAAACCTTTAATAAATAGTCCATTTATAATCAATGAAAATTATTAACCATAATTTCATTGCTTGTTAATGGTAAAGTAACTTTTAACTTACATTAATAAACTATCTATTTACCATTTATAAATTATGGTGTTTGTAAAGTGTTTCCAAAGTTCCCTTTATTTTCAGTTTGTCAAAAAAAAGTGACATTTGGATGATGTTTTTTTTCCCCAGGTGATCCAGAGGATATTCTATGTGGTGAACCGTTCGTGGACGGGTCGTATCACCATGATGGAGCTGCGCAGGAGCAACTTTCTCCAGACTCTGGCCCTGCTGGAGGAGGAGGACGACATCAACCAGATCACAGACTACTTCTCCTACGAACACTTCTACGTCATCTACTGCAAGTTCTGGGAGCTGGACACGGATCACGACCTGTACATCGACCCCAAAGACCTGGGGAGGTACAACGACCATGGTGAGGATAACTTAAAGAGCAAAGGGTTCGTTTTTCCCGCAACACATCATGCCAGACCCGCGGAGGTTGTTCTAGAAAAATCTTAAAACAAACATGAGAGATTTCTGGGCTTCGGGAAAAACAAGCAAGAATTTAAAATCAAAACCATAACGTTCATGAGAAAGATATGATACCACTGTCGAGGAGCATTTGCGATATGTTTTGCCTCATTGTTTTAAAATTGATTTGCTGCCAGAAGAGAATCAGAAGCAGACGTCTTTCAAATTCAGCATTGACTCATTTTCCTTTTATTTGGCCTCCAGCTTGTGCAAAAACAACAACTGTTTGTCCTCAGATCAACACTTGAAAACTGTCTAATGTGAAATGAATTACAAGGCCACTTAACCAAAATTGAATTTCCTGACTCAGCTCTTACGCAAGCGATCTTACTGTAAACACAACAGTTTACAACAATAACCATTTGTCTCCACGTCTTTCAACTCAAGTTGTTTATTTTCTCACTCCCTCTCTCCTCCGACAGCGTCCTCAAACAGGATCATCGAGAGATTGTTTTCGGGAGCCGTTACTCGGTAAGTGGAAACACACAGTAACAGTCACAGAGGAACCGATTTCTGAGCCATCACGGTGACACTGAATGTGAAAGGCTGTCATCGTTGTTTCCAGGGGGAACGCCGTGCAGAGAGAAGGCAGGATGAGCTACGCCGAGTTCGTCTGGTTCCTCATTTCTGAAGAGGACAAGAAAAATCCCACCAGGTAACATCCAGACACCCGGGACCGAGCAGCTGTTTGAGCATTTTTCTCTCTTTGTGTGTCTAATCATCTATGATTACGTCTCTCCAGTATAGAGTACTGGTTCCGCTGCATGGACACAGATGGCGACGGCGTCCTGTCCATGTTTGAGTTGGAGTATTTCTATGAGGAGCAGTGTGAGAGGATGGAGAGGATGGGCATCGAACCTCTGCCCTTCCAGGATCTGCTCTGCCAGATGCTCGATCTGGTCAAACCCGAAAGCCAAGGTGAGAGAAAATACAAGCTGATATTTTATTTTCCCTCGATTTTTCTTTTTTAAAAGGCCACCTCCTGCTGCTTTTCCTTTTCATGTTCACTCATTTTTTTTTTTGTTTTTTTTTCTAGGTAAAATAACTCTCGGTGATTTGAAGCGCTGCAGGATGGCCCATATCTTCTTTGACACCTTCTTCAACCTGGAGAAATACCTGGACCACGAACAGAGAGACCCATTTGCTGTGCAAAAGGTGCGCATTTGAATCTTAAAGATGTAATATTAAACTGAGTTCCAGGAGGAGATATCTGCGCAGAGGGGAAAGTGGGTCTCAACTAGGGTTAGGATGAGATCAGATTTTCACGACAAGATCAAAGTATTTATGGAAAATTTGAAATTAATCACAAAATTCATGATCTTTTTACTTATCATCTATTTTTATGGTGTTCAAATCAATGACTGATCCACATCAGCAGCCCTGAAACTGAAACTTAGTTTGAGAAAATCTAGCCTCGTGGAATTATTACGTTTGGTTGCTTTATTTCCTGCGACACAAAACTATGCTTTTATTTTGAAATACTCTACGTCTGTCAGATCTTAAGTAACTGAATAAAAACAGTCAAGGAAACGGTTGGAAAGTAGGAATGTTTGATTGATTTGTAACCTGAAGAGGCACAAGCTTTAGAGTTATTTTTGGTTTAGGATAAATCTTTGTATTTTAGTTTCTAAATCATCTCTCAGAGAGCTGCCTAAGCTAGCTCATTAGCAGCTGCTACTTCTTCTCTGTCTCCTCCAAGTTTAATAATGTTTGGTAAATCACAGTAGCACTGTATGCTTTGTTTAAGCACGACATCAATATCTAATTTTTTAAAAGCGACAGTTATCATCATTGGGTTTATTGCGACAGCCCTAGTGTCAGTTATCTCCTGCTAATATATACTTTATAAAAGTTTTATTGTGAAAGGCTAATTGTTCGATTTATTGATCTATTATCTAAAACACTCAGCTATCTTTGGTTTCAGTATAACTTTTGTTTTATCACTTTGACCAGCCAACAATTTCGATACACTCTCCAAGCTTTAGTTTTGCCCTTTTATTTTGTTAAACCATTTGAAATTTTGTGTGTATATTTGTCAGTACGTGTAAAATACTGATGTTTGTGTGTTTGCGTCGCTGCAGGACATTGATAGTGAAGGTCCAGAGCCGTCTGACTGGGATAAATATGCCTCAGAGGAGTACGAGATACTGGTAGCAGAGGAGACTGCCAATGAGCAGCTACATGAGGGGTGAGACACACACGATCACACACTTGCATACTTGTGTATTCACATATATAAAGTTAATATGTTATCTAAGTGTTTCAACCTAAAGAGTGACCACCTCTTGAACGTGTGTTGTCTTACAGGTCATTCGATGACGACTATGAATCCGAGGAGCTCCAAGTCCCCGGAGAGATTGGGAATAAAATGGACAAACTGGTTATTTCAGACCTGACAGCGTGAAACTCTGGGGTCTTTCTCTCCGTGTAGCAAACAGGATTAAAGAGACAGAAGGTGACTTTGGATGGATGCATTACAGAACACTTGGATATAAACATTTTTGCATCTGAATCAAAGATTCGGGCGTCTCCTGACGTTTTTTGTTTTTTTTTGGTGTGTGCTTGTGACTTTAAACCAGAACTGTACTGGGTCTGGTGCAATAACAGATGTGTTTTCAAACAGAAAACAATATCACTGCCTCCAGCTCTTTACTCCATCACCGGAGAACAAAGGCGGCGAAGCAGGGAGATGTGTATGATAAAGTGAGTCAAGGAAATGTCACTGTAAAATAAAGTTGTTTTCATTGTAAATTCTGAACAGACAATCCTGCCAGGAGACAATCACCTTTGTTTTCACTGTGCAAAAGCTGAACAGACAAGCTGTCAGCTCCACAAACAGACTCAAAGTTGTGTTAGAAAATAAGGGATGTTAAAGGCACTGCCGAAAATCAGCTGCTTACTTATGATTCACACAGACAGACACTGCCCTCGCAAACCGGCTGCCTGTGCAGCTCGTCACTGTGGTTCTTGTAAAGGAAGTAATTAAACCTCCTGTGTCTTCAGGGAGGAATCATGTAACAAGTTCGAGTGATTGTAACAGCGCCTCACTGTGGCCAGAGGCTGCTACTACACATACATGGTGCAGCACAGCAGGCCAACCTCTCTGAGAGGGAATCAGAGCTGCTCTATTATTAGTGCAGCGTTATTAGAGCTCCTCTCACGGACTCAGATTTTAATCATTTGTATAAAATAAAACTTTGATAACATGTTCTTAAACATACCAGCCATTCTCTGCGGTTATATTCAAAACACTCACACATACTCTCTGGTAGAGTTGGTCACACATTTCCATCTGTAAGATTTGTAACAAGGCAATACGAAGAAGTGTGTGTCACACAGTCATCCAGCATTTTCTTTTCATGCCCGTCTTTTTTATGTACAGTGCCTGGTTATCGCTGTTTTTGTTTTGTTTTTTTATTTTGTCAGTTATGCAAAAACAAAAATGATATATATTGTACTGAATAGAAATTGACTGTTTGATTCTGAAATATTTTAACGCCCATTCTCCCTTTAACACAAATGCCAAACACACCACTAAGGATGCCTCTTAGTAGAGTCAGTCCACCCAAATATATATAAATATATATATAAAGCTTTTACTCATATTTATAATTTTAGTTTTAGATGTTCTTGCCTTTGGATAGTTTTGCCCCTGCTGAAGATGCATGACACTTGTTCCTAAATGCTTGTCCAACATCACAACAAAAATAAAACGATTTTTAGCCATTAAGAAAGTGCAGTTAAAGCCACCGTCTAAAGGGGATTGTATTTAAAAGGGGGCATATTATCCATAGTGGCAGAGACTGACATGTTGCATTTAATATATGCCAAAAAAAACACATCCTTTTCTTTCAGATTTGTCGATTAAAATCTAAACTATTTGTGTAGTTTGATACACTTATTAAGATTTACAATAGAAGTTATTACATTTGGGTGAACTGACCCTTTAACTCCATGATTTACTGTGCTGCACTCAGAGGAACAGGTGCAACTGTGTACACTGCCCGTACTGTAACAACTAGGCGCGTGTGTTTGCTTATAAATCACTGATAGAGAGGTGTGTTTTGGGAGTGTGTGATGTGTAGCTCTCAGTTTCAGGCTGCTTACACTGTATGTCATAGCTGTTGCCATGGGGATGTGTTCTTGGGGGTCATTGAGTGTGTGTGTGTGTGTTTGTGTGCTCTTGTATAACTCTTTAATTAGGAATGGGACGGCTTGGGTCCTTGATGACTCTAAATCCAGTCCTGTATACCTCCTTCACTGGCACTTACTGTACACAGACACACACTTACACACACATGACTTATGTTGCGTTGAAAGGGAAAAACTAGGGGGTGCTGAGAGGTTCAAAATACCTCCAGTTTCCACCTTCTGCTTTACAGCCATTGTAAATGTGCCTGACTGTGTTTTAAACTATATTATTATTATAATAACAGTAATAATGATAAGCCATTATAGTTATAACGGCTCTGATTTTGGATGTTTTGTCATGCCTTGTATTGCTGTGCCACTGTGTGGCTCGGGTTGGGGGGTAAATTATGTTAGCCGTGTGTATGTTTGTGTGTTAGATACACAGTGGATTTTATCAGCAGAAGAAGAGGAGGACTGGTCTGACAATCACAGAAATATGGGATTAATCTCAGTTGGAGACTTTGAGACTGATGTTTCACTGCTGTGGTCACCCACACACACTGACATATTCTCACGCAGAGCCTGGATTCAAGAGGAAACGTCAAAGGCAAGAGGACGCCTCTGGTTGATAACTTTCAGGCTCTATGTAAAATGTCCTGATGCTCATAAACGCAGCACCAGGCAAGGAGAGAAGCCATGCAAGACTTTTACTTTGAAGTCGCAACTCTGCCCACAGAAGGAGACGGGATACTTTTACTTTGAAGTTTCGTCTTGATTGTGAAAGGAGACTTTGATGTACTTGACATCCAGTAGGATGAGATGTTCGAATCCTGTTGGTTCTCACGTTGGCATGGTTTTATTTCAGCCATCCTTATTTTTCTCTCGTCCCTCTGTCTTCCCCTCTTGTCTGTATTCTTTTCTTTCTTCCCTGAATTTCCTTTCTTCGCCTCGTCTCACGTTAATTGTTGCTTTCGTCTGAGGTTTAAAAGTTCAAATAAAAAAGTTAAGGAACACTATTCTGCCTTGAGAACTCCTCACAGTTACTCATCTTCCTCCTAACTCCTCAAACACAAACATCTCAGTCACACACAAACACACACTCACGTTCGTCATCATTCCCTCTTTTAGTACACACAGTAGGTACTGTAAGTGTGTTGCCCGCACTAGTGCCCAGTTAAGTGAACCTCACAGTCTGTGGGATTTTTTGAACTTTCCACCTGCAGACAGACTTTTGACATTTTAATCAAGAGGTGTTAAAAATGTGTTTTATCTTTTTTTTAATAAGCCTTAAGGAAATAATTTCCTGTTTTGAATGGACTTTGGGACACTTCAAGGTAAACTTGTTTTCTCTGTGGTTTGTTTTCTCCTCGAGTGCAGGAAATGATCTGATGCCAGCTCAGTTCATTAAGGGCTCTCAGACCCACAAGGCTTGGACTGTGACTTGCATCCATGACGTTAACAGCTCTGCACTGAATCACTGCCACTGACTGTTGGCGTCACTGTTGTCATGACAAACATGAGCCAAACGGGACATGCCTGGTGAGTGTAGCACTTTTGATTGTCCGTATAGCGGGACACAGACAGGGGGTTTCCTTCAATCACTCTGGCTTTGTTTTTACTCAACTTTGGTGACATGACACGCCACGCAATTTTCATGCAACTCAAAGGTGTAACTTTCCACAAGTATTCAATGGTGTTCCACCCAAACAGACACACTTTCACAGTCTTCACCTGTCTCCTAACCAGTTCTTCTTAGTATCTTGCATATGATATGAAACCTCCACTCTCTTCTCTATCTGTACTTATTTTTATTTGGCAGCTTTCAAGTCCTACCTACCGAAGCGTTTTTGCACGTTTCCCCACTGATTTTCTTGTATGGGACCAACAATATCAACCAAAGCCATTCATACACACTTGTACATTTCTGACTATTTCATGTGAGGTACACAGGACTTCAGTAGCTAGAATTGAGCTGCCAACGCCCCAACTGAGTCATCACAAACATGAGCCAAACGGGACATGCCTGGTGAGTGTAGCACTTTTGATTGTCCGTATAACGGGACACAGATAGGGGGTTTCCTTCAATCACTCTGGCTTTGTTTTTACTCAACTTTGGTGACATTACACGCCACGCAATTTTCATGCAACTCAAGTATTCAATGGTGTTCCACCCCAACAGACCCACTTTCACAGTCTTCACTTGTCTCCTAACCAGTTCTTCTTAGTATCTTGCATATGATTTGAAACCTCGACTCTCTTCTCTATCTGTACTTATTTTCATTTGGCATCTTTCAAGTCCTACCTACCGAAGCAATATCAACCAAACCCATTCATACACAGTTGTACATTTCTGACTATTTTATGTGAGGTACACAGGACTTCAGGAGCTAGAATTGAGCTGCCAACGCCACAACTGAGAGACAACCCAGTTTACAAGCGAGCCACAGCCACCCACTTTCAACCCCCTGTTCAGTTCTTAGGTTTCAGCATTGTTAATCTTAAGTGGAAGCAGTTGCTGTCAGATACCTCTCACATGACTAGGGCTACTGATAACCACTTCTGGACAGTGATGTGTGTTCGCCAAGCGGTACCATCTGGAACCAGTGACCACTTCCTTGTGGGTTCATCTTGGTCCTTTTGTCTTTGTCCTCACCAAAAAATTGGACCAATTTTTCATAGATCAGAAAACTTTGTCAACATGGTAGTGGTTCATCCTCAGGGCACTGTCTTTGGCATCTTTGAATTCAATCCAATGAAAATATCAGGATATCGAACCAAAAGATAAAAACACCAGCCCAACAAGATTAAATAAGTCACCAGGCTCAACCCATGAATCAGTGCCATGATTCTCTGAAATTAAAAACAAGTCGTAAGAACTTGCAGATATTGTAGCTGTCGGGTATCAAAGAGCACAAAATCATACCACAGCTTTACCTCAACCAATTGATCAATCTGAGCATTCAGGACTAAGTTAGCCCATGTTCTGGTTCCCATGACTCTATCTCCCAGAAACAAATTACGTCTATTTTTGCAAACGCCAACAAAATTGAGGTAATACAGTGCTAAAAACAACCTCTCCTAACCTCTCCTTTCAGATATCAATGGGCATGTAAATGTGAACCGCAAAATCATACCACAGTTTTGCCTCAACCGATTGATCAATCTTAGCATTGAGGACTAAGTTAGCCCATGTTCTGGTTCCCATGACTCTATCTCCCAGAAACAAATTACGTCTATTTTTGCAAACGCCAAAAATTTGAGGTAATACAGTAC